CAGGATGCGTCATTCTAGATCTTAACAGATTCCCCCCCATGGGGGCGGGTGCATGAGCCTGTTCCCCTCCGGTGATCTGTCTCTCGCTAGGAGGTGCATTGACGGACATGTGACTAGGGAACATACATCATGGGTATTTATAGCCGCAGGGTTATTACTCAATTGCCCCCTTGTGGAGGCCTTGGGGGGGGGGGGGGGAGAGACTCATGGGTTAGGCTTTAAGTTTATGAAACCATGAAACAGCCGTTCAGAGAAGGGGGGGGGGGGAATGTAAATGCATGACAACTGTCTCTTGACCTCAAGATTTTGACCAATCAACGGGCCTGGAATTAATCAGTTCCTCTGTAATGCCGATGATTTATTGAAGAAAAAAAAGACCATTGTAGTACAGTTACTTCTTTTCCTGTAGTCACTGGAGACCAGACCAAAAGGTAGCACGCTTGGCTTTAAAAACAGATTATCAATATCTTTGCTCGTAGGGCCTTAGTCAAAGGTGTTGACAAATTGGGAAACTTCCAACATAGGGCTGGATACAGGTAGCTCAGTTGGTAGAGTGCCGGAACGGCAATCCGGAGGTCGCAGGTTCAAACCCACTCCGGTTCCTTTCTTTGTTCGTCAGTCCTCATTTTATTAATTCAGAGTAGTTGTTTTGATGTTGATACATGTGGTCATTTTTCCATTGCTGTTTATTTGCTGAAACAAAAACAATTCGGTACAAATCTAAAATAAAGGCATGTTTCTCATCATAGTATTGTTGTCATAAAAGGGTATCCGACAATACTGTAAAGTGTCCATGAACATTGATTGTGTTCCGTTGAATACCACACTATCCTACCGCAGTGAATCTACAAATATGTATTTCCTGTTAGGTAAGTTGTATCACGCTGTACTTGTTTGTGTATGAGTCATTGCTGTCCGTAAACAGTGTGAAGTTGAAAATAGATTTGGAAACAGCTACATGTGGACGGTTTGGACTGTCCATGACACACAGTGCAGGAAATGGTCTACGTACATGTATACCGGTTCATGTCGACTTTGAGAGGTTTATACTTTTTGTGCATATAGCCTATCACTCAAGATTCGTTCAAGAATCCAAATTTAGAAAAAGTCTCTCATCTTGTCCATGTAGTGACATGAAGTAATATTTCTTAAGAAATATTATTTCCTCAGACAAAATCATATGAAGAGCCACTACCGGTGTCGTAAATACAAGAAACTAAAACCCTTCAGAAATCGCGTACTCCGAAACCAAAAAGGACACAGACTTTTTTTAATAAGTCTGCACTTTTTTATATAATACAGCTGCACATTATTCTCTACTAAAGTGAATTTACGTAAATGTATCCCCGTACTTGAAAAGGGCAGCCTGATTGCCATGTTTATTGGCTCTTAAAGTGCAATCATTCTGTCTGCCGCAAGATATTGACGTCAGTTTATCCCTACTTTATCCGAACCGTCGGTTATAGAGCCATTTTATTGGTGCTCCTACATGTACCGGTAGTGCTTCCTATAGGTTCATGTAACGCGGTATACCATGAATCCCATAATCCTAGCAGTGGTTCACTCACCCTGGGGTTATTTGAAGGCAGAAGGGCCCTCAACGTGCATTAAAGATGCTGAATCCAATTAAAGGTACATGTAAAGTAATATACAACATTTGCAAACATGACAAAAAAAACTACAAAATTGTTATGAAATATCTTACTTGGCTGTAAGTGAATAATAGTCGCAAGCATCCTGTGAAATCATGCCACCTGGTGTGCTGTCTTTTTCAAGAAAAGTGGAAGTTTTGTTTCATTTTCCAATGATGGTCGGCCGACAATCGTTGGGAAAAACCTGACTTTTCTTCAAATACTGCCCCCAATTTACCAAATTTAGTTTGTCCACATTTTGATTGCAATCAAACACACATCCATGAGGGGTTCAAGCCAGCTAGTTTGGTTCCCTGACCCGACAATTCCCCGACGTCTATAAATTGCTTCGTTTCCTCTGAAGTAGGGTCAGGGAACCAGACTACAAGAACAACATTTTTTTTTCGTGGTTTTTCTAGCATCTATGAACACATGAACATTAAACATGTTACTGTTAGTGTAAACAATATTTGCAATAAAATAGTGAACCCCAAATCCATCCATTTCAGAAAATTACAGCAAAAGCAAATATTATATGTAACTGGGGGTGGGGGTGAGGGATGGGGGGGGGGGGGGTGGGGGTGGGGATGGGAGGAGAATGACCCTGCTGTCAACCCCCCCTCAAAATATCCGGTGCCCCCTCTCATCGTGTACAATGCTGTGTACATATATTTTGTAAAAGGTCCATATCCCTTTGGCCAAAAATGAGGGAACACTTATGCACACCCACACAGAAATGGACATTTGATCCTGATGGCTCTCACGCACAGTGCATATAATGTGTATTCTCACGTGGGTTCAAATCTAATATGTCCTAGACCATGGAGTGATAATTCACTTGAACTGCCGTGGCTTGGAGTATTGGCTTCTAAATGTTATCCAAACATGCTGCAGATTTCAGCAATATTAAATGATCTCTTTCTTCAAACACTTTTATTTTATTTTAAGTTTGAAGTCATCGTCATGTGCTTAGTTTTAGGTCAAACAAGATGTTAAAATTAAAAACTGTAGTTCGCATTACATGTTACAGCAGAATTTTAGGTTTTTTCAATGCTGACAAAGAGTTGGGAAATCAAACAGAAAAATGTGGATTTGGATTCCTGTTGTGGTGTTAGTGAGAGATTTACATGGTCAATTTAATGTTTCAGAAACCCTTTTCGTTTAAGATTGAAGGCGGAAATCAGACACCCCCCCCCCAAAAAATAATTCTCTAGCATAGATAAAATGAACTAAGCACAATCTAGAGCTGTCACATTCAGTGTCAAATTCCTTCAGTAATAGAATGAACTTACATTGCAAACTTTGAAAAAACACATTGATTTTTGTTCCAAAAAAATGGTAAATGGTCAGAAAATGCCTGATATTATCAAACGGTCCTTTCACCTCTGTTAGAGGCTACCCATCTCTAATGATCTTCAGACATCACATTGGGGTCAACTCCATGGCAGTAAGAAACAGCAGTTGACGCTAACCACCCCCAAATTTTCCAAGAGTTACTCCACATCTCCTAATCCCCATTCCCATTTTTGACCCCCTTTTTCAAATCTCAGAGGCAGCAAGCTGCTCCATCGCTGAGTACCTAGAGATCAAGTCCACAGCCGAGAGCAGCAACGGCTGGATGCTGCTGTCCACCCTCAACCTCCTGGCCGGCGGTGGTCAGAGCATCGTCAACACCATGATGATGGCCGCCCTACCCTCCACGCTGGTCAAGTGTCTGTACCTCTTCTTCGACCTGCCGGAGATTCCGCCGGAGGGGGAAAAGAGGACGGAGGAAGGCAGCGGAGATATCACGCCCACAAAGAGGAGGGAGCTGCTCCACAAATACGTCATTCAGGTTGGTGCAGAGAAGTCAGGGACTCAAACTCAAGTCTGTCTCAAGTGACTTGGACCCTGACTCGAGTCACGTGACTCACATTGACCAAAGACTTGAACTGAAACTCAATTCGGTTGGACCATGATCTTGATACAAGTTGTTTATGTTTTTCTTTCCTGAAACTATCAGCTTTTAGTGAAACTCTGCAAGCATCCTGGCCCGGCCGATGAGCTTGCCAAGAAAGACGACCTGACTCTCCTCTTCAGCGCCATCACCAGCTGGTGTCCTCCCCGCAACAGCCCCTGGAGGAAAGGTGCAGCCGAGGTGCTGACGACCATCTCCAGGCATGGACTGACACAGGACGTGGTGCAGTATATACACAGTGAGTTTGACTCTGGAAAGACTCTAGAAAGACGAGATCCTAAAGTTTACATTACAAATATAACTTTCCCAAAACTTTCCCAAATCTGTGTTTTTCCTTGAAGCAAGGCGATAAGAAATTGTGTTTAAAAATATAGTTCACAGGTTTGGATTTTTTTTTTTATCTGAAACTTCTTCCAAATCTGTTTTCCAAGAGTTGCTGAAAATTGGCAGCGGATAAAACTCTGATGCTTTCACACCTAATACGACACTGCCCAGGGCCAGATCAACATGATGTCAAAATCAAGTTTCCGTGGGAATTCATCCGGAAGAATTTCCCCATCCTTCCTGTCCAGATCTTCGCAATCTCAGGCTCTCATCTCGGGGATTTTTTCCCCTCCAGTTCTCTTCCCCTCCCTACCCCCCCACCCCACCCTGGGGCTGCTTTGGTCTGCCATCATGAATCAACTCCATCTGGGGAGTAATCTCTCGTAGGTTGTGTTTTTTTTTTATAAAAGTCTGAGAAAAGACAGAAAAATCGATAGGACTGGAGATATTCTATAATTGGATGGAATGCCTATTGGCAGTTGAAATTGCGTTGTCAAGTAAATTTGATGTTTCAGCATTCTCCCGTCTTCATGGTCTTTGCCAATTTCCTACTTTTCTCACAGGATTCATGTTTTTGCAAGTAGATCAGGGTTTCTGTTAAGTACCATAACTGTAGTTTTTCTTTTCACAAATATTTCTTGCTTAAAATATGAATGGTACATGTATCTCCTGTTCGGTAGGTATTACATGATTTCCCAATGTTTAAGAGCTATTTTTAAGAATTAAAAAAGGCCACACCAAAAGCCATACATCATGATTTAAATTGACAACTATATAGAAATTCTAATTTCTAGTGTTTTGTTCCTCTTTTGTGTATGCAGACTGTATAGGTACACACTTTAGGATTTCTCCAAAATGCTTAATTTTATTTCAAAGAGAAATTCTGAAAAATTCAATTCCAATTTCCACCGAAGCAAAAAAATAATTGGCCCTACTTATCATATTTGCTCAGTTAACTTTATTGCATTATGTTGGGAAACTTGAGCCAATATAGAGATGTTAACTGGAAAATGAACATTTCATTTCTGATTTCGAAAAAAAAAATTTGACAAATCAAAAATAACCACCTCTCTTTCTTCCAGACAAGGGTTGTCTGGCTTTGTGCGTGGACAACATGCAGCAAGTGCAGGAGCTGACACCGCTGGAGAAAGTTGAGATGTGCTTCACCGTCTTCTGTTTCCTCAAAGACTCCAGCGATAAATCCAGGGTCTTGCTGGATGAGTTCCGATCCTGCCAGGGTTATATCTTCCTGGCTGACTTCGTCTTGAAGTAAGTCTGTCACAAACTTAAGTTTTCACAGTTTTTTTTTTTACTGTATACTTGATCCATTGATTGAAATCCTGCTACTTGTAATTTTTCACAAATATGCCCTTGGGGAAGGCTCTCAAAACCTATCTCCATCCAATCACAACACTTATTGGCCAATGGGCTTTTTGGAAATGCTCAAATGTGTTCAAAGTCCTCAAGAGAGCACTTAATCTATTTTGTTGTTAATTGCACTTCACCATTAAATAGAAGCGTACATGTTTTTCTACTCAGAAAGGTTGGTAATTGACTTGTGACTTATTTATGCCTTGGAGTGCTGTTCCTTACTCAACCTAGTTTACAGGAATGTACACCACATGTAGCATCCAGCTGGAGTTCTGGGGAAACTTAGTGTATAGATTGTTGTGTCACCCATCAATTATGTGTAGTGTCTACAGCATCCAGAAAAAAAAGCTCATAGGTTTTCTCACATTCTCTCATTTGGCATAATTAGCTTGTTCATGAATAGATGTCAAATATTGGCTAATTTTGTAAATACGAGTCACGTTGCTAACTGATGAATTAGTGACGTAACTTGCGTGACCTAATTTAGCACAAAATACACTTTGTTAGTATGTCCATAAGATTTCTCTGTCCCTGAGCAATCCACTTTACTCCATCCAGCTGTCTTCACAAAGGGAAGGCCAGGAAAAACTTTTTTAAAGCTTGTTCATGAAGAGTGATGTGGTGTGGCCTTCATCCAAGAGAAATAGACAATTTCTGAACCAAATTTAACTTCCCCTCACAGATTGGAGTCAATGGGCGACCAGGAATCTGTCCACTCGTTAAGGAACCTTGTCCTCCTCATCTCCTCGCTCACTCAGTGTGGCTACAGCGAGCTGAGGCCCAACTCGGCCATCTACGAAGCGCCATTCCAGGTCCAAGGGTTCACGCTACCACAGCCGAGCGGAAATGGTGAGGAATGGGACGAAACAAGGGGGAAACCTGGGGGAGGGGGAACCCTGGGGGAGGGAAACCCTGGGGGAGGGGAACCCTGGGGGAGGGAAATTTGGGAGATGGAACCCTGTAGACACAAAGAGAGACCTTAGTCCTCAAATTCAATACTTACCTCTGAAACAAAAAAAATCAAACTCCATGAGAGTAATCCTGCGATTATTTTTCCTAATTCCAACATTAATAATGAAAAGAAGTTCCAAACGATTTTCGCCCCCTCAAACAAGACCAACATGGCGGGCAATACATGTTTTTTTTCAAAAGCATGCCATGTAGTAAAAATCTGTTTACTTCCAGGATATTTCAAATAACATTTAGCAGCCTGCCACAATTTTCATGTATTGGAGAAGACGTGGCTACAAAACTTGCAGTACACTGATGTTTTTGTCTATTTTCTGCAGGTAATAGTGTCAGAAATCTTCAAGCATTCCAAGTTCTACAGACGATATTCTTAAAGGTAAATTATTCTGTAGTTGTGTGACAGACAGATTGTAACCACCTGTTAATTGTGACTACTCCTTTGTTTTGGTTGTGACCACCTGCCTGAATGGCCTCACACCTGTTGTCACCATCTGTCCACCTGTCCAATTTTTACCACCTGTTCATTGTAACCAATGCTCATTGAGGTAACTAACCACGGTACCCACCTGTTCATTTTATAGCTGTCCATTGTAGCTACATGTCCATCAAGGCCACCTTACATTATGGCCATCAGTTCATTTTTCTCTCCATTTTAACTTTTTTTTTCTGTCTGTTTGTCTACGTCTTCATTCTGGCCACAAGTCCATTGTGGCCACTTGTGCATATTTGTGAAGTCAATTTGATGGCTTATAATGTCATTGCACCATTCCTTTATAAACATTTATCGCATTTTGTATTTTGATGTCCAGGCCAACACGCGCAGCCTGTGCTCTGTCATTCTGGAGGTCATCACCAACATCTACAACTCGGACAATGCCAACTACTTCATCCTGGAGCCGCAACACACGATGTCGCAGTTCATCGACCGCGCCACCACCAAGTCGGCCGAGATCCAGCTCAAGATCTTCGAGCTCTTGGAGTTTGTCGTCTTCAACCTGAACTTTGTCCCATACAAGGAGCTGAGCAGCGTTAGTCTCCTGATCAAGGCTGGAAGGTGAGTTTTAGACCGCACCCTTATTGGTTGGCCATAGCCGGCAATTGTGCATGCGTGTATGGAACGGCTGAATCCATTTCTCATAGACACGTGTGTTTTTGACAGATGTAGCCTAGTAATGTGGACGCTGCTATCGTGGTTCAGTTTGGCGCACAAGTACTTTCCTCAACGTTCATTTCTCAGACCAACGTTTGACCAGTTAAGTAGACAAGGAGTAGGTTTTTAGTCACTGTCTGAGGGTTCTTTGGAACATGTAGGAGGTTTTTTGGCCATCTCTAAAAACCACTTCTATCTACATGTATTGCTTTTACCTTACAAAATTTACATCTGCATGTGGCTTTGCAGGTTTGTAGCTATTTTCAAGGATTTCATAATCAGATAGAAATGAACAAAACTGAACTTGTCTAGTTGAGCTCGGCCTGAAAAATGTCAGTCTTACCTGCCCATTCATACTTGGCGCAGAAGGGAACGCGAATGCAAACATGTGATGTCACGACATGTTTTAACGCTGTGAATTTGTGAAGTCGAGCACATCTCAACTTCAGCGACTTTCGCAGCGAATGTCTCATGATGTCAAAATTACTTCGAATTCACGTTTGCTTGCAGTTTGCATGAACCGGCCTTACGTTTGTCAGTCTTAGTTGAACAGACACAGCTTGACGTTGTTTATACTCAGTCACTCAGTCAGTCGATCAGTCAGTGACTCAGTCAGTCAGTAGACTGGCCTTTTCCGGTCCAGCGAAAATAATTTAACCCTTTTGGGTGTCCATCTTCCGCAGTGATGTCGGCTGCCTGATCCGCGCCATTAAATGCCTCCTTCGGATCCTACGTCACAGCGGTGTCTACAAGGATGTGTACAGGGAGGTAGGCTTGCTTGCCGTCATGGTAACGTGCCTGCATCGCTACGCCGCATCACTCAAGGATAACCAGCCAGACAACAAAGAGGACATATGTGAGTTAAAGATGACCGTCTCTGCTACTTTCGAGTCTGACTCCGAAAAAAAGATTGTGTGTTTAAATTGCTATTTTTCTAGCAGAATGAGACATCGACTGAAAACGTCAGCTTATGTCAAGCTTTTAGAAAATAACTTTACAAAATTTGAATTATTAGTGGACAGACAATAATTCAGTTCTTTCATGGTGGACTGGTTCCTGCCCCCTTCTTGTTTCAATCATGTTGGGTCCGGAAACCAGTCTACTCACGGGGGATCTGTTTGTGTGCAAAAGCATCGAAAAAAAAATCGCCTTTTTCCCCCGAGGATTTAAGGTTCCAAATTGTTGCATGTCTATGTTCTGTGCTGTTAACGGTGTTTGAATCAGAAGAAGAAAAAAACACAGAATAAAAATGGCTTTGATGACTTTCATGAGGACGAACCATTGTTTTTGCTTCTCAGGTTCGGTGCCCGAGGTAGATGTCCCTGAGCTGGATGAAGAGCTTGCTTTCCTTGTGATGGACTGTCTGACGCTGTTGCTGCACGATAACAACGACAATGCAAGTAAGTGATTGTAAATTGCGTCCAACATTACACCAAGGGTTATCGGGTAACACCATTGTGATTGTATCCATCACAAACCCATCACAAAGTCCCCACAAGTCTTTACAAGTCCATCACAAGTCCTCACAAGTCCTTCACAAGTCCATCACAAGTCCATCACAAGTCCATCACAAGCCCTTCACAAGTCATCATAAGTCCATCACAAGCCCTTCACAAGTCATCACAAGTCCATCACAAAACCTTCACAAGTCCATCACAAAGTTCTGAATGTTGTTAAAGTTCACATTTTTAAACTAAAAAGTTCATTTTTTTTTTCTCACAGCTGTGTTTCGTGAGTACGGCGGTGCCCGGTGCTCACACAACCTAGGTCCCTACATCCAGTGCAGGCAGCATGCCCTGGCCATCGTACAGCAGCTGATCCTAAGCAAGGACGGTGAGGACGACATGGGCACGTTACTGGGGCTCATGAACTCCACGCCGGCCAGTCAGTTACAGCTCAAGACGGATATCCTACAGGTATGGGCTCTGTACACCAACAAAGGAGGGCGCTCTTTGACCAATTTCAAGAGCCCAGTAGACGGGCCACACCACGTGCGCATACAGGCAAAATTAGCTGTAGATACAAGGCTTTCAGTGGACGCTGCCATTTTGGATTATTACTCCGATTTTATCCCAGAGAGATTTTTCGATTTCATTTTTGCTTCTAATCGGGAAAGAATGTACCATTTTTTCCTGTTTTTCTTGTTTTTTTTGCTTCAATCAGTCGTTACTGAATGTTCTGAGGGACAGCCACCGCTCCAGGACGGTGTTCCGCAAAGTCGGGGGCTTTGTGTACGTTACCACGGTGCTGGTTGCCATGGAAGCAAGTCTGAGTGACAGCCTCAGAGAACCGTGGGATACAGGTCAGAATTGATCCAACATCATGGGTATATTATTTGAAATATACACACTGTTGTCAGAGGGCTGTCAAAATATTTTCTTTCAAGCATACGACATATAGTTTAGTTATTCATGAGTTTGTTTGAGGCCACTACATGCTTAGTAATGCTTGTTTTCTTTCTTACCACTGCCTCAAATCTAGGAAGAAATTCCAAGAAGTTGGTTCATTTCTTGAAACTTTTCCTCCTTTTCTCCAGCCCCCAAGGACCAAGTCTTCACCCTCCTCCACGTGGTGTTCCAGACCCTCGCAGCTGCTATGAGACAGGAGCCAGCCAACGCCAAATTCTTTGCCTCGGAGGTAAGCCCGGGTTGTCTGCTTATTCCACTCTTAAATTATCCCAGCCTTTTTTGGCAATCGGATGTTGAACCTTTTTTTTTCTCCTCTGGTCATGCTGTCCAAGCCAAAACAAAATATGGTTAATTATTGACTGTAGTCTTTTCCGTAAGAAAAAACCTTCAACAAACCTTAACACAATTGCATAGACAGATCATTAATTTGTATCCATGCAGTTGCCAAAATTAGTTTCAATTTATTGCATTTTTAAGATTCGCTATGAAACTTTGACCGAGGAAATCAGACGTCTCGGCTGTTTCAGTGACGTCACAGAACTGCTCCCCCAGGCTCACTGCCCGGCAGTGAGCAACGATGGCTCGTCAAACACAGAACCATTCCACAACCTCTTCGATATTGGCGGGTAAGTTCTTATTATCTCCAAACTTCTTCAAATCCCTAATAATCTATTTTTATTCCAAAAATTGTTTTTGTAAGGATTCAGCACATCTACATAGTTTCAGGGGCAATTCAACTCAAGGGGAGGGTGGCCTAGTGGGTAGTGCTTGCGAATCCGGCTGCTGGCAATACGTTGTGTTCTCAGGCAAGCCACTTTACCTCAACTTACCTGTCTCAATCTGGGGTATAATTTGTGCGTGGTTGTAAGTCTTTTAAAGTATTTTTCATGTAGTGTCACTTTAAAGTTTGAATTAAATTCAATTGAATTGTGATCAGAGAGTCGGGGGTTCGAATCCTGCTGCTGGCCATACGTTGTGTTCTCAGGCAAGCCACTTTACCCACACTTGCCTCTTTCAATGTGGGGTATAATTTGTGTATGTTTGTAAGTCTTTTAAAGTATTTTTCACGTAGCATCATTTCAAAGTTGATATTGATTTGAATTGAATTGAATCGTGGTCAGGGGTATGAATCCTGCTGCTGGCCATACATTGTGTCCATAGGCAAGCCACTTTACCCCAACTTACCTCTCTCAATCTAGGGTATTAGTTCTAACATTGGCTAGGGAGTAACCTGTGATGGACTGGCACCCCATCGAGGTGCAAAAAAAATTCTCAGTTTCATACCAACCAGAGGTAATCACCGGTCGGAGCTATATTGGCTCGAGACAGACTTGACTTCGTTTACTTCAGACATTGGTATTAAAATGATTTTGGTGTACATGTATTATATTTGCAGCAATCCCGACCACATTTCCGATGGCCTGAGATCCTCTTGTCTACTACTCAGATGCCTGTACGACACTGCCATTGATGCTTTCAGCAGGTTGGTTTGGAGTTCAGTTGCATCAAAAACTGAAAAATTATTGCTAAACCTTTGCGACTAGTAAAGTGGATTAAAGATCAACCTAAAATGTGTTCAGGGGAGTTGAGATTAATTGGACATATTCACACAGCTAACATTCATTTGAACTTAAGGGCAGACATTGGAAATTTTCTGACCAATTTATTGGAATTGTTGACCAGACAAAAAATAGCTTAGCAAAAACAGGTTACCAGTCAAATTGTCATTGTAATGTTTATTGCTGTTCACTGGTATTCCTCAGATATTCACTTAATTCATCAATTGGGCTTTCAATGTAAGCACAAGCTGGAAGGTTACCCCCATAAAATGTGGTTTAAAACAAATAAATAAAGTAATAAAGAAGTAAAAAAATCTTAATTTTTTCCTGACCACAGCAAATCAGCACAGACGCCCATCAATTCCCCAGCGTCCAGCCACCACGTTCACGACGCCTTCACCCCTCTGCCAACCCCGCCCTCCTCCCCTGGCAAACCCCGGTCCACCGTCCGCAGGTTATCGCCGCGTTCGGCGGGGGCTTCCCCACCCAGTGCGTCATCCCCTCTGTCGCCATCGGCCCCACCCCCGCCCAACCACCCGACCATCGTGCATCCCGGAGCCGTGCTGGCGTTGTTGGACCTGCTGCCGTCGGTGCAGTGTGAGAGAGATCGAAAGGTATGGCTTCTATTTTATTTATTTGTACTGTTGCTCAAATTACTATAGTACCCTGTTTAGCTATTTCACCCACTATTTCCTGAAGAGTACTATCATATTAGCCAGTTCTTTGATCCTCGCTATCCTTACTCTGATCCTTACGAATAGCTTTACTGTAAGTTCTTCTATCGCCCAAGAAACCAACCCTGTTACCTGTGTATATTTCCTCAGTTGGCCCTCCGTCTACAAATGCACATAGCCGACGTGATCCAGGATCTGGTCAAGAGTGAACGCAATCAGCAGGTCATGTGTGAGAACGGCCTGCCGCAGAGGTTACTGCATCTAGCGTCTGCTGCCCTCGCTGACGAGGAGCATCCACTGCATAGTAACCTACAACACATGCTGGAGAGGCTGGCCTCGCAGGCACTGGAACCCAAAGATCTAAGGTTGGTTCCGGGATTTTGACCTCAAATCTCAAACCTCACAGACAATGAAACCCAAAGATTCAAAGTTGGTTCCTGTGTTTTATTGCAAACCTCAAACCTCAAAACTAAAACCTCACAGACACTGAAACCCAAAGATTCAAAGTTGGTTCCTGTGTTTTATCTCAAACCTCAAACCTCAAAACTAAAACCTCGCAGACACTGAAACCCAAAGATTCAAAGTTGGTTCCTGTGTTTTATCTCAAACCTCAAACCTCAAAACTAAAACCTCACAGACACTGAAACCCAAAGATTCAAAGTTGGTTCCTGTATTTTATCGCAAACCTCAAACCTCAAAACTAAAACCTCGCAGACACTGAAACCCAAAGATTTAAAGTTGGTTCGTAGGTTTTATCTTGAACCTCAAACCTCAAACCTCGAACCTCAAACCTCACAGACTCTAAAACCCAAAGATCTTATGTTGATTTCTGTGTGTGATCTGAAACCTCAAACCTCAAACCTCACAGGAACTAGCCCTAAAGATCAAATGTTGGTCACTTTTGTTTGCCACCCACCCCATGCTGCTACCCCATTCGCCTCCCCTCCCCTACCCCATGCCCCCGGAATTTGATTACGAATCAGTGTGAATTAACTCCTTGAATTTACTGGATGGAATTCTTTCGTTTGTATGTAGGGATTTCTTGAGGCTTGGCAGTCCCCTCAACTGCAAACCATTAGACGAATGCCCCAACCCAGCCAGCCAGTCTGGCTACCTAGACATCCCCGTCAGTGCAATATCTAACGTGAACGCGGGCAACCCGAGCGCCACCGGCCCAGCTACCATCATCACCCCGGAGCAATTTTCATTCCCCGCAGTCTCGCCGGATATGTCCGACACGAACAGCGCCACCTCGGAACTCTCGGGCAAATGCTCGTGCAATCTGTGCACCACGCAGGGCAGCGTGGTTCCGCTGACCCGGGTCAAGTGTCTGGTCTCCATGACCACGCCCCGGGACGTCCGGCTGAACAGCACGTCGGTCACGCCGGCGTTTGCGGAGTTTGACATGAGCGCCGAGGGCTACGGATGCCTGTACCTGCCCAGCATCGCCCCGCAGTCCACGCCGTCCCAGACGGTGGTCAGCGTAGGAATGGCCACAACCGGTGATTCAGCTAATATCAGCGGAGTTGGAACAGGTACCGATTTCTTGAAAAAATTGTGCAAGACTTGTCATGCAATGAGCTGATTAAGTAAACAACCATTTGGTTTTCCGTACATTTCTTTTTAAAAGAAAACAAATCTTGTGTCAAAGACGAACAAATTTCCAGAAAAACTGTGGCGTGTCTTGGCGAATTGTAAAAATTTTTGTTCAAGGGTCGTTTGCTTCTACCTAACTCTCCCAGAGGTTTGAATCTAGTTATATCGTTATGCCTATCCTCCTTGTTTCCCAGGAGAGAGAGCATTCCCGCCCCAGACCGGCCTGACCTACTCCGTCTGGTTCTGCGTCGACCGTTACTGCACGCTGGACACCAGCACGCACCCGGTACGCCTACTGACCATCGTGCGGAACGCCATCAGTACCGAGAACCACTCGACGTGTCTCCGGATCAGCATCGAGGGGCCCGAGAGGAAACTGGTCATTAATACGTCCGAGGAACCTCTATCGAAAGCTGGTGAGGACAGAAATTCACGTTGCCATATTCTAAGCTGAGAAGGACTTGTGCCTTACAGAATTCATTGGATTAAACATGGAATTGGCCTTGGGACTCTAGTCTAGAAACTATCAAATTCTGGAACATCGTTCCAGGATTGTGCCGAACCAGAATGCATTTGAAGCATTTCAAGTCAATTCAAATAGAATTGAATTCAGACAGGCAAATTTTATAAACTAATTTGCTATTGAGTGGGCTCTGGAGTCATTTTGAACAACTGAATTTGTCAATCTTTTACTAGTAGGTGCTCATAATTGTTTCAAATGTCAAAATAAATCTCATGTTTGAAAAAATGGTCTGGTTTCTTGACTACATCAGCGCCCTTAATATATCCTTATACCAGTCTGTTGAGAGCCATGCGATGGTCTTTGAAAAATGTCTAGCTTAACCTACTACCGAAAGAAAAACCCAAGGATTTTGTGCCGTCCTGCTCCGAATATATTATTGATTGTCTTGTTTTTGCTCAACAGATGACAGGCCAGACAACGACCCATCGGCTGTGAGGGTGTTCTGCCCTGAGCTGGCCCAGGAAGGCAAGTGGCATCATCTGGGAGTGGTGTTTAACAAAGCCGTGCTCAAGAACAGCTCAGTATCGCTGTATGTGGACGGGACGCATATACACTCGCACAAGGTAAGGGAGTGGAGACAAGATACTGTGACAGACATAGTGAAGCACACGATGACACATGTCACAGGAATGAAGGAGTTTCATACAGTGTGGTGTTAAGTACTGACCAATAGCACCATGCCACTGTTAGAATCGTAGACAGACAGACAGACTGACATAAACAGTGACAGACACCCACAAAAACAGATTGTTGGGAGGGTAGTTAAACACCAGAATTGATACAAGCAAGAACATTAGGTTGATTTGTTAAAACGCTAGTATGTTCAGATAATCTCTAAGATTGCTTGATCGTTCTTATCTCAAGATGCCGTACATCCAGACCCACCTGCCCGGAACCACCAGCTCCCCGACCAACCTGACCTCCGTCTACGCCTACGTCGGCACCCTGGCCCCCCAGAAGAGCTTGTCTCGGTTGCTATGGCGACTGGGCCCCACCCACCTCTTTGAGGACCCCCTGGCGGCGTCAACACTTTGTGCAATCTACCTGCTTGGACCTACCAACGTTGGGAGCTTTCAGGCTCCGAGGCAGGAGGGTAGGTTTTTTGGGATGGTGGTAGATGATCTGTAGGCTCGGGCTGTGTTCTTCTTTTGCTGGCTTTCTTATTCCGAAATTCTCCCTGAATCATAACGATCCCAACTACTACAATACACTCTTTACATAATTGGAGGATTTCTAAGGATTGAGGTGCTTTAAAAATTATAGTATTGGAGGATTTTGGAGGATTGAAGGCATAACATGGATTGATTATTTAATGGAGAATGATAAGGACCAAGGCAAGCAGGCCCCATTTGCTGGAAGATGAAATTAGAAGGTTGAGGTAGCTGGTTTGTGTGGCCAAAAATGATGTGGGAAGGTGGAGGAGATGGAGAAAGGCAATTGCAGTAATGTGTCTTGCCCAAGAACACAAACATGATCACAGTCAGATTACAAAACCACACAATTATTCAACATAAGTTGGACACCATAACCATTGATGTTTCTAGCTTGTGTGGCCAAATATGATTTTAAGGGGGAGGTGGAAAATGGCAATTGTAGTAAAGTGTCTTGCCCAAGAACACAAAGCTCTAGCAACAAGCGTTTTGTTTTACATTTATTCCAGAATTCAGTTCAGTGAGGGTTGACCTGTCGGCACTTCAGATCCCAGAGGAGAAGATCGTCATCGGCATCCACGCCCACGCCCTCTCAGTACTGACCATCTCCAAGATCAGGAAGACGTTCAACAAGTTTGACAGCAAGTCTGTGGCTAAGCAGGTAAAACCAAAGATTAGGCTTGTTGTCAACAAGTAGGAGTTGGTCGTTCAGTGGTTCATTTGTAAAATAACTTTCGTCTGCACTTATAGGAAAATGTCGAAGCCTGTCGTCGAACCATGGTAATACATCATAGCGATACTCGGCTTCCTGCTGCACATAAGGATGGGCAATTGCACAATTGCCAATGGGCTATTGTAATTAGCCATGTCAGCAACTTTGGTAGTCTAATCCTGCATAGTTGCCTACACTAGCCCAACTTAGCTGACTAGTGTAGGTTCAAGTGATGTTACTTGAATACTTCGTGCTCGAACTTGTGCTCAAGCAATTCACAGTTTGTTTAACTCTCTTGTGCAATATGGTGACGTTTTTATGTTTGCCTTCTTTCCATCTTATGTTTTTCAGTTGGGCCTGTCCACCCACGAGAACTCCACCCCAATCCGCATCATCCACAACTCGGCGTGTCACCTCAGCGGAAGCGGACGGTCGTTCGGGGCAGTTCTCATCGGAAACATTGGTAAAATGAAACACCTTGTCCCAAGCTGCCACTGCATCTTAAAAAATTACTAGCGTGCCAGAGTTGCGCTGAACCAATTTTTTCTGAAAATCAGAATTGCATTTAATGCTTGAAACAACTAGGAGCAACCATATACAAAAAAACACCTCAAGGAATTGCCTTTCAGAAACCAAATTAATTTTGAGTTGACTTGGGTTGCTCTACATGCATTTTTGCTTCCATGCGATTCTGATATGCCTATGATTGAGTGCAACTGTTCATCAGTGAAATGACCCAATTTTACCCAATTTTTTGATTGACCTGTAATTGATTGTGACGGAATCAAAATTGATTAAAAATTGTTGGAGTCACCAAGGCCTTTACACAAACTCTGTTATACATTTATTCCCCGTTTACACAGGTGTGAGAACTTTCTGCCCCAAACCAGTAGCCAGTACCCTTGAGAACATCGGCGGGTCGGCCCCGCTGCTAGGCCTGATAGCCATGTCCACGGACGTCGAGGGGCTGTACGCGGCGGTCAAGGCGCTTGTCTGCGTGGTCAAGAACAACAGTCCGGCCATGGCCGAAATGGAACGGACAAGAGGATATCAGGTGAACAAAAAAAAGTTAAAATTGACATGTCAGAAAAAAAATTGCTCGGGTTTGTCTGTTTTTCTGTAGCACCTGTACTACATTATATTACCCATCGTATTTTGCTGGTCGGGACTGGCTGATGATTTTACTCTCTGTTTTCATCCCAGATTCTTGCCTTCCTGCTGAAGAAGAAGAAGCATCTGTTGAACAGCCACATCCTTCACCTGACATTCTCGCTGGTTGGAACCATCGACAGCGGCCGGGAGACCACCATCATCCCTCACAGGACGGCGTTTGAAGACCTACTGTGTGACTTGGAGGTACAGAATTTCATAAATTTGTAGAAAACACTTGTGACTGGACTTGTGATTTACTTGTGACTGGACTTGGGATTTACTTGTGACTGGACTTGTGATTTACTTGTGACTGGACTTGTGATTTACTTGTGATCCATTAAAAGAACCTCCATAACAAAGGAACAATGTTCTGCTTATTTCATTTATCACAATGAGCTTTTGTCGAATTAATTCTTCCGTTACAAGTTTGGCACAAGCCCTGAACAACCAAATTAAAAAAGAGTCATAGTGTAACTCGCAAGCTTGCAAAAGTTCGAGTTCATTTTGATTCCAGATTTTCAGATGTACCATTTGTCAGTGTTCACTCCCCAAAATGCTCACAAATGCATTTGATGGATCAATTCTTTCTTCCTGTAGGTCTGGCACAATGCCCCTTACGACCTCCAGCGCTCCCTCTATGATCACTTCTACGAGCTCCTGACGGACTCCAGCGAGGCCGACAAGAACCGTAAGATGATGCGACAGCTGCGCATGGTCAACCGGCTACTGTACATGCTCCATGACCCCACCTTGACCCACGCAACCATCCAGTCCATCGCTAACCTGATCAGCGTCATGCTGCAAGGCGGGTCCAGCAGCGCGGACTTGCTGTCGTAAGTTAATTTCGTGTTTCACTTGCGGTCGCGGGATAACTAATATAATCTTTACTTGTCAAGAAATTGTTCTTTCTGCTTTGTCAAGACTGTAGCCTGCATCTTGAGTGACTCTTGGCCTTGTGTTTGGGTGATAATGGTCAAAAGAAAAGAAATGAAATTCAAACTGAAGTATTTTCCATTTGGTGCTGTTTTGATTTCTCCAGAGTTGGTCAGTTTTTGGCGTCCACCTTGCCCAACCTGTCCGCCGATGAGAGGATGGTTACACTGGATGAACTCCAATGTCTGGTCTCGGACACTGACTCCCAGAAAGGAAGCAGGGGTGAGTCTGGAGGAAAACTTTAAAAAAAAAATCAACTATAAAAGCCAATGAAACAAATGAAAATTCCATTTTCGTGTAGTAATTGAACCAAGTTGATAAAGTTATGCATGTTTGAATATTTCAACACAGAATTACATCAGAGTGACAAAATTTGACTGTGGTCTGTTACTGGACTTTTGATTGAATTGTTACCAGACTTGTGATGGACTTTCCATAGACTTAACTACGTTTAATCTGTCTCATCAATACAGAATAAGTTTTATAAATTAAAAATTTCACCAACTGAATAATTCTCTTTTTCAAATAACGAGAATTCATCCTCAAAGGACAACTTTTTATGGAGTTACCTGACTCGGTCTCATTTCCGCGGTAACATTCTTAGTGATGTTTTCCTTGTTTCTCGACCCAGACAACGAGAGCATGTCTGAAGACTGGACAGGCACCATATCCCCTCACAACATCCACCTGAGGAATGTTCTTATGGATGTCATCCTCAAACTGCTCTTCACGCCGAACACGCACAACGCCAGTCCAAGGTAAACGAAAATGAGAGTTAGACCTGAAAACGTACACACATTAAACTTCATTTGTTAAAGTTGAAAACAAGAAATTGACAGGAGCGGGTTTTGAACCTGCAACCTCCGGATTGCCGTTCCGGTGCTCTTTTGACGGAGGATCGGTGTTCAACTTTAAACAATTGTTATAATGCACCTAGTCAGCTTCCCCTTGTAGTTTATTTGGAGAATTTAACTTGCTCGTTCTTTGGCAGGCAACGTTTCCGTTGACCAGGGAACCGGATCCCACAAAATGAAAACTTAACAATATTTGTAACTTATTGCATGTTCTGCACTTCATATTGATGTAACATTGTGCAAAATTTGTAAAAAAAATTTTTTAATTAGTCAACAGTTACTCTGGTGACTTTTCAACTCATTGTGTTTGGTTGGGTTGCTTTTTAAGCAGATTTTGCATCTGAATTTGCATCTGGCTTTGTTTGCTGTTATGGTCTCTCTAAAATGATGAAGAAAACTATGCTTAGCAGCGCCATGAATAGCTGTAAGGCCCAATTTTGTGGTGCACTACCACAACTTATTACATGTTGCATGTTTGCTTCAAAATAAAATTTTTGTCAGTGAACTGGTGATTTACTTGTTCATTTCGGTAGCATGTGCGAGGAGATCTTGAAAATCCTGGGCTACGATTGGCTGCTGCTGTTCCTGCAGAGCCACGTACACGCCACTACGGTCATCATGGGACTGCGTATCCTAGTAACCATGCTGTACAGCCAATCAGCGATCAGCAAGTTCCGGGACGGGACTTTCGGTGGCGGCTGGCTGGACAAGACGGAAGCTGTGCTGCAGAATAGGATGGGTGTGGTGCTAGGTAGGTCTGGGGGTCTGGATGACAGATTTTGGAAAGGTCCCGAATAAAGCAGTTTGGTAATCTTGCTGCACATCTGCTGCTCAAAATTTGAGTATTTCATGGATGACTCACGATCAACTTGTGAATGAGTTATGGTAACTGGTGATGACGTGCTTCTGCCTCGATTTTGACTCTTTTCATCTAGTGATTGTGATTGATTAGTGGTTAAAGGGAATATACATCATTTGCTTTTGCTGTAATTTTCAGAAATGGATGGAATTGGGGGGTTGGAAATATATAGCAAATATAGTTACACTGACTTTTTGAGGTTTTGGGTTCGAAAATACTATAAAAACCAAGAAAAACAATCATGTTCCTGTAGTCTGGTTCCCTGACTCCATATAAGAAGAAACAGAGCAGTTTACATATATTGGGGAATTGTAAGGTCAGGGAACCAGTCTAGCTGGCTTGTACCAGTTCATAGGTGTGTAATCGATTGCAAACAAGTGCGATGGTCAACTGGGGCCAGTATTTGAAAAAAAGCCAGTTTTTTCCAACGCTGATCGGCCGATCAGCGTTGGAAATTGATACAAAAATACCACTTTTCTTGAAACTGACAGTATACCAGGTGCCATGATTTTACAGGATGCTTTACACTGTCATTCACTAACAGTCCAGCAAGGTATTTCAAAATGATTTGGTAGTTTTATTTTTTGATGTTTGCAAATGTTGTATTTTCCCTTTAACTTGTGATGACTTGTGACTGAGTCCATCACAACTCTTTTGTTTTGCCTTTGTAGGTTTCAATCTGGGCAAGGGCAAAAAGGGACTGCAGAACCGCGAGATCAACCAGGAGACGTGCCACATGCCGGGCTTCACGGTGCTCCAGTGGCTACTGCCGAGGCACGCCAGCGTACCAGGGATCTACTTCCTCCTGATGGCCATGTCATTGGGTCAGCAAGTCAGAGAACTCCCTGAAAACTGTCAGGTGAGGGACCTAACTTGTTGCGTATTACAAGCCATCAGCTCAAAATTGTGCCACCTAGAGATGCCGAGATGATATATCAGCTAGAATGTCATAATGCATTGTTTCAATTCTGTCCAAGTTAAGACAATTTGTTGCCCAAAAAGTAAACACCCGTTTTCAGACTGGCATTCTAGAGTCGCAATAAACCAAAATGTATTTAGAAACCTCGACTGGACCCAAAGAGAATTTGGTTTCCAACACGCAAACTTTTTGTTATAATTTTCCGTTGCTGTGACTCTGGAATCAAATTTGAATGACTGCAAGAATCAACATTTTTGCTAATAGTCACTCGAAATTGTTTTAAATGTTGAACTTGATTTCACTTGTCGGAATAAGTTATTTTGATGTAACTTTTACCTCAGATATGCCCGTCAAAAATGGATTTTTCTCTTTGATTGTGGAAATTAATTGCCTTAATTTGACAGAATTCAATCTGTTCATGTAGACTTGAATTTGTACAATTGCAGGGAAAAATCAATGTATAAATATCTATCAATTTTGGTTCATTGATTTATTGATAATCAAAAGAAATTTTCCTGCAATTACAAGGAGCTCCAGTTATGGAAATCAGTCTGATATTCTATGCTTTCCCCAACAGCTGGATTTGAATTCCATGTGGCAGTTCATCTTCGGCATTCCTACCAACCAGCCCCTCTCTGGCCGTGTGGCTACCAACATCTGCACCGATGCCATCCTGGTCATACTGGCTCAGATCAGAGCAATGCTCAACCACGTAAGCGGCCAATTCCGGTTCTTAGCGAATTCCCAAGAATTGAAATGTGTTCTCCTTTTGTAAATTCATAATTCTAATACCAGAAGTGAAGTCACAATTTTTGTGTGTGTCTGAAAAATTATGATAAATTAATAAACCACAAAAATGCTTCAAAATCTATATTATACGTATTCATGATTGTTTCAGAACCATTGGTAGTAAGGTCTCCTTGATTGTTTGAATCTTTGATTCAGATTTACCTCAGGACAAAATTTTAGTTTTTACCCTCCAAAGAAAAACAAAATCCACTAATTATTTCATCCAAATATGTTTTTTTCCTCCAAAAAGACCATTGACCCAGACGAGGATATTCCATGGATCCAGGAGTACCCAGTGACGCTCATTCAGTTCCTGCTCTACCTGTATCACAACGTCCCTGAGTTCAAACCGGTCTGCATGAGTGCGCCGTTCCTGTGCGGTCTAGCGTCGACCATGTTCCCGTATACTGCCAACACTGAACAGGTCAGACCGCCACACGGACCAAGAAAAAATGTTTTTTTTTGTAATTCGGCTGATTTTTCAGTCCTTTTATGTTTTATTTTTTTACTGTTTCAACACTGTTGAAAAAAAATTCCAACAACCGAGAAAGATAAATTTTATTGTAATCAGTGGATTTTCAGTCTTTTATTCTCATTTTTGTATTATTTTAGCACTATTGCTGGATTCGTCTAGTTCAATTTCAGTTGTTAAAAAAATTCCAACAACCGAGAAAAAAATGCATTTTATTTTAATTTGTCTGATTTTTTTTCAGAAATTGTATTCTTAATTTTTGGGGCATCGTGAATTTCAGCTTTGTTGCAGGATTTATCTGATAACAAATTCCAGCAATTGATAAAAAGTGTAGCCCTTTCTTAATATGCTTGTGTTGCATTTACCAAAAAAAATAGTAGCATATTTCGTAGGGTATATACAGGTTTTTGTCAACAAAAGAGGAAATATTATTTTTGAAGTTTAATTTATCCAAGTAATGTTAATACTTGTACATATCTTAGGGTTTTCTTTTGTGATGTTTTCATTTTTGTGCACCTTTAGTTATTTTTCACAGCACTCTACATCAACATTTAACCTTCCCATAGAATTATCTCCTTCTGTTGTCCTTCAAACCTTTTCCCATTTTCTTCTTCCAATTGGAATTTTTCTGGATACGTCAATTTTTTTCTTCTCAGTCATCTCTTCTAAAAGTTGTGTGCAATCCCTCATGTCTCTGACAAAAATTCGACCATAAATCAAAAAGATATATTTTTTTTCTTCAGATTGGATTTTTTTTTCTTCTTCGGTTAGGAGCATTTCCAAGTCCTTTTTAAATTTGCGATTTGAAAAAAATTCCTTCCTCATGGAATGCTTACAAACAAATCTTTGGAAAATCTTTAGAAAGTAACCGGACTGAAACTTCATACCACAAGATATTTTTAATACACAAAGACTTTTGGCTTGATATAAACATTTTGTTGCATACATTACTTGGGATAGCCTATTAATGTACACACGAAGAATGTATCAATTACATTTTTGCTAAATGAAAGACAAACATGCTCAACAAAATTACAAAATTTGGTGAACACATTTTACAACCAAAATCCATATTTGATATTTTAATTTGTGATATTTGTAAAGGTAATTTTTTTTCTGATTTGAATTTTTGACACATGGATGATTGCACACGGCTTCTCCTCCCCCTTTCCCTCCCTTTTGCCCCGCCCTCCTCTTTTATACCCCCAGCACGGTTTGTACATTTCTTTTTTCTCATCGCCCATTACTCCCTTTCCCAGGACTATATCCATGTTGAGGAATATGTCATAGTGGTATGTATTCATTTGCCGTTTCCAAAATGACTATAACTAGTTTCATTTCACGTTCACCTGTATGGAGTAATTCAGTCATGTTTGTCCTTTTTGTTGTTGATTTGTTTTGTCTGTTGCGTGGGGATTGCAGAGTGTCTTTTTGCCTTTGCTACTCAAGGCTGCAGGAAGTGTGTTTTTTCCCGTAAACGACGTCAATTCTGAGCAGTATTTGGACGCATTTTTCCTTTAAACGTGGGAGGTTTGAGTTGGCACATACTTCTTTTCCTTTGTTTCACTTGTGGTGTCTTGGGTTCGAATCCGCCAAGGGCACAAAATAGACATAGCCGTTGCTTTGTACTTGATCTTTAAGCAGACAAAGTGGTTTTTGACCCCTCCCCTACTCAAAACTATAACTCCTAAATCAACTAGCAAATCTGAACAGTGGCTGGAGTCAATGCTTTGCGATACAATTGGGATTATATGTTGGCACCTACATCTTCCGTTTGACCTGTGGTGTCTTGGGTTCGAATCCTGCAAGGCCGCAGTGTCACTTTCTTACTTGATCTTAAAGTAGAAATAGTGGTTTTCTGACCCCTCCCCAACTAAAAACTAGAACTCAAAATCAACTAGCAAATTCGAACAGTGGTTGGAGTCAAAGCTTTGCAATAAACTTGGGAAGTTTTTTGTTGGGATATAGATCATTTCTTCTGTTTCACCTTGGTGTCTGGGGTTCGAATCCTGTCAGGACACAATGTAAAAAAAAACTGTCACCTTCTTCCTGGTCGTAAAACTCCTCAGATAAAGCGTTTTTACAGCCCCCATCACAATGAGAAATCTTTGTAGTTTTCCCTCAATGCGTTCTTCATCTAGAAATGCTGAGTTACTTTAAAAGAAGTTATTTTTCAAGCTTTATGAAGAAATGAAACTGGCCAAATTTTCGCATTTTTGAATTCTCTTGTACAGCGGCACACATTTCTTACAGTTCACCAAATATTCAGGAATTGTTGACTGAATATTCATGAATTGATCAACTACATACCTAACATCCATTTAGTTCTGGTTCTGTATTCAATTCTTTGACTCCAGGAATGCCTTTGTCCATTTGCTCAAATGATCAACCTGTTTTTGTTTGAGTTTGTATTTTCTGTTTAATTTCTAGTCTTGGTCTTGGTTTTGGTTTGAGTTCCGATCTAACCATCTTTGGGGGGATTTTTTTCTTTTAACTACGAATGCTTTGTAACCACAGCACACAGTCACATATTAATCCAGTATTATCCACACTGATCATAATAATGGCAGGTTTTATGGCTATATATTTTTACCGTTCTTAATCTTTACTCACTTAGAAATCTTAAAAACTCATTTTCATTTGAAAAATGAAGTATTTAGTGCTGAATTTTGAAATTAGTTTTTGTTTTGTTCTCTTCATATCTAGCCGAGTGAAGACAGCAGTGAATTATCCTCGCCATCTGAAGAGATCAAAGTAAGTCAGAGAAGCCAGTCTTCTGCAGAATACTAACGCTGCCCAGTCAGTTTTTATAATTATTTACTTGGCGGTAGCATGTCAGAGTGAATTTGTTTTATTTGATTTTGTTTAACCGAACCCATTAACGCCAGTCTTTTTTTCACTGTTTTATGTGCTGTTTCTGTTTCCTGACAGTACCTGCCTGGATTGGGCATACCTGTCTTCGGGATAAAGAGCCCTGACAGATATTCAAATCAATCAGGTAAGAAAAAAATCACTCAATTCAAGCTTTTTTTTTTACTCATATCAAGTTGTTTTTCTTTCACTGATATTCACCTTGTGAAGTTGAGTGGCATTTGAAATATGTGTGCTGTCCCAGAGAGCCAGCGTGGTATCCTTTTGTACAAAGGTACCTGACTGACTGACTGACTCACTGACTGATTGTCACTTGTGACTTGGAGTGGTTACCTATCTCATACAATCCTATTGTCTTCCTTTCTAGGCAATCTGGCCAACCATCCCGGCAGGCGCTACGTCATGGACTTCCTACGAGTCATCGTCATGGACAGTTTGTCTCTCCCTGCTCCGAGCAAAACTCCACCGGTCTTGGATCTTCTTCTGGAGGTAAGACATGGCAGACAGCCTTGCTTTGAAACTTGCTGAGCAATTATACTATGTGCTTAGCATATTCACTTGAAAACCACAACTGTAACATCCCATTCTCATTTCAGGCGTCCCCGGTTCGAGCCTCGCCGGCCCAGACCAGCGAGTTCCAGACGGAGGTCCTGGCCAATCTGATGGAGCGGCTGGTGGCCGGCGACGTCTTGCTGGAGAAGGAGGGCGCACTCGCCATAGCGGCGGGAGGCAGCTTCAACAACCTCATCAACAATGTATTCTATCTGAGCTCCAGGGTCGTGGATAAACTCTGGCAGGGTAAGATTTTGTCGTTAAAAGTTGAAGTATCATAGGATATTTCAGGATTGAGGAAGATACGGCCCAGCAACTTTTATTTCTCATGAGGTTTGATTCCCGTAAAAGTTCAGGCACAGACATTTTGCCGTTAGTTTCCTGCATAGTGGAGAAGTAAATTGAGTTTAAAGCATAAAAAAGCTTCGGAAGTGAAGGTAATGTTGTCTTTTTGTTTGTACAGGTGTTTTCAACCACAAGTCGAAGGATGTGTTTGAGTTTGTGGTACAGCTTATCAACCAGGCCAAAAGGAGAGGTAAAGATGAAATAAATCAGTCAGTAATCTACAGCTGGACATGTTTGAAAATCAGGTTTAAGTTGCTCAACTTTTAATATAGCTTGTTATCGATATTCTCCAGAAAGCCAGTTTTCACTTTGTTACTTTGAATGGAGAGGATGTCAGTGCATGGTTTAATTGTTGACTTGAGGCTGAGGAAAACTAGGAAAATAATGAAACAATACAAAAAAATGATGTTCAAAAAACAATTAGTTAAGAACTCTTTGCTCATACATTGGTGTACATTTCAAGTGATGAATCCCAATAAGAATATCAATTCCATCCGTTTGGGTTTACACATTTCATATATCTTGGTCCATGTAAGGCAGGAAACTCCCCTTTTTCGGGGGGCAGCAATGTCTTATTTTTCTTTTTGCTCATGTTTTCTGTTTGATCCAGGTTCACATGGCATACCATGGGACACCATCTATCACTGTATGAACAGAACTGTGCTGTACCAGCTGTCGAGACCGCACAACACAGTCGCAGGTTTGTGGCAATCTTAAGTCTGATAATCGTTCCTCAGTCCACAGACTTGATTATTGAAGTACATGGAAATAAATGTGTTGGGTATACCACCCAGTGGGCACGTGTGGTCTAGCGGTAGAGCACATGCCCCATGATCGTGGGATTGTGGGTTCAAGCCCCGCCGTGGCCATGCGTGCTGTGCCCTTGAGTAAGGCGCTTTACCTCAATTACTCCTCTCAACCCAGTTGTTAAATGGGTACCTGCATTATTCAATGCTGGGAAGGTAACAGACTCGCTGTGGAGGAGGTGTGGCGATCCCCCCACAGCAGCACATGAGTCTGGCCCAGTCGCTAATGAAAGAGAGATGGGCACTCCGTTTCTGTGAACACAGGTTCGTTCCCTTTACCTGTTTATACCACGACTGCTAAAACCAGAAAACCTTTTCATCTTGATCTTCGTGCTGCAGATCAGTACTCACTGCTGGAATCCTTGCATCAGATCACCGAGAACCGCAACTTGCTGTTTGGACACAGCAACTCGGAGCAGGAGTTTGGCATCTGTCTCTGCCACCTGCTGTTCAGCCTGACCGATGATCTCAGGTACGGCCATCTTGGTCTGGTTCCCTGAGCATTTGGGTTAGGTTTATGCACATCCAGACTTTTTTGGGGGACCAGACTTTTTTGACATGGACCTCATTTAAGGTTGCAGGCACTTTATATTATTCCTTGTTCACTTTATATTCATGTCTTAGCCATGGCCTCACTTAGTGTTTCCAGTCACCAATGCCCAGTGTCTGAACTTCAAGTTGGTCTCAGTCTCGAGACCAGTTGTACATAAAAATGGTGCCGGAATGAAATTTTACCAATTGATTAACGATTCCATTGCCTCTTGTGGTGACTGAATTTGAAGAGTCCTTATGTAATTTTAATTCCTAGATCGTATTTAATCAATAGTTTTTTGAAAAGCTTATTTACTTTGTCTTTTCATTTCAGTGCTGGAGGCATGTGCTTACACTGCCAATCCACCGAGGTGAATCGCACCACCCAGTGGCACGTCGACCCCATGTACCCTGGGAGCCACTCTGAGGGGGATTGTCAAGAACGTGAGAGCACCCATGCTCAAGAAGGTCAACTACTAGTCCGCAAGGCTTCACGAAGAGTCTGGGATGAACTCATCGCAAGCAAAAAACAGGTTAGATAAGGCCATTTCAAAAAGAAATTAAAAGTAATGATGTTGTGCAGGTTAATAATCATATATTGTTGTTTTTGGAAATCTGCATTGGTTGAGGAAAGGTGAATGTATATCTGTTTGTTCTTGTTTCCAGTTCGTTGAGGAGATCTTCAAAGTCACATTGCCAAACTCGTAAGTCTTTCCACTTTTTATTTTGTTCCTTTCTATATTTGTGTGATCAATTTGAACGCTTTGAACTTTTACATGTTTGTAAATTTGTTTATAATTTCTGAATGTTATTTCTTGTTTTACAGCAATGCTGGAACTAAGGGTGCTGTATCAGTAGACCTTAAAATTGCAAGGTAGGCCATGTAAAGTTTTATGTTTGTCTGATCTAAGAATGGGTACCAATTCCCTCTGAGAGTGATGTATGAAATTTGAATAACCAAACAGTATCAAAATTATTCAGTTTTTTTTCCATTTCTTGAATGCACAATGTGTCATAGAAATTACTTTTGGAAACTTGCACTAAATGTGTTATACCAACATAACTCTTCACCCTTTCTGTTTGTAGATCTTCCATGGGTGAAACTGCTTCTAAGGTGTGGAACAGCTACATCACAGCAGAGAAGAGGAACTCAGTACGTGATCAACAAGTGTCCTCGGTACGTCCGTAATTTCTTCTCTTCACCGCTTCTGTCCGTCCTTTCAAATGTTTAATTATGTAAGGTCTACAAACCTTTCTTCCATTCGGATTGCTTTATTTTTCAAAATTGTGTTTTTTTTCAGCGGTTATCAAGTAAAGTGAGCACCAGCTTCCAGCTCCTGTCCTCAAGTCGGAAGAGCAAGAGGGAGAGCGCATCCTTCAAGTTCAACCTGCCGTCTATCCAAGAGGCTAGCATGTGGACGTTCACACACATCTCCATTGCCAGAGACCTAGTGGAGCTGCAGTTCAACCAACACCTAGAGGTGAGTGATGGAATCCACCTTGGAGAGGCATGAAGAGTCTCTGTTTGTGTTAGAGGTGGTAATTGGTGTCAGCATTGGGATTGATGCGAGTCGTGGGATTTGTTATCAGCAGTGGGATTTGGTGTCAGTGGTGGGATTAGGTGTCAGCAGTGGGATTTGGGGTCAGCAGTAGAACTTGGTGTCAGCAATGGGATTTGGTGTCTGTTGGGATTTGATGTAGAGGGTGGGATAGGGTGTCGGGTGGGATTTGTTTTCGGAGATGGGGTTTGGTGTGGGTGGAATCTGGTTTCAGAAGTAGTGTTTGGTGTTGGAAGGAGGGATTCAATGTCAGAAATTGGATTTGATATCAGACTTGGGATTTGAAGTTGGAAGTGGGATTTTGTGTCCGGTGGGATTTGACGTCAGTATTTAGCTTTACATAAGGGGTTTGCTTTGTTTTCTTTGATGAGGATTTGGTGTCAGAAGTGGGATCTGGTGGCAGAAGTGGGATGTGGTGTCAGAAGTGGGATGTGGTGTCAGAAGTGGGATGTGGTGTCAGAAGTGGGGACCCATGTCTAAATTATGTGATGTAATTCTCTTAATTCACAATATTTAACTGAGCTTATTTTTGCTGGACTCTTTCCAGAGCCAACAGCATCTGCAACGGTACATCACAGACGAGTGGTCCCAGATGGAAATGGAACTGACCAGGGAGAGGGGTCTCTGGGGCCCCCCGTGTGGCTCAGAGTTGGACAAGTGGATCTTAGACATGACTGAAGGACCTTGTAGGATGAGGAAAAAGATGTTGAGGAATGACATGTTCTACGTCAACTACCCGCATCAGCAAGAGTATGATACCCTGGAAAATGTGAGTGTCCTGATGAACAGGGGTAATAATTGTGAAGTGCTTTCAGAAATTTGCTTGAATTTGTATGTTGATGTGATTTTTTTGTCATTTTCTCTTTCCAAGAAGCCGTCGAAAGGCCGCAAGCCAATCAGTTTTGACAGCCGGAAGTTCTGGCTACGACAGAGAGGGCGGAGCTTGTTGGATAGAGGGGAGGGGCCTGTGACAGAACCGGTGATAGACACTGACATATTAATGGAGGGGGTTGAGGAAGAAGCAGGCACTAGGGAAGGTAACAAGAATTTCATTCTTTGGATGAAAAAAAAATAAAATTAAAAAATCAATTTTATAAAATTTACATCTCAAGAATTGAATAGCTCAATTGGTAGAGTACCAGTATGGTGTTGTTAAGGTTGCTGGTTCAAGTCTTATTCTAGTCAGTTTTACTTTGTTTGTTTCACTGTGTCTAGGCCTGTGTCCGTCATCCCTTGTGACCAAGCAAGGCAACTCCAGGCTAGACAAGGAGTGGGAAGACAGTGAGACCCCAGATATCGAAACCCCAGTGGACAAGCCAGAGGAAACCAAGACAGACAATCAGATGATACTACGACTCATGGAGGAAGGGGAAAAGGTAGGAATGAATATATAAAAAAACACAATATATGCAATAAGAGAAGTTGGTCTGGCATGTACAGAGATATGAGCCCTGAGATATAATAATGTCGAACTTTGTTCTTGAGTCTGAAGTCGCAAGCACTACACATCAGTGTGTACTGTCAAGATAGCTCAGTCAATAGAGTAATGTACATTTACGAGATGTGGGATTTGGTGTCAGAAGTAGGATCCTGTGTTTGAAGGAGGGATTCAATTTCAGAAATGGAATCTGGTCTAACAAGTGGGATTTGGTGTCAGGGGTGGGATTTGGTGTCAGGGGTGGGATTTGGTGTCGGGGTGGGATTTGGTGTCAGGGGCGGGATTTGGTGTCGGGTGGGATTTCCATTCTTTTGTCCAACCTCTACTACATATACCTGTTCAGTCACAAGATTTAACTTTAAGGAATAACCTTTGGCATATTGCCCTTCTGGCATCAGATTCGTCACATGTTCCGCTGCGCCCGCATCCAGGGCTTGGACACCAGTGAGGGGTTGTTGCTGTTCTGCAAGGAGCATTTCTACGTTGTGGATGGATTCACGTTACTCAGCTCCCGTGAGATCTGCGACATTGATGCCGTCCCTGCACAGTAAGATCAACTTCAGTTTTGTGGATGATTTGGAATTTACGGATTTATTTTTTGATCCATTGTAGGCCATTTGATGATGTTCACGTTAGGTATGTTTTAGTGAAGTGAAGTTTTATTGGGATTAACTTCCTTCAGTTATAGCATTCAATAGGAGATCCCCCTCATTCATGCTAATTTATCATGGTTTGTGAACTTTTCTTTAAAATATATATCAATTTTTTTGTCTGATTGCCCTACTCCAAGCTTCACTAGTTTACAATTTGGGGTATTTGGCTCTGTTTATCAAACTTTCGTTTTCAGGGTACTGGGGCAGCCCTGCAAGTTTTGGGTTTTAGATATATAGTTTAATACCTTACCAAATTGAAAACAATAAATTGAGCATGTGATGCTTACGTTTTACTGTTTTTTTAACCTTTATCTGATGATGTAGACATCAGGATCCGATCATTCCGAGAGCCTCGCGAGGTCAGAGAACCTACCAGAAGAGGACCTGCAGCAAGTTTGCCTACGAGGACATCCGCGAGGTTCACAAGAGGCGATACCTCCTGCAGGTAAGTGTGATCCTCATGGGATTGATTTGGATGGTAGAGGGATCATCTGAAGAAAATAGACTTGATTTCTAGTTTGTAATTGGCCAGGTTTGTGATTGTTTGTTACTCTGGCCTTGATAACCTGTTGCAACAATTACTGGCATCACTGGGACGTGGGGTGATGGGAGGATCAGGAGTGAGGGTCTGGCGGGGGGTGGGGTACAGGATGGTTTGTCTTCCTCAAAACCAAGATGTGTACTCGTCGACTCCAATCACTGATTTCTAAAATGTTCTAGGCTTTTACATCTATGGGACTTGCTACCGGATTGCAATGGGACAATCTGATTGGTTTAGATTCAAACGAATATGAATATTCTTTGAGGCCAGAGAAATGTATTAGTAGTATGGGATGTTCATGAGGTTTGATACTTCTTGTTAACTATGTATCAAAGATGTGTCAACGATATATCAACCGCAGGATTTATTTCGAGGGACAGCCGGATAAATAATAAGAAACAGGAATAATAAAATAAAATCTGGAACAAAAATTGTCAGGAAGGGTCCATATCCTTGTTTTATTTCATGCTTTCAACTTCTGAACTTATTATGTAGCATACATGATTCTTTCTTCTTTTTTTTGTGGGTACAACATTTTACATAAGATGTGTTTTACAATAATGAATTTGAAATGTTTCGACCAAAATGTTGCCACCTGTAGTTTGTTAAACTTCTCAAACTTCAACTTGGTGGTTAACCTTCATTCACCTTAAAGATACTATCTTGTCATTTTTTCCCAGTTCAGCAAACATTTCTGTTGATTTATTTAGAGACCCTTCCTTTTTTTGGGGTACTATCTCTAACATTTAACATTCAATTCACATTCATATAATTCAGATCATTGATGGATGCAGACAGAAGCTCATTTCTTTAATTGCGATCATAAAATATCTGAAATAATTGTTTAATATTTTTTTTCAAGTTATTAAACAATTTCAGACCAATCTTTGTCTTTTCTTTTAAATGTTATTAAAACATTTCAGACCAATCTTTGTCTTTTCTTTTAAATGTTCAGTGAAGCAGGTTGAAACTGGATCCATCATTGATATTCAGAAAGATCAATTTACACATCGAAAAAGATAAAATCGGATCGAAATACACAAACGTTATATCCTACAATTTCACACCTTTTTTCAAATTTTGAACATAATAATGTTTACAATTTTTTTTTAAATTTTTAATAAAGTCTCAATTTCGTATTTTTAAAGACCAGATTTTGTGTCATTTCTGTTTTGTCCATCAAAAGCCATTTGTAAACAATTGATAATAATTGATTATTTTTGATTAATGAAACTGATTTCCTTTATAAAATACCCTTTATAATATCCAAAAACGAAAATCTTGAAATGGCGTAACAATGAAATCAAAGTGCTTTACTGCCCCCTGCTGACTTGGTCCCTTGAGCTGTTTTTTGTTTCTTAGCAGATATATTTTGATATCTTTCCCTCTTTTATGTCCATTTTGATAATATTTATGTTTCCATAATTTATTGATATAAATGATATTTACTTTATACTTAAATCACAATACCAATTTTGCTTACATACCATTTTTGCAATATGCATTCATCACAAACACAATAATTTCACATTCATACCTATCTAGTCTGTGGAATGTCCATTTAGATAATAGTTACTTTATCTTAATTAATTGTTTTAACTAATATTTACTTTATACTTCAAGGGCAATACCACTTTTACTTAATAATGCGCTTTAAAATCACAAACACAATAAATTCACATACATGCCTATCTAGTCTGTTGACATTGTTAGGTCCATAGTATTTATTTGCAATTGCCTGAGGAACTTTCAAGAAATTGACAGAAACTGTGCTTGGAGTAAAAATTGCACGAGTACGAAACGCCACGTGAAATTAATCTATCTGTTATCAGAAGGAAACGATCATTGTAGCTTATTTTCCAAGATGTGTCGAGCTTTGAAATTTGAAATTTGCCAGGTGGTAAACTCAACCAATTTCTGAATTCAGTCGTCAGATTTGAGATTCTGAATTTGTTTGCTTCAAGTAAAGAAATTATGCATTTAAAAAAATAATTGAGTGGATACTTTTGATAACCTGATCAACATTTTTCCCGAAATACTTATGATACTATGGACCTTTTCCTAACACGCCATTTCACAGTCTTGACAACAAATAGATAATGTTTAATAAATTGACAATTACTTTATTCATGACACAATATCTGACAAGCTCCATCAAAACCAGGAATATGTCACTTTTTGGTTGAAAAATTCTCATCAAGTCAGATTTCATCATTATTACTGATCAATTTGATACTTCCAACATTCAGCAAATTTCTGACCAAAAACCCCTTTTTTGACGAAATTAAAATTTGCTCTTTACTTTTGGAAGTTTTGAATGAAAAGGATAATTTGTAGGTACATGTAATACTTGATTTTTGGTAATACTTGATTTTTGGTAATACTTGATTTTCCTTAATTGCCATAACATTTTCCTGATTTGGATGCAACTTGTCATCTGTAATGCAATAAAATTGATATTTACCATTATCTAAGCACAATTATTTACCATTATCTAAGCACAACTCCTTATAATATCCACAAAGTATGTTTCACATTGATAAAGCTGTGTTGCTCATAAATTACTAGATATAATTAAGAGAACTGTTACTGAAACGAGAAATGTTTTTAAAAGTTAATGAAGCAGGTCTTTTAAAATTAAATCACTCAAGATGTATCTAAGAAAGTCTGTAAACATGTTTCTCCACAACACATTGACAAAACTATTGTTTTATATTTAGTTTATCATATCTGAGTTGATAAGCACTTAATATTTTGACCAGTATGCTCCAAAGAAGATCATTGCATACTGATTGAAACATTGAGTGCTTACCAGTTCCTCCCAGAACCACCATTTAACCATCAAAAAAGAGAAAACCCCTTCCATTGTACTTTCGCAAACCTTCCACAAAATTATTCTTACAACTTTACACATTCATAATGTACAGTCATCTATATGATTTCATTGATGATGAGTTCACTTATATGTGCATACTAATTTCTAAACAAAAAGGAACATCATTCAAAATTTCTCATTCAACAGGTGATAAAACACCCTTTTTGTTGCTCAGACAATTATTACCTTCCACTTTGACAAATTTACCTCCGCCTCAAAAAGTGTCAAGATCTACCTAAGTGCTCAAACTGCTTGTGTTTTACGTACAATCTCTTGCACAAGTCATATTTTTTTATCACAAAATGCACACAACTGTCATATTTGTACCACAAAATTCACAAATTTGCGCCTAAACTGCTTCCTAACAGCTCCAGTGTAATATACTGCCTCTTTACATAAGCCACGCCCACACAGTGGACAAAAGAAAAAAACGCCCGCAGAAAACCGACAGTATTTTCTTCATATTAAAGTATGAAAAAGCAAGAAATGTAAATGGTAAAGATTGCCTTTTCTGTATTAGGCTCATGTGTACTCTCTTTTTTTCAGAAACTTTAGCTCCGCCCCCAATTAAGTAAGATCCTAAGTGGGTCCAACTCTAAAAATTAACAGATATTTTTTTCTAAGCAGCGGCACTATGACAAAGTGTCATATCGAAACAGAAACGTGCAATTTAATTTTAAAAAACGGTTAATGTGTTTCATTTTGATTAACATGTAAGAGCCCATAAAGCTATTAACCCATTATAGTCTCTGTACTTCCCCAAACCGCACTGCCTGTCACCCTCTTTAATACCTGTGTCATATGAAAATCAGACTCGTATGAAAATTTGACTCTTTTTCCCTTTTTTTGGTTAAACCTTCTCACGTGACCGGTCCCTCTCCTAATTATCTACGCATGAGCATGCGCAATACCACCAATGAGTCCGTATTTCATAAAACCTAAATTCATGCTACACCTGAAACAATCAGAGCACTCTTTGGTTTCATTGATTCAGCAGAGAATAAATACAATGTAATACAATGTAATACAATGTAATACAATGTTATACAATGTAATACAATGTAATACAATGTAGTGCATGGTCTAATGTGTAAAATAGCTACATGTAGTGAAGTTCTGACTAATTGTGTCTGCTATAGTTTGTCGCATGTGAAGTATAGTTTGTAAGTTGTCAACAGCATATCAACAAGGAAAAGAATTAAAAAAAGAAAAGTGTTGATCTCCACAGATTTCCAATTGCCTATAACAAGGAATCTGAAATTGACTGTGATTTGTGGAAAGTTAAGCCATGTTATTAAATCTTTTGTGAGAAATTGCCTGGGTTTGAACATTAAGGTGTAAGGTTTATGTGGCTTCTTTTATTTTCATTTCGCATTTCTTTAAAGAAGTCATATACATGTATGTGTACCAGGAATTCGATGGTAAACCAGGATATTCAGAAATGCCAGGCTGTGTGTATTTGCCATTGAGATGGGAATGATAACAATAATTGTCAAACCACCATGCACCTTCAAACTCCTGGGCACAATTTGACCATTGGTTGTTGTCATTGTCCTGATCCTTGGTTGAGAATTGAGATCCAGCCTCATGTGTCAGTGTATCGCCTGCTGTACTTTTGTAATTATATGAGCCAACATGGAGTGTGTATTTGTCACCTGTGACCCTAAACTCACCGTACTCTGCCCAAGCTGTGTTGCCCTCCCAATCTCCAAGGTCTACTCTCAGCTGCCATTGTCCAGTCTCAGTCAGGATGTGTAGAGCTTCATTGCCCAGCCAGAACTCACCAGAAAGATATCCAAAACCCGCTTGGTAGTAAGCCCAGTTAAGGAAGAAGTTAACAGAGCCATCTTGACGTCGCTGAAAAATAATCCAGCCTCCTCCATCGGTCTCCATGTCACAGTAGACCTGTAAGCCCTCAGCCATGCCAGAAGGATAGATGGTGTAGATGCCGTTGTCGCTGTAACCAGCATTTAGAAGCATTTGGCAACTTGTGTATGTTTCATGGTTGGGTATTGAAAACAAAGATGTTTCACTGTTTCCATCAAAGTAGACACTTCCCTGCTTGTTGACAAAGTCATAAGGGCTGTCAGATCGTGTGGCATCATTGAGGTCACAAAGATGGCTGCTTGCATCATAGTTGAATGATGCACACTGTGGGTCCATAGAGCAGTCTCGCCCACAGATCACAGCAGAAGATACAGTCTTCACTACAAGTATATGATTGTTCAAGGCACGGTTTCCAGCAGGATAAAAAGTGAGATTAAACTCAGTGTGACAGTTGCTGTAACAAAGCCCATTTGTAAAGGCTAAAGTTGCCATTGCTATGGCAATTCTAATCATGATTGCTATTCTCATTGAGAATTTGCCAAAAAGGTAAAGATTTGCTGCAGCGCTCATTTGATTGAAGATTAAGAAAGGATCCCTCGTTGATCAAAGCAATCTCTTGGCGAATATAGTTTGAATATTGCTGAAGAAGTCCACTAGCCAGCCAGAAAGTTTAAAATGTTTATGTAGAATTTAATAGTGATGACAAAGAAAACATCTGAGCAACTACAGAGTTTTTGACGGATCTGATTTTTTTCCACTCCAAGCGAGTGTCTATGTGAAAGTTGCGCCCAAAGTGACTTCTCCGACTGGTATTGAAACTTATCAAGAAACAATTGCCGGTTGAGAAGTAGTAGAATGTTGACTTTGATTTGAAGTGATGTTTGCAGCGTGCCTTTGGAGTATGCTCGTGAAGTGTGTTACTGGTTAGCGTGCAGTCAAACATTGGTCTGCCCATTCGCAAGCCTTGCCACTATTTTAAAAATCTCCCAGCATAACGCTTTAACCACTCCTGGTTTCAAATTAAGCTCCTTACCTGTTGGTGTGGTTGCTCATTAAGGGAAACCAGTCTGTGACTATGAAAATAAGGTATTATTGTGCCCTCCTCCTTGCTTGGCCATGTTCGGGGTATTAATTAAATATTGGTGTAACGTTTTATAAGAAAAAAACAGAAAGGAATTAGAAAAGACTGAAGGCCGAAGGTATCAAGCTCGTGGCAGCCAAGAATAAAGGTTGGTTTAAAAGTGTAGCCTGGCAGTGTTATTAGTCAAACGTTCCATAGATTAAAAAAAAATCAATATTTTCATCACTGGCCATCAAATGTAGATTCGTGCCAGTAGTTTGACTTTTGCTGATTATGGCCTTGAAAAATACTAAGTATGGTATTTTGAATACTAGTAGGGGGGGGGGGTGTTTTTGTTGTTTTGCTTTGTGGGAAAGTAATGCAGCGATACGTATGTGTTTGCATTTGTACATGTTGTTTTAGAAATGTTCTACTAATGTTAGGGCCTGTGTTTTGGATGATTTAATCAGGAAAAGACTCCAATTTATGTTGGGTTTTTAAAGCATGGTAAACTGCAAAAATGTGAAACCATTTACATCTTAGTTGTTTTTACTCAAAACGTCTTCCGCTTTTTGTGTATGGGTGTCTAAACTTAAGTTTTTTGTATTAACCAACAATGCTCAAGAGCTAAACGGCAAGAAAAGGAAAAGGAAGCAACAAAAAAATCTGGACAAAAATAGTAGGTGATTGAGGACACCACATTAACAAATGACATGAATTGATTGTATGAATGTAAGGGTTTGTTGGATTGGTTTACTTAACTTCTCTCATCTTCATGCTGCACTGCTTTAGGGAGTAATGGTATTCCTTCCAATAGAACCAAAATATGCCCTCATCAGGATTATTTACTGTAGAGCTCATTTGGTACATGCCGTTGAGATGAGAGTTGGTCGGATCAGTGAACCACCAAGCACCTTTCAGTTTCTGTGCAAAGCTTACTTGCAAGTTATTATTTTGCTGATCCTTTGTAGAGAAATGGTGATCACCTGATTCTCCTAACAGTGTATTGCCTGCTGTACTTTCGTAATAATATGAGCCAACATGGATTGTGTATTTGTCACCCGTGATACTAAACTCACCGTACTCTGCCCAAGCCGTGTTGCCCTCCCAATCTCCAAGGTCTACTCTCAGCTGCCATTGTCCAGTCTCAGTCAGGATGCGTAGAGCTTCATTGCCCAGCCAGAACTCACCAGATAGATCGCCAAAGCCAGATTGGTACTCCGTCCAGTTACGGTAGAAGTCAACAGAGCCATCTTGACGTCGCTGAAAGACAATCCAGCCTCTTCCATCAGTCTCCATGTCACAGTAGACCTGTAACCCCTCAGCCATGCCAGAAGGATTGATGGTGTAGATGCCGTTGTCGCTGTAACCAGCACCCAGAAGCATTTGGCAACTTGTGTATGTTTCATGGTTGGGTATTGAAAACAAAGATGTTTCACCGTTTCCATCAAAGTAAACACTTCCCTGCTTGTTGACAAGGTCATAAGGGCTGTCAGATCGTGTGGCATCATTGAGCTCACAAAGATGGCTGCCTGCATCATAGTTGAATGATGCACACTGTGGGTCCATAAAGCAGTCCCTCCCACAGATCACAGCAGAAGATACAGTCTTCATTACGAGTACATGATTGTTCAAGACACGGTTTCCAGCAGGATAAAAAGTGAGATTAAACTCAGTGTCACAGTTGCTGCAACAAAGCCCAATTGTAAAGGCTAAAATTGCCACTGCTATGGCAGTTTTAATCATGATTGCTATCTCATGGAGAATTTGCCAGAAAAGGTAAAGATTTGCTGCAGCGCTCATTTGATTGAAGATGCAGAAAGGATCCCTCGTTGATCAAAGCAATCTCTTAGAGAATATAGTTTGAATATTGCTGAAGAAGTCCACTAGCCAGCCAGAAAGTTTAAAATGTTTATGTAGAATTTAATAGTGATGACAAAGAAAACCTCTGAGCAACTACAGAGTTTTTGACGGATCTGATTTTTTGTCCACTCCAAGCGAGTGTCTATGTGAAAGTTGCGCCCAAAGTGACTTCTCCAACTGGTATTGAAACTTATCAAGAAACAATTGCCGGATAAGAAGTAGTAGAATGTTGACTTTGATTTGAAGTGATGTTTGCAGCGTGCCTTTGGAGTATGCCCGTGAAGTGTGTTACTTGTTAGCGTGCAGTCAAACATTGGTCTGCCCATTCGCAAGCAGTGCCACTATTTAAAAGATCTCCCAGCATAACGCTTTAACCACTCCTGGTTTCAAATTAAGCTCCTTACCTGTTGGTGTGGTTGCTCATTAAGGGAAACCAGTCTGTGACTATGAAAATAAGGTATTATTGTGCCCTCCTCCTTGCTTGGCCATGTTCGGGGTATTAATTAAATATTGGTGTAACATTTTATAAGAAAAAAACAGAAAGGAATTAGAAAAGACTGAAGGCCGAAGGTATAAAGCTCGTGGCAGTCAAGAATAAAGGTTGGTTTGAAAGTGTAGCCTGGCAGTGTTATTAGTCGAACGTTCCATCAATACAGAAATCAATATTTTCATCACTGGCCATCAAATGTAGAGTCGTGCCAGTTGTTAGCTTTTTGTAGATTATGGCCATGAAAAATACAGAAGTTTTTAATATTTTGTGTACTAGTAAGGCAGTCAGATAAGGTGTTGTTTTTTGGGGGTGGGTGAGTGTCGATTTTCTTTTTTGTTTTTCAAAAAAATTATTGCAGTTATGTCTTTGCATTTCTACATGCTTTTTGTGGATAATTTAATGAGAAAAGTCTCCCATGCAATGTTTTTACTCAAAATATCTTTCAGGTTTTTTTTGTGGATGGATGTTTAAAAAAGTGGGTTTTTTTTTATGTTTCAACATGGCTCGAGAATTTAACAGCCAGAAAGAAACCTGTACACAACAGCAGGTGTTTTGGCACACAGCAGAAATACCTGACAATGGATAGAAAATACGAGTGCATGGATTTGTTGGATTGGCTTACTGAAGTTCTTTTATTTTCATGCTGCACTGCTTCAAGGAGTAACCATCTCCCTTCCAATAGAACCACATTATGCCCTCATTAGCATTATTTACTGTAGAGCTCATGTGGTACATGCCATTGAGATGAGAGATAAGCATACCAGTAAACCACCATGCACCCTTAAGTGTATGTGCGAAGGTTACTTGCAACATATCATTTTTCTGATCTTTTGTGGAGAAAGGTTGGTCACCTGGGTCTCCTTTTATTGCATCGCCTGCTGTACTCATACCATTGTATGAGCCAACATGGAGTGTGTATTTGTCACCTGTGATACTAAACTCACCGTACTCTGCCCAAGCCGTGTTGCCCTCCCAGTCTCCAAGGTCTACTCTCAGCTGCCATTGTCCAGTCTCAGTCAGGATGCGTAGAGCTTCATTGCCCAGCCAGAACTCACCAGATAGATCGCCAAAGCCAGATTGGTACTCCGTCCAGTTACGGTAGAAGTCAACAGAGCCATCTTGACGTCTCTGAAAGACAATCCAGCCTCCTCCATCGGTCTTCATGTCACAGTAGACCTGTAACCCATCAGCCATGCCAGGAGGGTAGATGGTGTAGGTGGTGTTGTCGCTGTAACCAGCCTTCAGCAGCTTCTGACAGTTGCTATACTTCTCCTCAAAAGGAACCGACAGAGATGAAGTATTGACGTCCGAGTCAAAGTAGGCACTTCCCTGTAGCTCAACGAAGCTGTCATTGGCAACATGGAGTCGCGCTGCGTTGTTGAGTTCACAAAGATGGCTGCTTGCATGATAGTTGAATGATGCACACTTTGTGTCCATAAAGCAGTCTCGCCCACAGATCACAGCAGAAGATACATTCTTCATTTCCAGCACATGATTGTACAAGGCACAGTTTTCAGCCGAGTAAAAATTGAGATTAAAGTCAATACGACAAGTGCTCCAACAAAGTCCAGTCGTAAAGGCGAAAATTGCTGCTGCTATGGCTACTCTAATCATGATGATTGTTATTCCCATGGAAAATTTGCCAGAAAAAGATTTGCTGCACCACTCATTTGATTACAGATTTAGAAAGTATCTCTCATTTTGACTGTCACTTGCTAGCAAGAAAGCCTTACCTTTGTATCTAGAATTTGATAGAAATGAGAAAGGAAACACTGTTCGCCAGATTGATCTGAATCTTTCCCACTCCAAGCAAGGGTCTGTCTGAAAGTTCCACCCAGAGTGACTTGGTTTTGAAAATGATCCAAAATGAATCATCAATCATCGCATAACAAGAAGTCGAAAGTTGAATTCGATTTGCAGTGATGTTCGTAGCGTGCCTTGAATCTGTGAAGCACGTTACTGGTTAGCGTGCAGTCAAACACTGGTCTGGTCTGGCATAGCCACTGTTTTATAAAGGTTTCAACCAATCCTCGTTTGAAATTAAGCTACTTACCTGTTGGTGTGGTCACTCATTAAGTGATATCAATCACTGACTATAAAAAATGCAGGCATCCTTGTACCCTTCTTATTGCTTGGCCCAATTCGTGGCATTAATTTAATACTGGTGTAACGTTTTATTAAAAAAAAATACAGAAAATATAGAAAGGATATGAAAAGACTGAAGGTCGAAGGTGTAAAGCTCATGGCAGGGAACTACAAAGGTTGGTTTAAAATTGATGCCTGGCTGTGGTCAGTAATTAAACAGCCTGTAGATGAAAATCAATAATCTTAACAGCCTGTAAGCCTAGGTTTGTGCCAGTTGTTAGCTTTATGCTGATGACAGCCTTGAAAAGTATAGAAGTGGAATGGTATTTTATGTACAAATAACAGACTAAGGCCAAAAAAAAAAGTCTCCGGTTTCTGGTATGGAGCTTGCCCAAAAAGTGGTGCAGCGACGCGGCTTTTTTTTTTTTTTTTTACCTGATTTTTTGCTTCAAATGTCGGCTGATGACTGCAAATGGTGCCCGACTAAACTTAGTGCAAATATATGGGAGTCCAGAGAGGCCACATAAAGCTTATTCTTGACCATAACCCAATCTAAAAACACGTTAAAATTGTGCAGCAGCAGGATTCCAGTCTAACCAGTGAGTTCGGCGGTTTTGAGACATCATCTTTCATTGAAAAAAAAACTTTTTCATTTTGCCGACGCGCATGGCTACGGCGACGCGCGCGCATACCAGAAACCGGAGACTTTTTTTTTTGTGCCTAAGACAGTTATGCCATTTTTTTATGGGAGGTTTTTTTGTGTTTTGTTTTGTTGGAAAAAATAATGCTGTGGTGTCTTCTGCCAGGTTTTTTGTGTGGATGACTCAACGAGAAAAACTCTCCAAATTATGTTTGATGTTTATGATATGGTAAACTGTTAAGCATAGTGAGCATGGGAAACATTTTACATCCTTACTGTTTTTCTGAAACTGTTGAGATAGAAATTGAAAGATTATATTTTTTTGTATCAACAAAGCTCAAGAGTTTAACAGCCAGAAATGTAAATTGGAAAAAAAACCTGTACAAAGACGTTAGGTTTTTGGTTATACAGCATAATACCTGATGTGAATCAAATGTATGATGAGCGCATGGGTTTCTTAAAATGAATTACTGAACTTCTTTTATCTTCATGCTGCACTGCTTCAGGGAGTAACTACCTCCCTTCCAATAGAACCACATGATGCCCTCATCAGCATTATTTACTGTAGAGCTCATGTGGTACATGCCATTGAGATGAGAGACAATCATACCAGTGAACCACCATGCACCCTTCAGTTTCTGTGCCAAGCTTTCTTGCACCATATCATTTTTCTGATCTTTTGTGGAGAAAGGTTGGTCACCTGGGTCTCCTTTTATTGCATTGCCTGCTGTACTCATATCATTGTATGAGCCAACATGAAGTGTGTATTTGTCACCTGTGATACTAAACTCACCGTACTCTGCCCAAGCCGTGTTGCCCTCCCAGTCCTCCAGGTCAACACGAAGTTGCCATTGTCCAGTCTCGGTCAGGATTCGTAGAGCTTCATTGCCTAGCCAGAACTCACCAGATAGATCGCCAAAGCCAGATTGGTAGTCAGTCCAGTTGCGGTAGAAGTCAACAGAGCCATCTTGACGTCGCTGAAAGACAATCCAGCCTCCTCCATCACAGTAGACCTGTAAGCCCTCAGCCATGCCAGGAGGATAAATGGTGTAGATCCCGTTGTCTTGGTTTTCAGCGCCACTCATCTGTTGGCAACTTGTGGACTGTACAGTGTTAGCTGTCGAGAAGGATGGCGTGTCATAGTTGCCATCAAAGTAGATGCCTCCTTGTTGCTCCACAAATGCCAAAGGACTCTGGATTCTTGTTTGATTGTTGAGCCGACAGAGATGGCTGCTTGCATGATAGTTGAATGATGCGCACTGTTCATCCATAGAACAGTCTCGCCCACAGATCACAGCAGAAGATACAGTCTTCCTCTGAAAAACATGATCTTGAAGTTCGCGGTTGTTTGCAAAGTAAAAATAAGTCGTCAAACGAGGTGAACAATCACTGTGACAGCTGATTACCATGAGAGTCAGAAGAAATGCTGCTATGGCAACAACCATCTTGAATCTAGTAGTGGTATCCAAGACATTAAACAAATTCATGGTGATGTCAAATTAAACAAAATGCTCTTCCGTTGGTACGTCAGACTGTTTAGGACGGGTAGCGTGGTTGTGTCACTTGGTGCTTTAGTAGCAAGGTGTTTCTGTTGATGTCTATAGCTTGGACAGTTTTGTGTTTGAGTTCTCCACCTACTGCTTCCTGAACGCTGCGACTCTATCTGGCATTCAATTTACAGGTCTAGTGGGTGTTCAGTTTACAGGTCTCGGCTAAGTCCGAGAAACCAAGTGACAGTTGTATATCGAGATTGCATTTGTTCCACTCACAGTCAGAGTATCAGCAAAAAATCAGAAGAATGCAGTGTCCATCGTAAATGGTCCAGCATAAAGAGACAGGCTGATGGCAATAAAGAAACCAACAGTTTTACTTGTTCCAGTGAACAGTAGTGTGGCTGACTGCTTTGCCACCACACACACACGTCTGTTTTTTCCCCAGCAACTCGCTCAGTTTAATATCTTGCTGCTACCTGCCTGGATTGTTTGTTGGTGACGCGTTGTGTAACAGTCATGGCAACCGTTTGGAGGTAGACTTAATTAAGATTGGTTATAGATAGACCGAAAGTAATTTTAAAAAGGCAGGCTGAAGCGACTCTGGAAGTTATCAATGGACTTCCCTCCCTTGTGGCCACCAGATATTGGTAAATTCAGTCAACATAAAAGTACCAAAGGTGTCTACTCATGCCTAATAACTGAGGAACAAAGACTTCCGTCATCTCGAGGACAGTTTTTGCTAAAAGTCATCGACTGTGAAAAAAGGTGTCTGCTCAAGCTGATAATGGAGAGACAGTCACTTGCCGTTAGAAGTGAAGTCAAACGCAAGATGACCATTTTAATTAGAGTGGAGACCAAGTGTTAGTTGATGTATACACTTGGTGAAGATGCAAAAATGGCTAGCTCTTCCCAGTTTTTGTGTATAAAGGTCAGATGTAAACTAAAATATTTGAGGATCAGTTGGCTGTGAAGGAGCGAAAAAGCCATTTTTTTATGGTAATAAACATAGAGTAGATCTTTATTTTCAGTGTGGTGACTGGCCAGTGTATAGGCCCCTTGGATGCCAAAAGAGCATAGGCATTGGTCATGAATCGACATACCATCCTCCTGGAAAATTCATAGAATATTATTGTAAGATTTCAGTAGGAATCCTGCCTTTAGGCATTGGTGCCTGTCTAATTAACCTGCAGGATTTTGACCATCCATGTTTCATCCATGTCGGAAATTAATAACGGGTCAAAGATGTAGAAGGTTTGTCCCTTATTCTTTCCAGAATATCAATTAAGTGTTCTTAATTAAGTGTTCTGTCATTGAATGGATTGATTAAGTAGTCCTTCCTGTTGTTGCAGATGCCGGTTAAAATGACCATCAAAACTGTCACCTTGTTGGTCTTATTAGTTTTAAAAAGCACAAGGTAAAATTTGACAATGATTGTCAGATGGAATTAAAGACTATAGATTAGAATAGACAGGCACAGAATAATGCTAAGGCTTGTATCAGCCAGGATAAACAAGAGTGAGATTCATCGCTCAAAATAGGGATTTTGCCACCATCCAAATTGCCGTCTTGTCAGTCTTCATATTGGACTTGAAGACAGCTAGCGGCAGATGACATTATTTGAATCAAGCCGACGCAAATTTGACAGTGATTGTCAGTTGCAATTTAATACTAGATAGATGAGAACTGATAGGCACATAAGGCTGAGACTTACATGTATGGCACTCAGATGGCAGTATACAAGTGACGTAGGGTTGAAGTCTAATATATTCATTTAGGATCATAGATGAAATCAAATTCTTAGTCTTTATCTTTAGGAGCAGAGTTGCTTGTCATTCAACAATATCGTATTTTCACAGAATTTTTTGGTTTGCTTATTTGACTGGCCTGATTTTCATGCTGCATTGCTTTAGTGAATTGTAGTTATACATCCAGTAGAACCAAAATATGCCATCGTCACTAACTGCTGCATTATCTTGATCATAATATATGCCATTGAGATTGGAGACAATTGTACCGTGGAACCACCATCCACCCTTATATTCCTGTGCTGAGTGGGGTGCTGATTCTTCATTATCCCGATCCTTTGTTGAAAATGGGTATTCATTCTTTCCTCCTAAGAGTGATTCACGTGCTGTGCTCTCTGCATTATGAGAGCCAACATGGAGTGTGTATTTCTGTCCTGTGATACTAAACTCACCGTACTCTGCCCAAGCCGTGTTGCCCTCCCAGTCTCCAAGGTCTACTCTCAGCTGCCATTGTCCAGTCTCAGTCAGGATGCGTAGAGCTTCATTCCCCAACCAGAACTCACCAGATAGATCACCAAAGCCAGATTGGTAGTCAGCCCAGTTACGGTAGAAGTCAACGGAGCCATCTTGACGTCGCTGAAAGACAATCCAGCCTCCTCCATCAGTCTCCATGTCACAGTAGACCTGCAAGCCCTCAGCCATACCAGAAGGATAGATGGTGTAGATGCCATTGTCCTGGGTACCAGCCTTCCACATCATCTGGCAGTTGCTAAACTTTTCAGCAGAAGAAATCGACAGGGATGAAGTTTGGATGTCGGTGTCAAAGTAGGCACTTCCCTGTACCTCAATGAAGCTGTTACTGGCAACATGCAATCTGGTTGCGTTGTTGAGTTCACAAAGATGGCTGCTTGCATGATAGTTGAATGATGCACACTTTGTGTCCATAGAGCAGTCTCGTCCACAGATTACAGCAGAAGATGGAGTTGTCCTTTGAAAAACATGACCCTGAAGTTCTTGGTTCATCGCAGAGTAAAAAGTTGGAGTAAAATTGATGAGACAGTCACAGCGACGAAGTCCCACTGTCAAAGCCAGAAACAATGTTGCTGTAGAGATACTCATCTTTGGCCTAGTCTTTATATCATAGACTTGCAAAAGTGACAGCAACAAAAGGCAAAACCTCTTGGAGCGTTTACCAATTGATGAAAGTACCAAGTTGATGGAATAATAAGTGTCTGCAACAATACCTCCAATAATCCACTGGTTGCTTCGGGTATGTCTTGCCTTTGGTGAGTTTTTGATGATGCCAAAAGTTCAATTTGCCGGTCTTGTTCAAATTAAAAATCTGGAGTCCTCTACTGCATTGATTTCACTCAGAGTATCTGAATATATTAGATAAGTATACAGTTTCCGGCAAAATACATCCAATATTATTACAGAAAGTAATCGAGACCTAGACACCAATAGTTTGCTGGTATATGTGAAGTAGCTCAGTACATAGTTGCTCATTTCTGCTCTGTTAACTGTTGGTCTGGGACTGTGCAAGTAAGGGATATGTACGTAAGGAATATGTACGTAAGGAATATGCACAATGCTATCAATTGAGTTTTTATTAAAAACTGGCTCCCAAGAAAATCAATACAATGTATTGAGAATCTGTCAGTTGTTGGGAGCACTAGTGCAGGTACAGGCACAATGGTTTCCATGACAGTTTACTGAGGCAATATTTACACATCACAGCCGTGCCTTCATTGCTTGCTGTTGTGGCAGAGGTAACCATGACAACTAGACACCAGGCACATTGACAATTGATTCAAAACGAACCTTACAATTAAATTAAAGAAACCTAGCTCAAAGTGAGGAAAAGAACTGTTTCCAAATGCCCTGTGAATTATTCTGCCTGAAAGTGTATCGTTGTGATTAAACCAATCATTGAAGGTGTCTGTACAAATGTCGTGAGTTCTATAATATGGAGAGGCATAATGGTTTCCGTAGCAATCTGCCAGCATCAAGATGGATGTAAATCCATTTGAAACGGTGAAGGTTTTAGTGCTTGTTGTTGAGCTAGTAACACTGAATATCAAACTCATTTGAAATAAAAATGGCATTGCTTAGTGTACCTGAACAACCTTTGCCATACAACGACCTACATGACTGAATCACTACTCCTTGATATGATCTGTGAAACCAGTCACTTCAGGGGTGGTTAAGGACGATAATAGGAGTAACCGACAGGGCAGTTTTGGTAGTTCTGATGTAGAAGTATGGTATAAGTTTGATAGTTCCCCAGTGTGTTGAATAATGAGTCATTTTTGTTTTTGGTTGGCTCACTCGACTTGCCAGATTTTCATGCTGCATTGGTTTAGGGAACTGTCACCAGACTTCCAGTACCACCAAAATATGCCCTTATCACTATTTGCTGTACCTGGAGTGTAATATATGCCATTGAGATTGGAGACACTTGTACCCTGGAACCACCATCCACCCTTATATTCCTGTGCTAAATGAGGTGCTGATCTTTCATTATCCTGATCCTTTGTTGAGAATGGGTATTCATTCTTTCCTCCTAAGAGTGAGTCGCCAGCTGTACTGTCGGCATTGTATGAGCCAAAATGGAGGGAATATTTTGGACCTGTGACCCTAAACTCACCGTACTCTGCCCAAGCTGTGTTGCCCTCCCAGTCTCCAAGGTCTACTCTCAGCTGCCATTGTCCAGTCTCAGTCAGGATGCGTAGAGCTTCATTGCCCAGCCAGAACTCACCAGATAGATTACCAAAGCCAGATTGATAGTCAGCCCAGTTACGGTAGAAGTCAACAGAGCCATCTTGACGTCGCTGAAAGACAATCCAGCCTCCTCCATCGGTCTCCATGTCACAGTAGACCTGTAAGCCCTCAGCCATGCCAGAAGGATAGATGGTATAGATACCATTGTCCTGGTTACCAGCCTTCTGTAATGTTTGGCAGTTGTTAAACTTGGGGCCTTGCTCTGTGGTAGAAGGAATCGACATGGATGAAGTATGAATATCCAAGTCAAAGTAGGCACTTTCCTGTAGGGCAACGAAGCCATCACTGGCAACATGGAGTCTGGTTACGTCGTTGAGTTCACAAAGATGGCTGCTTGCATCATAGTTGAATGATGCACACTGTGGGTCCATAGAGCAGTCTCGTCCACAGATCACAGCAGAAGACACAGTCTTCCTATGAAATACATGGTGTTTCAAAGCCCGATTGTTGGCCAAGTAGAACATTTGCGTGAACTTTGTTGGATGCATGCTCAGGCAAAGTTGGACCATTAAGGCCAGAAGCAAGGTTGCCATGACAACGCTCATTGTGAAAAGACAAGGTAGTACAAACAAATCTCTTATGGTGTTGTTTACTCAACAAGTTCTCCTGATGTTTGTTTAAACTCGCCAGCAGTGTCAACTGCTATGAATATTTGTCCTTGTTATTTATAAAGTCTCTGATCCAAGTTGATCTCTCTATGTTAGTGACCGAGTAGCATCCTTCGTACTTTTCAGTTTATTTGTCACCTACAGTTTGAAAAAAAGAAGATATCCATAAAAATACAAAGATACTATTAGTTATCTTGCGAGCGCTCGTGGAACACGGAATAATGTAGTGCATCTGTGTCCCAGTATGTGGGACACAAACGCACTACATTTTCCGTGTTCCACGAGCGCGAGCGTGATAACCAATTTATCTTCAAGCAAACTTGACGCACAGTAAAGTTGGAACACGCATGCTGTGTAACCTACGCGCAACTTTTGAATTCACAGTGAATTGTGCAGCACTAATTGCGTCACGTAGGCTTAGAATAGCGCAATACGCGGAGTGCGGTATGGACCGTGGCTGTGCGGTATGGTTATATGTAGCACGGCTTGTTGCCATGGATCGACCAATCAGGATCGAGGATTCAAGTTTGCTTGAAGATAAATGTACATACCATATGAAAGAGCACTGTGGTTTGCAGTTGTTTCAATTTACTACTTTTCATTTTAAATCTATGGATATTCTGAAATGTCTTAAAAATAGGTTTCATGTTTAAGATTATTTATAACAAATGACAACAAAATCAGAAAACTACAGATGTACAGTTTTCTGATTTGACAAATATGATTTTTTTTTTCAATTGAGATTACTTCAGATCGTAGGCAAATCATTAAATTCACTGTATACAAAATTTTGTGAGCAACATATTAATATATTGTACTTGTACTGTGTGAACAAAAATGTGGTTATCCTGTAAAACATGCGTCATACCTTATGCTGAAGTGTAACGGCTGGAGCGTCTGTAGAAATCATCAAGCAGTTCCCAGTTGGAACAAATTTAGCAGTGATGTCAGTTTAAAGCATTCCCACGACAATGATATGGCACTCGCTGAATTTTCAGTTTTTAAATCATCCTCTTTTAAAGATTTTTTTCCTGCTCATTTTTTTAAATGATTTTAAAAGCTGCCTGACACTAAGTGTCTTGGAACTTTTTGACCCATATTGGTCGCTGATTCACCGAAACCAATTTGCAGTAAAATGAAATAAGATTATTGTAATCTTCTCGGCCCTTAAAAAACTGTGAACAAGGCCAAAGGATGAGCTTCTCTTGCAATCATCAATAACAGGTCATTTAAAGTTGTTTCCATTTTTTTGTTCATTTTGTTTTTTACTTCAAATTTTACCAGTTTCGGTAACCAATAAATCTATCCCTTTTTTCCATTGATGGTTTTGGTTTAAGGATTGTATTTAGGCTAAGTTGGACTAGCGGTTGCGAACGTAAAAACATAATCAATTTGCTTCTATTAGGGCGAAACTGTAAGCCTACCCGACTTTTATTTTGATAAAGATATTGGCTTTTGGTGTGTTTTTTTGCTCAATTTTTTTTTAATAAATAATTTTTAAAACCTTTGGGGGATTTTTAAAAGCCTTTGGCTCTTTTATATCAGACTTAATATTCTTTTGAATTTGTATTTTAATATTGTTCGATAAGAATTTTATTTAATGAGGTTTTTCAGAGAGAGAGAGACAGAGAGTCCCCTGTTTTTTTTTACTGGTACATTAACCATGTTGGAAGCACGAAGCTTGATCACATGGGGAGGAAAAAAAAAAACACTATTAAATTTTAATACATCACCCAGTCTCAAAGATAATCCTTTATTGTGCCTCAACGACTGTACACTACATACAGTTCCTGCTTTTCGATCAAACAGTGCACATTGACCAATTAGATCACAACATTTGGTCAGGTGATCGCAGGAGCTCTGCCAAGCTCACAAGCACTTTGCGAAAAGAAGACACACCAAAGGTGGGTGGGTCTTATGGCAAAATTCGGAATGGTCCATTTTGTGATTTTGTAAAGACCAGGATTGTTTTTCTCAATTATTTGATGTTTTTGTTTGACTTTGTTTGTTTCTTCAGCCGTCAGCCATTGAAGTCTTCTCTGCTGATGGCCGGAACTACCTGTTGGCATTCCCTCGCAAGGTCAAGAACAAGGTTTATGCCAGGTTTGTTGCCGAGGCACCCAGGCTTACAGACGACACGACGTCCGTGGCGGGACAGAAGAGGAACGTACAAGTGGAAGGAGGGTAAGCAGCGTAAAAGGTTGCCGTAAAAAAATTCCTTTTTCACATATGTTTAGCAATTATTATCCTTTCCATCATGACTTGAGATCAGATTTTATTAGCTGAATTTGCTACCATCACAGGTAACCATTTACACTCTTGGGTGGAGAGAGGCACTTGTAGTAAAGTGTCTTGCCCAAGGACACAAACACCATATTGGAGTTAGGTTTGAACTTACATACCATCGCACTTATGTCAGACACTGTGACAAATTCCAAGATTCTAAGATTCTCACTTTTTTTCCCAAGTTTTGGCTACTTCACAGAATCCTCTTGAGACTGAACTGTGTTTGAAAAAAATGGCATGTACTAACTATCATGATATAATTATAGACACTTGACAGAAATATTACTTTTGAAGTGTTCAACATTTTCTGGTTCTGTTTTTTGTTGTTGTAGGAGTAGCTTCTTAGGACTTGGCAATCTTATTGGAGAAACGACCGTCACACAGCGTTGGGAGGTACGAATCAGATTTTCAAGAGTCCGTTATTTCTTTATGTTTAATCAGATCAGAGCTGAGATTCTTTCCTGATTTTCACCTTTGTGTGGCCTGGATCAACACTCAGGTACTCAACCAGTCTCCCGACGACGGGTTGAGTATGCTGTCTGAAATATTGACTTTCCCCCACTTCTTTTCAAAACATCACAAAGTCACAACTACAACCTTACTCTTATTGCTCTCTGCACCATGCAAAACCTTCAAATCTTATATGATTTGGAAAATAAGGAGAGTTTTGAACAATTTGAATTTCCTTTTTGCCAGATGGTCATATAAACATTTATGACAGCATATATACTAATTCGACGACAGCCATTTTCTGAGGTGGCACTGTTGTGGCACCAGGCTTGCACAGGTTGCGCTCAGGTAGTATGCATGCACTCCGAGCTCTTTTGACCAAAAGGGTTATTAAACAAAATGTGCGCGCGCCTCGTCTTTAAGAATGCCTGCAACATGAGCGCAAGCGTGGCACTTCCTCAAAGACGTCTTCTAATTTTTTCGCCGGATCACACTTTACATGTATGAAATGTTTACCGAATGATTCTTTTTTATTTTTCTTGTTGAACAGCGAGGAGAGATATCCAACTTCAAGTATCTCATGGCACTGAATACCATAGCGGGTCGGAGCTATAACGACCTCATGCAGTACCCGGTGTTCCCGTGGATACTTGCCGACTACGATTCTGAGGTAAACAGGCTTCATATTTATGATTTTTTGGTTTGTTTTTGAAAAAGGACATGAAGCTGTGTGGCCGACTCACGGACACACTTTGTAAACAAACTTCATCAGTGGAATTGTTAAACACTACGCATAAGAGATGGCTCGAAAGTGCAAATGCTTTCTTTCAGCTTTCTGCTGTTATGGGTTCTTTGAATGAAAAACCCCAATATTTCTGTTATTTTAGGAGCTGCGTCTGGACAAATTCTCGACGTTTCGGGACCTCAGCAAGCCAATGGGAGCACAGACAGAGGCCAGACTGCAACAGTTCAGGAAACGCTACGATGAGTGGGAGGACCCAACAGGTGAGAGGTCAAAGGTTGACCATGAATATTCATTGAGTAAACGTGAATATGCGAAATTGCTTGCTGTGCAGTAAATAATACATGAAAATAGGATCGGCTAAAACCCAAAATTTGAAAACTAACAGCAAATTCTTGTGAAGAAATGTACAAAGATTTAACTAATTTGGCTTACCCAGAATGAAGCTTGGTGTTAATAAAACTTGTATTAAAGTTATTAGGCTGAGTAAACAAAAAAAAATATGTTTCTCGTCTAGGCTGTTTGAAAAAAAATGTAGGAGGCGCCTCCCCTGTTTTTTTTTCTCCAAGATCGCGAGTTTCCAAGATGGCAGATGGATTCTTCGTTTTTTTCTAATCAGCGACAATTTTGTTGGAAACAAAGAAAAAGACAAGATATTGACAACATTTGCAAAATATATTGCAAATGCATGTATTAACAAAAAAGAGGCAGGTGGGGAAAAGGAAGCCAGCAGAGACGAGAGACTGGTTTATTTTTTCACTTGGCCTTTTTCACTTGGCTTTCGGTGATGTTGATTGTTATTGCTGGAAAACTGAACACTTTTCTTTATTGCAAAGCATTTTAAGCCAGGTCAAAGTTCATGCAGCGGCTAAGCAGAAAATATCGCTTAGCAAATTAATATGCTAAGCAAAAATCTGCTGGGAACCAGTCATAAGCAGTTAAGATTACATGACATTTTGGCTGATGACCTATTTTTGCTAAGCAGATATTTTCTGTGCTTAGCAAGTTTCTTGTGCTTAGCATATTTGTGAAATTGGCCCCTGGTATGGTTAGTGTGATGGATAACTGATGTACTTTTGCATTTGTCCGCTTTGAAGCCTTTTCTCCCTCTTTAGCCGGATCCGTCGGCGAATTCCAAGGTAGTTTTGCCATAATTTTTCTGACTGGGGTGCAAAAGAGCTTTCAACTTAACACCAAAAAACCCTGCAAATTCAGCCTCATGGGAACAATTCAACACAACTACATGTACATTCTGAACCAAGGAAAACTTTGGCAAGAGAAATATATTTTGTCATACACGTAGTGCATCAAACTCTTTATTTTACCATTTCATTGAGGGTTTGAAAGTTTGAAACTAGTCATTCTGTGAATCCAAACAACTTGAAAATGGGCAGCTGGTTGTTTCCTTAGACTTTTTTCAAAACCGTTTCACACAATCATTTTGCACACATAGATGTTCTTTCTCCTTTTCACGCATTATTTGGGATACAAAACTGTTCATATTTTCAAACAGTGAAAAGCTCTTTCATGAAAGCTTTTGCATTATGGACTGTTGTGCTTCAGCCACAATGCTTGCAAAAAAATCAATCCCTTTTTCCTTCCATAAACTGATTTCATGGTTTTTCTTCTGGCTCTATTCTTTGCATTTTTACTTGTAATGCATTTTACCAGGAAGCAGAGTTTTTTTCACTTAAGCAAAGCAGGCCCATGTGAATAAAATCCAAGGGAAGCTCTTCCGCAAAACTCCCTGCCTCGTCTGCCGCTAATAAGAAAATGATCAAGTTTTTTTTTTAGATTTCAGTTTACAAACCCTCATTTTACATTGACGTGCAGCACATTTTTTTATTTCTCTCTTAAAATTGTCACCATGGGGCTGAATTTGTTGCAGTGTCTCATCTAGAAGGGTTGGACTACCATACATCTAACATCTAGACACGACTGTCGTGCACCTCATCAACAAGGACAGATTCTCAGTTAACCCATTAGCAATTGTACCACACTGTATTACATTGTGTTTGTGCACTGACGAATCAATGAAAGCATAAAGTGCTCGGATGGTTTCGGGCACAACAGGGAGTAATAGATGGGGAGGTTTCGGGCGCTACAGTAACTGAAGGGTTAGATATAGTTTGCTTTGGTATGATAAGAGTCTTTTATGGTTTGGGGTCTCAGTGGCACGAAAATTCCGGGGTGTTGCAGATATTTGGTGGAAGATTGCTTGGGACTGAACTTATCTGAACTTCAACTTGACATTCCTTCGGAGAATGTGTTCATACAAAAAGGACATTTTCTTTTTGGGATCCTTCTTCTGTGGATGGAAAGGGACATATGGTTTTTTTGCACAAGTTTAGAAAAATGGATGAGACATTTTTGGTATAAGAATTATAGGTTTCCTGATGGTTTGGATGGTGCATTGAATTTAGGGTGAGGGATGTTTTGGAAATGTGATCATATGCAACATAATTGCAACATATTAAACAGATACGTGAAAATAACATCCATGCTCACTTGACTGTTTTCATATATTAAATACTTTTCTCTCAATAAACAGATTCCTTTAATAACTTAAAACTGTCACTTTTTAAATATCCTTTCCAATAACCTCAGACATCTAGATTTCCCATCATATTCTTCAAAAATATGTTAATCAGATCTTCATTTGTCATGAAACGAAACGTAATCCATAAGACAAGACATACATTGACATTCTATCAAATCGTCGCCCTCAAAATGTATCAAAGTAGTAACTACATTATTGATTCACTGGACTGTTTCTGTGTTGGTCAAAATAATACATTCCAAATTTCTGAATTAATATATTTCTTCATAGAAGTCATTTCAACTAATTTGGTTTTTCAGTACTGCCTGGAGTGATTTTAGGAACATCTTTTAAGAAAATCATATTTGAAAAAAGTTTTGCGATTGAAATCCTTGATTCTGCCTATCCAGGGGATTTTTGGTTAGTTTTTAATCTGATCTGGCACCCTGCCTCGGGTCAACTTTGTACAGTGGGATTTGGAGCCCCTACCTGACTATTATCTGGGTCCTTTTTTTCAGGTTCTATTCCCGGAGCTACTTCCCTGGGTTTGTTTTTCAGTGCAGAATTCTGTTGGCCTTTTTCTGAATAAATTCTTACTTCCCTGGTGAAAATTATCTTTCTGTTTTGTTATGGGTTTACATGTTTAATTACCCGACAACTTTACAAAGGAAAAAGTTTGGTTGTCTTTCAAAGATTTTGATTTGCTATTTCTTGTACTTTGGCATACATTTCTAATAACTACATAACCAATACACATGTAGATGGTTGTTGAACTGAAAAACAGGTATAAAAAAAACGATACAGGTAGCCAGAATTACTGTAAGGTACAAAAATATATAAAGAAGTACCCTTTTAATTTTGTTTTCAACTTCATAGGCCCAGTTTACTTTTGCCTCAAAATTACAAAGTTCTCATTTACTCCATCATGGCAAAATAACATTTGTAGAAATGACAAAATGACATTTGTAGAAATCAAAGCACATTTCAGAAATTCAAAATTAGAATCTTCTGCCGCTCATCTGTTCATTATTAACTCCAGACATCACATTTTCACCAGAACTCTCCCTTCTACAAAATTTTGAAATTTAACACAAGTTTTTTTCTCTACCAATAGGTGAGACCCCGCCCTATTACTACGGCACCCACTACTCCTGCGCTATGATCGTAGCCTCCATGATGGTCAGAATGGAGCCCTTCACCAAGCATTTCCTCCGGTTACAGGTTGGTAGAAGGTTTTTCATCGAGGAGACTACGTCCAGAATTGAATTTCTATTTTTTTTACCCTAATCTTTGATTAGAGGTGCAACTTTTAAGGTGTTCATTAGTTGCTCATGCTGCCAAGGGCAGATCCAGAACACAATTTTGGGGTGGCCAAAAAATAAAAATTGTGCCTCCCAAAAAGTGGGTCAAAAAGTTACGGCGTGGGGTTTGGGGCCCACTTAAGGGCCCCGAAATTTTTTTGGATTCTCGATGCTCTGTGGTGCGATCTGAGGTGATTTCTGACCACTTTAACCATCTGAAAAGATGGTGGTGTACTCATTGCCTGCCTTCATTGTGACGTCACATAAAAAAACCCAATTGGTTTCCTTTGGGGGGGGGGGGCATGGCCCCCTTTGGGCCCCCCTGGATCCGCCCTTGCATGCTGTTGTTATGAAGCATCTTGTGTGTGTGTGTTCATGTATGGCTTTATGATAGCTTATGATGTTGTTGATTTCAGGGTGGCCATTTTGACCTGGCTGACCGCATGTTCCACAGCATCAAGGACGCTTGGCTATCGGCCTCTGAGCGTAACATCGCAGACGTCAAGGAGCTCACCCCGGAATTCTTCTATCTGCCGGAGTTGCTGACCAATCACAACAACTTTGACCTCGGTGAGGTTCATGACCTTGGGTTAACTAATGAGGGTATTTTTGGCCGTGCAGTTGATGGTTACATTTATGCTGTGTAGTAGATGATGAAATTTAAAATTTCAAACGTATGTTCATATTTTTTTCAACTCTGGTTTTATTTTACTTAATATGTTGCATTGCAGGTGTGGATCCAATTTCATGTTGTTGCTAATTGTGAGATTTTCTCAGACTAATTTCTTGAAGGATCGACTTTGATGGATATTATTATATATTTTTTGTGTTGCTCTGTGTAGGTATCAAGCAGAATGGTGTTGAATTGGGTGACATCATTTTACCGCCGTGGGCCAAGGGAGACCCAAGAGAATTTATCAGGATGCATCGCGAGGTAAGCACTGGTCTCAGTTATGAATGGCTACCTAACCTGTTATTGAAAGTCCTAATGTACATGCTCAGAAAAAAAAAATCTGTAAATATCCCTTTAGTTAAAGATTTAAGGCTCTTACTGCAATCTACGCCACAATCAGAATATGGTGTTCATCTTTTGCCTATTTACGTCTCATTTTTTGTGATATCCATCATGCTTTTCAGGCATTGGAATGCGACTTTGTCAGCATGCATCTACACGAGTGGATAGATCTCATCTTTGGCTACAAGCAGCAAGGCAAGGAAGCCGCCGAGGCCCACAACGTCTTCCACCATCTCTTCTACGAGGGCAACGTCGATATCTACAGCATCGACGATCCGCTCAAGAAGAACGCCACCATCGGGTTCATCAATAACTTTGGACAGATACCGAAACAGGTAGGTATTGTTTTAGGAAAGTCTGTTTTAAAAGAACTGTGATGGACACGTTGAGGTCCTCAAAAAATAGAAATTGATTGTTAAAGTGATTTCGGCACTAGTGCTTGGCATAAAGGGACATGGAAGTTTGGGAACCGACAGGGACGCTCATTGTCGCCAAATATTTGATAAAAGTTGTGTTTCTGGTAAGCTCATTGGTTGAGAGGGTCATCCTCTGAGTTGGTAAGCAAGACATCATGGGTTCGAGTCCCATCCGAGCAAGTCTCTTAACTTGTTTTTACAGACTCAAGTAAATACCTAACATACGATGCAAATATATACTTCATGCAATTTTCACAGATTAGATTTCTGTTCTTTGTAGGTGGTCACAACAATTTCAAAATGACAATTGCCACAGACATGCTTCTCTTTACGTCTGCTAATTTTTTGGGTTTACTTTTCATCTGGACTCCAGTTGTTCAAGAGGCCGCATCCCCAGAAGAAAGTGAGCAACAAGATTGGCGATTCCAGCGGCAATGTCATTCCCATCCGGCGATTGTTCTTCAACAACCTGGACACGCTCAGACCATCACTGCAGCCTCTCAAAGGTAGGCCTCGCTCAAGATTTAACAAAGAAAATTGACGATTCCTTGGAATCAATTTCACGGAGCTGCTAAGCAAAGAATGGAACAGTGTGCATTGACCAATTAGATCACAACTTTTCGTCATGTGACCACAGTAGCTCAGTCAAATATGGTCACAAGAACTGTGAGAAATGTACACAAACCAATGGTGGGTCAATCGAGAAAGGTCCATATGCTCAGCACAGAAAGACCATGCTAAGTGGAAACGGATTACCAGCTAAATTTCATATGATGCACATTGGCATTCACTGGTTCTCCGCTGACTTTTGCGTGACACATAAATCTGGTAAATGATATTGTCTGGCCCGTATTTGCTTTCCCCTTTGCAGAATTGAAGGGTCCTGTCGGCCAAATCATCCCCTCGGATCGTATCTTGCTGGCTGTAGAGCAGAACAAGGTCCTCATTCCGCCCGTTTACAATCGCTTCCTGGCTTTCGGTTACGCCGACCTCAGTCTGCGTATTGGCAGTTACGACTCAGACAAGGCAACCACGGTGTTTGAGGGGACGCAGAGTGGGCAGATACTGTGTGCTGCCTGCCCGAATACCAGAATGGTTATCACTGGAGGGGCTAGTACGGTATGTGATGGTGTTATTATCAAGTCCTCACAAGTCGGCACAAGTCCTCAGAATTCTGGCAAGTCAAAAAAAGTTTCCACAAGTCCTGGAAAGTTCTCACAAGGCCCTTCATGTCCTCACATGTCTTTGTAAGTCCTCAAAAATCCCCATAAGTCCTCACAAGTCTTCACAAGTCCTCACAAGTCCTCACAAGTCATCAAAAGTCCTCACAAGTCCTCACAAGCCCCCAGAATCTCAACAAGTCCCCCAAGCTCTAAAAAGTCCTCACAGGTCTTCGCAAGTCACCACAAGTCCTCACATTTCATAAGTCCTCATTATTCCCAACAAGTCCTCACAAGTCTTTGCACAAATTGAAGAGATTCATTCTGTTTTTTTTTTGTTTCAGGTGGTGCATGTATGGCAGCTGGAGATGCGAAAGGAGCGAACAAAGCAGCTGTACCTAAAACAGGTGGGACATGCAACAATTCCTGGAAAACAATTTTCAGTAAAACACTCCCCCATCCCCATTTTCCTCCAAGTAAAACACTCACCAATTTCTGAAGAGCCTTGCATTTTTGTGATTTTCTCAGGCCCTGTACGGCCACAACGATGCCGTCACCTGCCTAGCGGTCTCAACGGCATACAACATCATCGTCAGCGGCTCCAAGGACCAAACCTGTCTCATCTGGGATCTCAATCGGCTCATGTTTGTCAGGCAGCTACGGGATCTCGGAGCGCCGGTGTCTGCCGTCGCAATCAACAACCTCACCGTAAGAACAGTGACAGATGCTGTCCAGCTCCCCCTCCTCCCTTTTTTTTGGTTGTTGAATTTTCAAAGTTAGAAAATAATTCAAGTAATTCATTGCCTCCACCATGTTCCCAAATTTTGCCTTTTGCGGGCGTTAGAATTCCCTCCAAAACTCCTCCAGGCCTAATTGATGGATTGTCCATGGCTTTTTAACACCTCTACAGGGCGACATAGCCACCTGCGCGGGTGCATTCCTGTACCTCTGGAGCATCAACGGTGACCCGGTGGCTAGCGTCAATACATCGACGGGACGAGACCAGAGGATACTCTGCTGTGCCATATCGGAGGTAAGCACCCATAATGCCAGATATTGGTGTCTATCTTCTATTCAAAACAAAACACGTGGTGCGAACATTCAGAAGGGTTTTTGGTGTGGAGTCTATGAGAATCTGGTTAAAATCAGCTTTTGAAAGATGCAGATTTCAGACTTAAATTGATAAACACTCTAAGATCGCAATTTGCTTGGTGTATATCCTACATTTTTAGGATGCCTTCATTGTATTTTTTTGACGTTCAAGGCAAGTCTTCTTAATGTTATTGTTGTTTTTTTTCTTGGTTTCTCTGACAGTTGGTTGAGTGGAACCCTCTTAATGTCATCATGACAGGTTCCAGTGATGGCGTTGTCAGGGTAATTATACACGATTCATCTTCTTAATATCTGATATGTTTTTTTTTAAAGATTATACGCAGCAGGCAAGGGAAATAATGCTGTCCTTAAAGACAGAGTGAAATCATTTTAAACTTAAGATGCTTTAGAAGGTTAAGCAAAAATGTCAAGGGAAACTACAACCGTTTTTATGAAAGCCTATGTCCAAAGTTGAATGATTAAACAATTGATTGATTGCTTGACTGATTACTCCCTTGCTTGGTTGATTGACTGGTAGATGTGGAGTGTCGAGTACGTACAGGTCCCTGACGTCTCCAACTCCAAGAGGTCCTCGACCTCAAACATCCCGCAAGCAGTCGAAGCGTTGGCCCCCAAGGTCAAAGACGAAGACTGCACCTCCGAGAGCCAATCAGAGGACAGCCAAAGCGTCAACAGTGCCCTCATTGACGACAGCGAGGTCTCCACCCCGACCAAGGACAGCGTGGATAAAGTCATGTCGGACTCGAGCCCGGATGACCTGAGTGAGGGCGCCCCAGATTATGGGACCTTGAAAGCCAATCGGAACTCTAAGATCAGCTTGGAAGAGAGTCGGGACTATACCTCCCGGCCCACGCCCCCTTCCAGCCTCCCAGTGGACGGGAACTATGTGGATAACCAGCAGGGGCCGGGGATAACGTTAACCCAGCCTGGTGACCTCCCGACGACCACGCCTGATACCCTAGACTCCAGCAGTGACCAGACCAGCTTCACCACCGCTGATGACATGAGTGACATCATCAACGGTAACCAAGGGGATGACACGGATAGCATCAGCAGCCGTCATCTTGGCAACCAGGGCTTGAGGGTCGAGAACGAGGTGTCACCGCCCAGCCCCATGCAGCGGGGGGAGTACGTCATCTTGTCGGAGAGTGACTTTGACAAGTACGAAGATGAGTACAGAGAGAGGGAGAAGATGTCAGCTTCTCATAGAAATAAGCTCAAGCCAGGTAAGGCTTCAGATACTCACATTTGCAATGGCATTAACAGTGACAAGGATGGTCAGGAAGACGAAGATTAAATACTAATTCCTTACTCGAAGGCTTCAAGTGTGTTTCTTCTCTCTTTTCTAGGTTTCAAGTGGCAGAGACAGCTAGTATTCCGCAGCAAGCTGACCATGCACACTGCATTTGAGCGCAAGGACAATGCCCAGCCCGCTGCAGTCACCGCGCTGGCGATCTCACGGTAAGAGAGAGGAGTTACAGAGTGGCTTGTAAGAATCCTGGACTACTCCAGGGTCTCTAAAAATGTATGATATTCACATCAGTCCTCGAACCGGGTCTAACGGGAACTCATACCTAAGGTGGCCTGATTTAAAATACAAAATACCTCAAGATGGCTGCTGAGCACAAAGGGTCTATTCTGTTCCATCTCAATGTGGATTCTCTTCTGTCTTGACCCCCACAGAGACCACATGAAGGTGTTTGTCGGGGACGAGCGTGGCCGGGTCTTCAGCTGGTCAGTCGGTGACCCCCAGGGCAAACTGATGACTGACCATTGGGTCAAGGATGAGAGCAGTGATTCCTGCACGGCATGCGGCACCAAGTTCAGCTTAACAGAGAGGAGACACCACTGCCGGAGCTGCGGCAAACTCTTCTGCTCCAAGTAGGTGGTCAAGCCTTTTTCACCCAAGGACATCAGGACCAAGAATTTCAAACTTCTTTCCTCAAACCATGTTGTGTTTGTATACTAACTACTTTCCTGTTTTCACTTGTTTGCAGATGCAGTCGGTTTGAATCGGCCGTCCCGCGACTCCACATCAACAAGCCCGTCCGTGTCTGCCAGGCCTGCTACAACACGCTCAGGCTTCCCAAAGAACCAGACTCGCTCTTTAGACTATAAACGGACTGAAACAACAGCTGTCTCAGAATCGACACCAAATTTAGCCACGTTGAATATTTCTGCAGATGATCAGGGGTCCGATTTCATGGGACTGCTAAGCACGCAAGTTTGCTAAGCACAGAAAATATCTGCTTAGCAGATATTTTCAGCTTAACAGGTTACCGGCCAAAATGTACTCGCTGTACATTGCTGGCTACTGGTCCTCAGCAGATTATCACTTAGCACTTAAATCTGCTAAGCAGTTTGGTAAAACTTTGGCCCTGATGTTTATTTGAAGCAGGTATCTTACTATTTTACTTATATTTATCAGCGCACCAACTCGATACATGCTGATTGAGAGTGATATAGTTCTTGATGAAGCTTTGCTTCTACACTTCAGTGGTTCTGTGTTTGAACTTTTTGTAATTTATAAGGAAGAGTTGAAAAAAGGTTCTGATTGCAGAAAAAAAGAGATTTTCAGGCAGTAGATGGGGGCCAACTCACTAAGGCAAATTAAGCAAATTAAACATAATGCAAATGTTAATGATCGGAGTTATCAGTGTACTGTCATAAAGCTGTTGCAAAAAGCTCGATTCAGAAAAGATTCGAAAAGCTGTTTTGGAAAATGCCTCAGACCAGATGTTCCTACATGTTTTTGAACCATCTCCAGTTCTGCAAAGCTCACCCATTTGAAATTGCAGGCTACTTGTACTTGTGCTAAAAAAATACATCAGTGTGTCACAAGAGGGCAGTATATAAAGAGTGCGTCTGATGTTTCCGTCATGCAGCTGTAGTTTGACAAATTGCGAAATGAAGGAGTCTATTTCTTCAATCTGGGGTTCTTAAGCAGTCAATGGTACCTTACAGTCGGGTCCCTGTACATACCTTTTTGAGGTCAGCAGTGTGAACTTTGACCTCCAACCTTTAACCCCTTGACATCCACGTCAAAATGTTCATCTTTGGTATTTGTTGAAAACTTGTTAAACAAAATAATGTATGCGCAATGGCTGTATACAAAAAAAGGTGCCATGTTTGTAGAAGGGCTACGAAACTGTCCTTTTGTATATAGCTGTGTAGCAGTGGTATATATTAAAAATAAAATTGTATATATCTATTATTGTAAATATGAATAGTAAGAAATATGAAAGTTTCATGCAAAAAAAAAAGACCAATGTAAGCGTTCCGTCGGTTCTTGCCAAACGAGGAAGTACGGTTCCTCTGGGTTATACATATATGCGAGCTGTAAAATAATTGGTTGTGATTGGTGGACACCGGGTCACATGGTTTCTGGTCCCTGTGATGCGAATGTCTTGCAATATAACAAGTTTAATTGAAAACAAAGAGTATTGCTGGCAAAATTGTGCGAAATTGTTGTGTCGGTTTTGAAGATTTTACGCCAAAAGTTTGGTGCAAATGAAGGTGGTTTCCTTATCAGGCTTTCAATTTCATGTCGGTTCCCAAGTTCGGAGATACCCAGATATTTATCCTCTTTTTAGGAAAGCCCCTAGATATGTTGAGAGATTCCAGCCTGTAATCTTATATTTTGGGCAGAATGTTTATATCAATATAACGTCAATAGTAATTTGAAAACCAAGTTATACTTTTGTATAACTTTGATTATATGGCTTGTTGTTCGTCACTGCAAGTATACAAACGTGACCAATATATTATGAGGTGCAGCTTTTTAAAAATATACCACGATCAGAATATCACATAGTTGTCACCCATGTGTAAAGCATACTCTCTGAATAACAGAGAAAGTGTTATAAACCACCATTATGGCGCCCTCATCTGGCAGAGATGAACCAGTGTACAGTACTGCTAAATATTCATGTGCAATGTTACTTAATGGTATGGTAATCAAGTGATTAATATTCATGTATGCAAAGATGTATATTATTCCCTTCTATAGATTTTTGTTTTGGATTTTTTGACTTTATTTCATTTTATACTGGCTGAAATGGGTTATCAGAGTCGGTATCAAATAACTGTAAAAAAAAAAAAATATTAGCAAATTATTGCTTAAAAAAGATTGATACGAAAGGCCACACTGGATCGTGCAAACTTTGAGAAAGAGAAAAGAAAACGTTAAGTGTGGTGATTTGATATTCTTTATTTTGCTTTCAAATTTTTCAAGGTAACAATTTGAATATTATTTTTGTGAGATTGAGTATTTTACAAAAGTGAAGTTAGCATGTACATATCAGTTCAAGTACAAAACAAATTAAGCTGTAAAGAAAGTGTCGTTTGTCATAAAGAATTATTGAGTAGAATTTTGAATCAAGGATAACTAATTCCCTTCCAGAGTATTTCCAATAATCTACCTTAAAGAAAATCTGTGACTGTAAGGTTATACTTTTCCTAGTATTATTCTATGCATAGCACAGTTATTTGTTTAATATTTGCACCACAGAAACGCACAGAGAAATGAACAAATAATCCGTTGATATTACTTATCAAAACAAATTGATTTCCATTACAAACATACCATCTTTTTTGACATTTTTTTTTTGACGTGGTTACCTATTTTATATCCTAACGTTAAGTTTTCATGATTGTAAGCATTGCCAATATACATCATTCCGTTTCCAATTACTGTAGAATTACTTCAAAGTTGGTACTAGGTTAGATCTATGGTCAGTAATACCGCAAGTATTTGAGGTGAATATGTAAGGGTTTTTTTTTTCAGGGAAAATATAAACATTGTTTACTTGTATTGGAGGGGAGGGGTGTGTGGATGGTAACGCTTCGTTGCAATTATCTTCAGGCATTCCTAACTTATTGTTGAGGAGTTTTGCTGAGTGGTTTTTTACTTTGTGAGCATCTGAAGGACACAATCAAGAAACCTCAGTGGTCTAATGGTTTCGACACCTGTTCAAATAAGCAGGGGGTTGTGGGTTCGATTCCCGCCTGAGTTCTCTTGCAATGTTGTATTCAGCAGATGCTCACGGACCACAGAGTCATTACCTAAACACAAAAACAAAACAGGATTAGGACACTACTTTTGAGACACTTTCTAAGGATCTCAAAAGTAGACTGGCTTCAAAAATGCGGACTCAAAAAGATCCCTCAGATAGTTAAGTGAAGTTTAGTTTGGAATGTATACGATCTAAAAGGGGCATTTCGTTTTGGATAATAGACAGATTTAAGGAACAAAATATACATGAAAGGTCACAAGTCAATCAAATATGGAACTGACGCATGCGATCTTGGGCTATACCTCTGCAGCCCGTTCCTTCCCATTTTTGTTATGGTCACAGAAGTATATATATATATATTTTTTCCCCATTTTCTTAATAGTCGCAAAAGTATACCACATTTAACCAAAACGTTACTAAACTGTGTTGTATACTATACAAGGTGCAGTGTAAGAAAAAAGTTGCAAACTTGTACATTAGTTACCCGTTAAATTAACGACCTCTGTAAATACTTTCTCCAGGATGACTGAAGAAAACCTTGTATTGTTGAGTCGATGTTATTGTATCGTGCTACAGTGTCTAGGTACATGTATTGCAGAAACTGGCCAACGTTCATTATATTAATAAAACTGAGAAAAATAATGAAATTATTGTGTGGTTTTTCACCCATCAAGTAAGATATAATGAACTTTTAAACACAGACATAATATTTACTACATTAAAATACTGCAAGAATGCATAATTGCTGCTATAAGCAAATAAGGAATAACATGCATGTTTTCATTTTGTATGAATTTTGTATTTAATGCAATATTCATTTTGTTGATTAGTGAAGGAAAAACATATATTTCATTTTTTAAATTTGATTTCTGCCGTACAACACTAAGTAGGCAAAACTAAATTAAGCATAAATAACTGCCTATCACGGTATCAATGTTTCGTCGTCTAGCGCAACGAGTCAACAACCGACTTAGACAAGTCAATGCTTCTTTTTTCCTTACAACTCCCCCTCATTTCGATCATCTTGGGCGGCAGAGGGCGTCAACTCGATGGTCTCCACGTGCGTTCGGCAGCATAGCATCACCACGGCGTAGTCTCGGAACCGCTTGATGAGCACGACGAACATGAGCGGATTCAGAAACTGCGAACATTTTGCCGCGAAAGGCGCCAGTGTGGCCAGCCAGAGGGGAATGCTTTGGGGGTCGCCGAGCGCCCCCCAGAGGCAGACGATAGCGAAGGGTGACCAGGTCAGGATGAAAATGACGATCAGAACCACGCCCAGCTGCGAAAAGGTATCGAGAATAAGGCTGCATCCGAATCAGTTGTCTAGAGCTAGGTCTAGGTCTGTGCCCATTGAAAATACGCGGAGACGCGCTGACAATAGACGTAGCCGTAGCTCTGGAAGCCCGTTTCGGACACGGCCTTAATCAATCAAAGGCCGCCATTTTTTAGTAATGATACTTTTGGAGTACACACAGATCTAGATGTGAGTACCAGCTTAGAGCAAGTTCGGACGAGGACTAGTGGTTGATTTGTGACGTAACTGACGCCTGCGCACTAACAGCAACGCGCGAGCGCTCTAGTCCCAAAACGTCTTGGTCCTGGTTCCCTGTTGTGCAGTATGATGTGTGCTGCTGTTAACCAGCGATGAAACCGTACCACAATACTCCTGTCGACTAGAGTATAAAATAGTTAACCATCCTGCGTCGCAGTGTTAAGTTAATCGAACTGTAGTCCTCGCTCGAACTTGCCTTTATATTGTATGTGACGATTATGACATCACGATGACGTACCTGTGTAACTTGCTTCTGATTGGCCCAGTCCGAGTTGACGGGGCTGAGGTTGTCCCTACTGCCGATGTTTTGTACTTGCTGTCGCATGACGAGTACCGTGTGAGTGCGTCCAAAACAAAACACCATCGTGACAATGGGTAAGACGAAGCAAACCTAGAACATACAGGGGAAAATAACACCCATGTAAAACTGTGAAGCAGGCATTCTAGCAAAATAATATTTGCTTCATCATCATGTAGATAATTGTCACTGACACTATAATGTTGACAAATACAAAAATATCCATGAAGCAGATGTTATATAGTCGTGTTCCCTAACGTGGCGCACTTCGAAGCTTACCCAAATTTCCTCGTATAGTGTTGCCAAACCTCTTTGTTGACAAACCTCAAATTCATGCAGTAAAATACTAGTACTTTTACCTTATTAATGCTTGTTATTTAACCTCTGTGAACAATTTCAGTTTTATAAAATTTAATCCGAAATTCAAAAACGGTGGCGTCCGGAAATTGGGCACAAATTGGCGGAGTGTTCCTAACGTGGCGCACTTGAATAAATCTCGGAAAATTCCAGATTAACATTTAAGAATTTCTTGAAACTTGATAAATTCTGATAAATAATTATTATCTCTACTTACATACCCAGCCAGATGTTTGTCAGAATTTTTTTTTTTTCGGGGCATTTTCAAAGGGTTCACTTTGCACTTGAAATAAAATAGGAAAATCACGCCAAAATAATTTTTTCTTGTAACTTTGTTACGGGTAAATAAACTCGCGATTTATGAACAGGAGAGTTTAGAACTTGATGAAATTGCACTTTCTGTAAAATTTCAGTTAAAACTTTTGCTCTAGGTAGGCGCTACAGGCGAAAAATCAAAGTGCGCCACGTTGGGGGCCGCGCCACGTTAGGGTACATCAACAATACTGTCTCAATAGAGTTTCCCTGGTATCCGCTTCTACGGTCAGATTTGCAGTTTTGCATAGTGGACCGGTAAACGTTAGGGAATTGCGATAGCACCATAGATAAATGCCTCTTTCTAGTGATAAAATGGTTGCTCATTCGGTGTTTGTTTGCACTCACCACGCTGGCAGCACCTGAAACTTATTCAGTCCTTACTGTTGCGCAGTTTCCTCAATTATGTTACTTTGTGTTGCTGTTGTTGTTGTTGCTTCTACTATTTGTTTGTTTGTTGACTCACCATGAACAGGGAAAAGAGATAAGAGATGTACGGCGCATCTGCCCTCGTCCAATCCACGGAGCAGCCGCTGGTGCCGACCTCATCGTAATGGGCCCAGCCGAAGATGGGCATGATCGCCCAGAAAACGGCGTTCAGGTAGGCGGCCATCGACATGTAGGTGTAGTGGGAGTGGGTAAGGCTTGATGCTGAAGATGAAAATGCTCCGTTTAATATTAATAAGCATTAAATCGCCAGTATATAATAATTATTGTGCCTTTTTAAATAAAGTTTACACTCGCTTTAATAATTCATAGTTATTAATCCTGCCCCTCAGGCTCGTAAAGTACCCCCCCCCTAAAAAAAAGCGGGACTTTCTCATTTCTCTTGTGAGTATAAAATTCAATAGAACCCTATATGCGCCACTGCCATAATCATAATTGTTAATGTTGGTATAATGATTATTACTACCTGTCACGTCACAAGAGGAATGTAAAGCAGTAACTCCCCATGTGGACTTGCTAAACTACTTTCTTTTCGGAAAGTTATGTAACATTCTACTTTATCGCAACTGTCAGAGCACATGCCTAATTAAATTTAGCATCAATTAGCATATGAGATTTGGAGTTTTACGTAGTGAAGGTAGCAATAAGATTAGGATTTAGATTAGCACCATGTGTGACAAATCCCTTTTTGTGAGTTTGTGAGGTTGGGTCTTTTGAGAACCTCACAAACTCACAAAAGAGATTGTCAAATGGCGCTTTACCCTAAATCTTTAACTTATTAAAATTACATGCAAGTTCGAATATCACTCGGATTATCCATTGCAAGCGCAAACGACTGTTAATTCTAAGCATTCTCATTGTCTTGCCGTAGTCTGCTGTGCGTGTAGCATTGGATTTCTATAGCAACAAAATGTCAGTCTGCCACAATTCCTCACGAACTCCAACACGGAAAGTATACGCCATTGGCGTCAGTATTGACACAGACGTAGATATCCATAGTAAGATAACATGGAAACAAATGGTTTCATGGAAAAATTACTCCAAATTTACCCAGGCTTGGTCGGCAGATGACAATGTATCGGTCGATACTGAGACAGGCAAGGAGGCCTATAACCGCCAGCCCGAAGAACATGCTGGCGAAGCCGTAGAATTTACATCCAGCCGAGTCGAAGAGCCAGCTACCGGCCAGCATAGAGGCAGCAGAGAAGGGGATGCAAAAACACATACCTAAAGGTAATACATAGTAAAAGCTATAATGAGAAAATCCAATCTTTGAATCATCGTTCTGATCTTAAATATATTCGTTATATTTTTTTTCAATCTATACAAAGATACAATATTACATTAACAATACAAAACATAAATAAATTGTTAAGAAATAACTAACAATTTACCGCATTGGTAATAGTTAGCAATGGCAAAAATCACTCTTCTTAGTTTGATGTACGGGCATGAACAGAACCCCAAAAATCATGTACATGTATATAAAATAAAATTACATAAATGTATAAAATAATATTAAAAAAAAAACACATTATGCACACAACAAGATGATTACTCTGTTTTCAAGAATTGCTTCCGCAATTCATTCATACAGGCACACACTTCTTTTTGTTTGTTAGAAATTCGTGAATCGTGAATTATTGACAGATTGCAATCTATTTTGTCAGACTTCTCTCGAACCTGGAATAAAAGCGTGAGAATGAAGCAAAACGAATCAAAATTCTACCATTTCGATGGAAATTGCATAATACTGAAAGTGCATGCTCAGACGATTAACGTTCTTATTGTTGCTGCTGCTTCTTCTTATTAACCAGCCTGTCTGCGCCATGTTTCCATTAAGCACCGCAATCTGTCAATTTAATCTACATTGTCCTCTGGGGAAACGAATCTTGCTTTCCCATCACTGGCTGGTTTCGTCCCCGCATTATCTTTCCCTCATATCAATTTCACAGTTGTCTTGCACTGCATCATTGTTTTACACCCTGTGGCCTTGCAATCGTTGATAGTGTTGAAAAGAGTGATGATGCAAAGAGGCTGCGAGTTATTTTTTTAACTTGAATTTTCAGTACTATATATGACCATTAAAGAATCACCTACAAACTGAACAGAAAACCCCGAAACGTGGAAGAAAATGGACTGTCGCGTAAAATAAAGTCAATCCAAAACATTCCACAGATTTACTGGGTACAAAACGTTACCAAATGTGTATTATTTAAAATATTTCATAAAATGTAGTACGTAAAATGGTATCTTACCTAAGTTGGCTATCAGGAGAGAGATGAAAATGATGTTGCTAGGAGTCTGCAGTTGTTTGAACTTCCAGAACATGTACAAAATGACGGAGTTACCAAAAATACCAACCAGGACTGGAAATAACGGATGATAACGGAAATGTCAGTTATCGCGGAGGTTAGTTATCGCGTTACAGGTCGGGGTTGGGTGGGATAAACTCTCAAACCAAATATAGACCTGAACTTTTTCGGCTCGATTTTCGAAAACCGTGAGGGTAATCCAACCCTTGGTGGCAATTAATGTGCACGTTGTATGTTTCGCTCTTTTCACCCTTCCGCCATGGGCATGCAGAGCCTTGATCTGGCAACTTTACACAATAGCCTAAATATAGCCGGTTCAGTGATTCCCGTGTCGGGGTTCAGATCACTGAACCGGCTATTTTTATTGTGTAAAGTTTTGCCAGATCCAGGCTCTTCATGCCCAATGGCGGAGCGTGAAAAGAGCAAATTATAGGGGGAATCGGGAACAGTAACATTCATATTTTACACCGGCAGGGAACACCTAAATCTAACTACGTCACTCGTGGATTCTATTGTGTTTATGTCATCACCAGTGGCGTAGCCACCGGGGGGGCGTGGGGGGGGGCGACCGCCCCCCATGAAACCTTGTCGCCCCCCCCCCCCCCCCCCAGTCGCCACCCCCCACTGAGATTTTGAGTTTCTAAAAAAATTATCATTGATCTACATGACGCCATGAGCCCTATTATGTACTACAATGTATCTTTTGCTTAGAAAATATTGGTTAAAGTGGTAAGAAATTGCCTCAGATCACACCACAGAGCATCGAAATCCAATTTTTTTCGGGGCCCTTAAGCGGGCCCCGAACCCCACGCCAATAGCTCAGAATACCGATAGCTGATTCAATGTCTCCAACCTCGAAAACGATGTTCAAATAATTATCATTTGCCAAGAAAATATTTGTTAAAGCATGGAGGAAAGTCGTAAGAAATTGCTTCAAATCACACCACAGAACATCTAGAATCCAATTTTTTTCCGGGCCCTTAAGCGGGCCCCGAACCCCACGCCGTAAGGGCTTCGCGCTTCGCGCTTGCATCAGTTATGATCAAGGTATGCCCCCCCCCACTTTTGAGAAGCGATTGACGCCCCTGCTTGACGCCCCCCATGAAATGTTCCAGCCCCCCCAGCGCCCCCCCCCCCCCCCCCCCCCCCCCCCCCCCCACTGAAACATTCCTGGCTACGCCACTGGTCATCACCAAGTTGCCCGTGCCCTTTTTCTGAATTTTTTTGCGCAAGAAATTATGAGACACCATGATACTTACACTGAATAAACATCAGACCACCCAACCCAGCCTTGGATCCTGACGTCAGACTTTCCCCGTAGCTGGGGCTGGATCCATCGCCCATGATGCCGTCAGAGTGAACGATCTGAGATGAAAGATCTGATTTTCGTTTAAATATGGAAGATATTTTGTATATTCTGTAAATTTAACCCTGCAACTTTACCTGATTTATGCGACCACTATGAAGATTTTATTTCCAAAATGCGATATACGTGCATCCATTTGAAAAAGTAAATAAATTAAAAAAAAATGCACGTTTATCAAAGTTTAAAGAACAGAAACAATATACAGCTATTTCTAAAATTTATTTATTTTTTGCTTAATTGTCTTCTTAATTTGTGTTTAGGCCTAATATAAAACACGTAGAAACCGACTGATCGCGTTTTTTACGCACTTTCCGATTTTAAGATGGTATATTGTGCTGTTGGTTATAACCAATGAATCACTGAATTTTGAATGTGAATAGCCCAAGAATTAATACCATATGCAGTTGAATCTGAAATGCGCCGAACTGATATATAAATGTGCTCATCATACATTATTGCGGTAATAAACCTCGATGCATCGCGCAGTCCCGCACAGAAAACAAAAAAGAAGAACACAATCTAATGAGATCAAATTAAAGAAAAGCCGGACTGAAAACGACGATGATGATGATTTTGCATACAAGAATACTTTAATTGATAGAGTCAAAAACAGTTTTAGCATGCATCATGATGATTTCTCGTTGCTAAAATGCATTGTCAGTTCAAACAAAGATTCACCTGTACCAATAAGAATGGAAACTGTGTCAATCATGGTGTTTGTGATAGTGTCAAAACAGTTTTATACCGTAACCAATTTCTCGATGGTGATGATCTTGACTCTATTGGTCGACTGCTCAGGTCGTTTTGACAATCTTTTTGTTTGTCTGGATGATCTAGGCGGCCGTCCTCGTGAGTGTCATGATAATATCCTGATTTCAACTTGAATGTTGTTATTTTTCTTAGTATGTATTTTGCTGTATGTTGACTTTTTGTTTTCATACATATTCATATATTGCATTTTATCCTCTCCTTTTATGGCGGTTTTGTTGGAAATAAAATAAGCGATGACTTTTTGTCTTCCCCATCAGCTGTCAGTAGTTTATTAGCAGAACTGTCAATCTTATTACGCGATATTTTATTCAGCGATTAAAGATGACGGGTTGCAAGTTGCAACTGTTCATTGGCATAAACATAATATTTGCACTGTTACCAACATTCGGAATAATAACTCACCGTATGAACTCGCTATCCAGGAACCTTCGCATGCATCGGATGAATTGTGACGGATACGCGCCGATAGTGGTCCCGTCGGGCAAATCCTGCCAGTCTGCTGTTTCCTTCGTGATATGGGAACCTAAAAAAACCCACGGCGATGTCACGTCGCGCTCCTGTCCGTCGTGATGACGTCAGATGCTCATTGCTAACGTTTGGCGCCTTTATGCAGTGTGCGTACACACACACAACATGTGGAAACCAGTTTCTATTCGTTTATTCCCATTGCCCGTGACACGCCGCGGCTATAAACCTATATCTATACTTTCTAGCTCCTTAATTTCCTATCCACAAGGCAAGCACATCTTTCCATTATTGCAGGGCTATCTGATAGACATAATATAAGATCGGTTCAGGTGCAGGCTTTTGATGAATGAAAACTAGGAAGGCCCTATACTGGAATTATCCATGTTTTAAAAATGTCGAGAGGAACTAAAAAGTAAAAGGAATACGCGAGACAATGTTGCAGATTCTTGTTGGGGAAAAAATATAAATACATCTGAACAAAAACAAGAGCTGCTTTAGCAGGACTACAATAGTGTTATTTATGATACATTATTCTGTTACGAAACATTGTCCTACTTGCTTGCATACATCGCATACCAGCAAAAAATACTCATCGTTGCTCTAAAAATAATAACTGAAAAGAGGCCTAGCACTTTCGGTTGGGTAGTACTTTTGGTGGGGAGTTGGGATCAAATGAGGACCTTTTGTTTTGAGACAACAAAACAGAGTCCTTTGTCTTGTGCTGTTACAGTAAATAACAAAACAACCGTATTACATGGTGAACAACGGTATGCTTAAAAAGATGCCTTATTCAAAATTGCGTGAATTTAATGAGTCAGTAGTGAATCATCATTATCCATAAACATTTTTTGTTTTCTCGGGAAGCCAATGGATGCCTCATTAGTGCGCGATTCTTTTTTTATCTCGAATGCAGATCATCAGTACGGATGTCAAAAGCACCTGAGGCTCGGATTGACTCTCGGAGTAGTGTTGATGAAAAGGAAATGTCAGGTAAACAAAACGGTACACGTGTAGTATCATTTGTATTTATCCCAAAAGTAACCTACCGAATAAGCTTACTTGGCTTAAAGATCGTACTAAACACCCTGTGAACTTATTCCTTCTGGCTTGCTGTAATTTAAATAAAATCAAGAAATATAGCTGATTTCCAACGATCAGTCAATTGACTGATTTAGACGAAATCGTGTTTCGTGATCAAATAGATGTGCATAATTCTTCACCGTGTTCTCGAAAGATGTAATTTGAAACTTCAACGGCCTAGGTTTTGGATTTTGAGTGGCATTATTATTGAAAACGAACAAAATACATGACAGGCAAACTATCCTATGTGCTTATAATACAAGGTCAGTTGGTTTGTAAATCTCTACACAAAATAATACATGTGCGTCGTGAACCATTGACGTTTTTTTAACCTAAACCTGGCAGTCGTGAATGGAATGTTGACCAATTTTTGTTTTTCAATCTTCTTTTTAAATAAACGTACTCGTTTAAGAATTAAGGTTTAACAATTAGGTTTTGTAGTGCCCATATGTGTCTTCCATTTTCTTTTGCAATGCATTTGCTAGTCTTGGTCTCAGACTGTATATTTTTTTATTTCCGTATTTTGCAGCCAGTCCCGTGACGTAACAAAATGCAATAGAGACGATCAAACCCAGTCTTGTCAATATTGGCACTTGGCAGCACTACCCGGGAAATTCAGAGCATATCTCACGCGCGCTGTATTCAAGCTAACGGCACGCGCGTGAGGTACGTGCTCGGAATTTCCTGGGTAGCGCTGCCAATATTGCAAAGACTGGATTTAATTCAGCTTGATAGCGACCTCGCTTGTCACGATAACCGGCTGTATAAGGGAATATAATCTACAATTTAGTCTTGAACCAAGTCTATGCATTTACATGTTATTTCACCCAACCGAAAGGTTACATGCGTGAGGTTTCTTCACATTCTCCTAATGAGGCCAGATACAATGTTTTCTGAAACATTACAGTCATCCTTAGAGATATTCATATCCTGCTTCAGAAGTAATCACTGCAGTTAACGAGAAGCAGAAACAAAATACACCTGTAATGGATTCATTAATCATGAAAAACTATTGCAGATTCGACATTAAAACTGGGAAGTTTGGGATAGGATTTTTAAGGTAAAGGTGTTGTTGAAGTCGGCCAATATGTTGGTCATTCATTTTCGGAAAACAAAAGGAAAGTATGTAGCCCTGGTTTTTTTTATGTTTCTGATGAGCACGAGCACTGGTCTATATGCAATACTTTGGTGCATCTTTAAGCGTCTCGTGCGTTGACCAAGATGGCACAAAGATACTCAATTAAGCGCTTACAAATGTATGTAGCATTTCAACAATAAATAAATTCTACTTGCTTCACAAAATGACTTTGACATTATTGTTTTATTTTATTTTTTACATCTTCATATTTGGCATTCTGCAGTGTGCAATGATAACACACGATCAGGCCTATAGTCACTTAAATTGTCTTCGGAATAAAACAATAATGGGGGCATGGACGGAAATTTGGAAATTATATCAATCCGATACAATGAAATTTGTAAAACTTCCCTAAAAGTATTAAGAAGAAAAGAACTAAACGAAATCGTACTAAATGGATTTTGTTTCAATTTTTGCATAAATATCCCGACCCCACATTTTAAAACGTGAGTCATTTTTGGTACAATTTGCATCTCGATTCTTCAGCCAGCTTTTAAACCTTTGCCAACACACCCCTGCATTATAGCCAAAATTATATCCTTGATTAAATTGTGTCACGTGACTGGACGGTAATGAGCGAAAACACTAAGTTCCGCATTTAGCTCATTTCAAATCTGCACATGCAAGTTACCAAAAAGGAAACAAGCAAACGAGCAGAAACACACAGACAAACAAGCAACTGAACAATAAAGCAAATTTACAGTGTTTAGGGAGACTGCTGAGATAATGGAACTTCAGATCAACGAATTGAAACGATTCTTTCTTTTTTTTTTCAAAGTAAAGACGAGTCCAGGCACGTGATCACTGTTCACCCACGAGGCCCCCTTCAATGGCGAACTGTTGTGCAAGCTATTGTGCAAAGTTACTGCCTCGTGAACAATAGCTAGCACAGTGCTTTCGCCATTGAAGGAGACATTCGTTATGTGTGATAGCGTTCCGGTATTCATCTGCAGGAGGTATGAAGTATTTACACCTCACCTCAACCCCACCCACCCTGCACCCACCCTGCACCCACCCCGCACCCACCCCGCACACACCCTGCACCCCGCACCCACCCTGCACCCACCCTCCCTCTCAAATACACGGTTACACCGCCATCGTCACTTCAAATCCACATCACCCTTATCTACGTTCAGCTCTTCTTGTTCGAGTAGGCGATGATGTCGAAATCGTGTGGCTCCTTTGTTTCCTCACTTTCTGGAGAAATTGCTGAGAGGACATTGAAGTAATTTTGCTGCCCTCTGACAGGCGATCAAACACCGAGGAGGATCTTTCCCGCGCTTTTGCGTTCTGATTGTCATGGTACCAGGCGTTGGTTGGTATCCTGGGCTTTCCCTTCCTGTCGTCTGACTCTTTGCTCTCCGAGTCTGCTCTTATGGAGGCCTTCTTGAGCCTGCTGATTTCTCGGCTCATCCTCTGGTCGATAAACCTCTCTTGCTTGTCCTTCTTGGTCGCCATGGAAACGCTCGGGTGGTCGGGCAACTCATCAGGAAGTGAGACGCGCCGCGTGCGAACTTTCTGCTTCGCTCGAACCGCCTCTGGAACTGCCTCTTTTCGTCTGGTAGCCGGTGGAGATTTCGGTGGCTCCTCACTGCTGGTCTGGTCCGCGACCCCCTCGTCATCAGACGGAGCATCATCTGCTGAGATAGTGAACTTCCCAAGATCGCTCACGAGGCACTTCTGGTCCCGCGAGATGGCGCACTTCTCTAGATGCGTCCTCCTGATGCATTTCTGCTGCTCTTTGTCAAGTCGTTTCAGCTCCTTATCCAGATGATCTTGTTGCATGGAGTTCTTCCGATGCAGCCTGAGGGATGTCTCTTTGTCTCGGTTGGTGACGATGCCACGGTCCCGCACGAGGGGATCAGAGCTGTTCATGATCGTGACTGCGATCCAGACTCCGCAAAAAAAAATCAAAAAAAAAAATCAGCAAATCAAAATTTGAGCATCAAGACTCGGTCTTTGGTGAAGCTGAATCTTTGATCATTGACGATGGTTGAAGGCAGGAAATTGGAGGCCAGGTAACAGCAGTCCAATAATTTGAGCAACACGTACGTACGGCTATTCCTTGACACCTGTCGGTGATGGTTATACATTCATTCACAGCTCGCTGCATATACCATAGGTCGTGCGTTACCATTTACAGTGCACATTCACTAAAAGTAGTCCGTACATCTGTGTGAAATAGAAAGTCCAAAAGGTTCCAAATTCCTGTTTGATGTGGTCGCTACAAAAAAAGTTGTTTTCTTTGAACTAGTTGTGCTGCAATTAAGTTTGCGAACCGCCACTCGACGTTGTACTTTGCAAAGCTTCAAAAATGGCGAGAGCCTGGCACATACAGCTTATATCCAAGCTGCAAAAAAAATCGACTGTTTATCACTTTGACTGGATCTAAAAGCGAACCTGCCCTAATAGTCATGACGTTCTTTCACACTTGACACGGTTGGTAAAATTGGTACAATATGAAGGCTATATAGCTGCTTTATTCCTGGTTGATTTTTGGGGAGTTTTCCTGTACGGGGTCAATGCGCTATAAATGCACTCTGGTGTAACACACGAACGAAGCTGGGGTATTGAGGCAGGGGGTAACTCCATGTTTGTACAATCAACATCTCCCTCATTCAGAACTACTCCATAAAGATTCGTCTTCGTAAAGATTCGTCGTAATAAAAACGACCGTTTTGATAAGAACTTGACAAGAACAAACTCACCGAAAGACGTTATTGGTTCCAAAGTTCGACATGTCAAACCATTTTGGTGCCGCTTAAGAGATCTATCACAGAAAAAGAAGAAACAAATTGGTCTACGCTTAACCCACATTTCTTTCAAATCTTGAAGGCTGTTCACTCATTCATACCCTTCGTTCGGAAATAACGTAAAGTATTTTTACAGTACATGTTGGAGGTCAAAGGTCACAAGCGTGGTGGGAAGCCAATGGCTTCCATGGCAACAGTGACACGAATATGATTGATGCTGACCTCGTTGCAATTATGCTCTGTGAACTTTTGAAGTCTGATGGCAAAGTGCGCATGCCCGGTTGGCATGCGGGCACGGAAAACACGTAGGCGCCATATTATGCTATTATAGCTCCATGAATAAACGGATTATGAATCGAAAACGGTTCAGTTTTGTAATAAAAAGAGCCGGTCGAGGTTCATTTGGCAGGCAGAAAAGTGGGTCGGACAGTATCAACAAGTATCGGAGGAATAATAGCTATCGCCTTGGGGCATCGAAACAATTCCATTGAACTCATGGTATTTGCCGCAATATTGTCCCCCGTTTGCCAGCCTGCACTTTACGGGACATTTAGCATTTGTTGAAAACAAAATTGAATCACAGATAGTTCGTGTATTCGCAAGCATGCATTGGGTGGATCTTTTAGAACGCTTGCTGTGCCATGATATACTTTTAAAAGGTGGTTGTTCGTCCATACTTTTGGTTGACAACCTGAAGTTTGATGGCTTAATTATCTTTCTCACCAGAGTACTAAGTCGGCAGCTTGAAAATCTTCAAGTTGAGGGCGGGATGCAGGAAGAAGCTTTAATTGATGTTTCGTGCTGAAGAAAGTGGAAACGAACCTGCTGTCTGTGCTCTCGGTAAAATTGCTCAGATCTTTTTCCTTCGATGAAAAAATTCAGCCTGCAAGGTTTTCTCGCCTATGATTTAGAGTGACTGACTTAATGCTACGGTCAGTACCTCTAATCACTCATTAGAACCAGTTGTTGACACTAGATGTACTCAAGATGCTACTGCATACCTCGAGCGTGTTCGCTTCGCCTAGTTACAAAGAGCTCTTCAAAATGAAAAGAGTTTGCTTTTTGAAGAGGGGGAGAGCCGAAGGCACACACAGCAAATTGAACCGATACGAAGACGGGAATTGTAACTATCAGGGGTATCAATCACTATAAACATTATAGCAACATTTAATTCTAAAGAGGTTACTTTAACTTTCTAACCAGAAGTTTTTGATGTCGTTGAATGAAATAAAAGCCGATTTAAGTAGATGTTTGAGAGGCGTATCAAGGGTTAGTTCCGGGAAAGGAAGGGATGTGTTTTTTTCTGAATAAAAAGCTGCCCCATTTTTTTGGGATGTGATGCTGCACTTTATTTTGACCACAAAGGAACCCCCCCCCCCAAAAAAAAAGGGGGGCTAAAATTTTAACAAGGATTGTGCATGCATGCCGGAAATAACACCTCACCTAAAACTGCCTTTCCCGAAAACTGAAATCGTCATTGTATTGTGCAACGTACGTACGACCCTTGAAGTGGTGCTACTTCATGTTCTTGTGCAAACTTGTTTCTGATTTGTAAATCGTGTCAATCCAAAACGAAAGCCCTTTTGCACTTTAACATTTCAGCTCTAAAAACAACCCATTCATAACAAGCGCATAGCAAACAAAGTTCTTCATAATGATGCAAAGAATCGTTGCATTCTGGAGGTAAGTATTGGGAACCAAGCTTATGCAAACACTTTCAACGATCGACGTAGAATAAGCTCCTGTCTGAGCATGCAGTCTTTTGGATTAGGGCCTGTCCCTTATATTCGTCTATGACAACACCATGAAGACCCTCAAGGAAACCAAATAGCTCGTATTCTAGCTCACGGATATCACTCATACACCGCCCTCCGCTTGTCACGAGAAGTACGCCCTCTACATCCAGCTGTACAACATGCAAACTAACGGTACTTCTACGCGACATGAAGAGAAAAGGAAAACAGCAAAAACCAAAAATAGAAACAAAACTTATTTTTCTTTTCGGACAGCAAAAAAAAGGGAACAATTTAAGCGATGCAAACATTTAGGCTCATTTTCCTGTTTGGAGATGAAGAAGCAAGAAGAGAAACAAAACTCAAATTTCCTTTTTGGACAGCAAAAAGCAAAAAGAAAAAGGAGAAACAAAAGTCGTTTTCCTTTTTGAACACCAAGAAACATGCAGAAACAAACCCATTTCCTTTTTTTTTTCACAAATAAAGCAAAACGAAAAACGAGGTGCATGATGATGGGATGGGAAGATAAAGAGCGGACCGTCCTTAGTCACCGTTGAGGGGGTACTTTGTTCATCCGTGAAGCTTCATTTGACCTTTAACACTATGCACACATGAACATCGCGAAAGCCAAACAAAACTCGGTGCGTATTCATAACATTATCTGCTCCTTTATTATTTTTTATCAAGATTGTGTACTTGCTGGTCGATCTTTTGTGCATCAGGCAAGTTTAAATACCATTAGTACTCGGGCTCATTTTCAATTAACCGATTTAAAATGTGTTCAAACGCTGCGTATAACGATATTATTTATAATCTTAGCGAACAACGGAACATTGTTCTCAAATCACTTCAGTTTCACTCAGTTTCACAAATTCTTGTTTTGGAGAAAACAAATTCAGCTCTTGGACAAAAGGTTGCAACCTGACGCCACTTTTTTCCTCATATGTCATCTCAATGAAGGTCAGTCATTGCAAAAATGATGATAAGACATGTATCTGGGACTGAGATTGAGAAACATTTCCAATTTTGTTACGAAATAGGTCTGCTTAAAAAAATTCTCGCCTCCATAGACTTTATACACATCCATGACAACCGCTGAAGTGGCGTCAGGTTGCGACTTTTTTTTCCAGTGTAGCCCTCATGATGCTTTTGCGGTCTTTTTTTATGCAGATGTTATACATCTAAGCATTACTACTAATAAAATAGTCTCCTTCAAGACATCATCTCATGGAGAAACCTGAAGAGCCATCGTGCAAGAAGCGATTGAGGCAGACTAGTCTGGAGGATTGCTTCAGTTTTGGTGTCAAACGCCAGAAGAGTATACAGGAACAAGGTACGAAAAACAAACAGACAATGTTCACGTCTTCAACAACAAGTATGATGAGACTGAATGTGTTAATCACTCAAGTTAATTTTCTTAAATGTCAGTTGAAGCATCTATCTTGGAGGACATAGAAAGAGGCAGCATGAGCACCCATCCTCCAGGAGAATCGATAGAACAGAGAAAGAGACGAGAGAAAGTGGCCGAAGCTGCCGAGAGAAGGAGGTAAGTTGGCTCAGGAACTGTGAACATTAACTGACAGAGTTGGCTATGATCATGAATGTTACCTTGGACATTTTTGTTTACCTGATGAATATGCTCTGCCTTTTGGAAATTTGCAAAAAGAGTAAGAAAATATATCAGATTTGAAAAAGATGGCAACAAAACAAAAACTGAGAAGTTTCACTTTTTGGCTCATAACATATTTTCTTCTTGAATTTTCAGGGAATCTCAGTCTCCATATTCCACTCCTCCCCATGACAACCCATCATCACCTGAAGGTGAAGTCCCAACCATCACATCAACAGACAAATCCTTGAAGAACACAGCCAGCAAGGATGCAACCAATAAACCATCAACAAGTGCAGCAGGAAACAGCAGTAGGGACATGAAGACCGCAGGAAACGGCAGCAGGGACGTTGAGTCTGTATTTGCATACCTTGAAGAGGACGGGGATGTATCTGGAGAAGCATCCACGAGCACGAGTCGCTCATACCCATCCAACAGAACTCGAAGCAGGATTGGGGAGTCGTCCCCATCAACGTCCAGTAAACGAGACGATCCTGAAACCTCATCTTCTCGCAGGACAAATCTTGCAGCTGATGCGTTGGGCGATGCAGAGGATGAGGAAGCAGTTGCTATGGGAGACGTCTCACCGACGCAGGAGTACGATGCATCATTGCCGTTGTTTTCTGAGTGAGTATTTTCTGAGTGTCTGGAAACTTCAGAGAAGCACAGTATACATCCTAAGCACATCTTATGTTCTAGTTTGAGGTCTTTAACCATCCTAGAAAGCTATACTAGTGCCCTCTGTTGAGCGCTGTGGTCCAATGGTTACAGTGTTTCGACTCATGTGCAATGGTATGTGTGTCCAAACCATGAAGGGGGACTCGTTGCTTGTGTTCTTGGGCAAGACGCTTTATCACATTTGCCTCTCTCCACCCATGAGCATAAATGGGTACCTGCGAAGGTAGAGACCAGATTGCACTGATGATATAAATAACCTCTTTTCCTATTTTCAGTTCGGAGCCTCAGTCCTCACAGGACGATGAGGTTACGATCAACAAGGACGTCACTAGGATCGAGTGGCGAGGAGTGGATCCGTCAGAGTTGAATCGAGCCCCTGCTTGCTGTCGACCGCTGCCTCAACTCCAGCCCAGCCATGAGCATACTGTTCTCTTCAGGGTAAGGATACCCAGGGGAGGGGAAGGCGGGGAGGGGAGGGGGCCATTACACATACCAAATTTTCAGTATCAGATGATTTTGAGACCAAAATTTTAGCCGGAAGACTGTCTGTGCGTCTGTTGGATGCCCAGTAGGCTTTTTTGTGCACCTATTAATTTTTTATCATTCTGCAGCCCCATGTAAGGTCTGGCACCCCGCCTCGTCCTTATCCAGACGCATACCGTGACACATGGGATGCAAACCATGTCCGCATGCCATGCTCCGAGGAAAATCTCTACCCAGTTGATGACAAAGTGAGTATTTTTTTTAATAAAACCTTTTTTTTGCTCTGTCATTATACATGTGAATGTGTCATCCTTACTGATAATTTTCAGGCAAATTTAAAAATTGTTTACCCACATTTCTGCTTTTGACAGAACGGACAGAAGAAGGTTCAGAGCAGATGGGAGCTGATTGAATCAACGCTTCAGAATCCTATCAAGAATTCCTGGGATTTGGAAGTAAGTTTTTTTTTAAAAGATTCCAGTTAACAAATTCAAAAATTCTGCCAAATCTTCTAACATCCAACATCTATTTCTTGCCTAATCCCTTCCTTATCTTATCTCATCTTAATCCTTTTAATATATATTTAAAAAATGTGATATCTTAAGTTTTGTATGAATGGTACTTAAAAAACAAAAAAAGCAAACCCCCTTACCTATTCTCAATGAGGTTATCTCTTCTTAATCCCTTAATCTGTTTAATCCCTTCTTCATCAATCCTGTCTTTCATCCTCTGTCATTTCCATATTTTGTGTCTTGTGTTTTTACGAGAATGATAAAGGAAATAAAAATTCCCTAACACCATCTTCATACCCTAATCTCTTCTTTATCTCTTAAATCAATCTTAATCCCTTCTTAAACCCCATAATATGTTCTTAATCTTCCCAATTCTGTGTTGCTTTCCTAATCCCCTTTCATCCTCCCAGGAAGCCATCCTGACCTACAACGCCCGCTACTGCAGCAAGTGGAACTTTGCCGGCTTGCATCATTTCTTCACGGAGGAGATCGATCGCAAGGAGTCCAGACACTTCTTTGATCAGCTCCTCCCCAAGATGGTTCAGATGGCCTTAATGCTGCCCAAGGTTTGCACTCAGGTAAGGTATAACAAAGCTTTGGACAAAATATGAAGGAAGAATAAAAAAAGTCATATTTTCCTTCACAATTGAAGTAAAATATTCTTACAGTTTTTGAAGGGAATTATGCAAATTATGCTGGTAACCCTCCTGTATCCTCAAAAATGCTCTTCCATGCAGGAGACCGACGGCATCTTTTTTTGACTATTGACTTTCAAGAGGCATTTAAAGTAATGGTTGTTGAGTTGCACTTCACTCAATCCTGCAAAATTCTCAAAAACCTGGTTAATTTGGAAGGAGCTTGGAGGGTTGGGCTTACTTTTTGACAAGACAAGATGTTTTTCTGTGTTGTGTAACTAGAGGCAAAGTGCAGATTAGAGCCTTATAGATGAAGACGTTGGACATTTGTATTTGTAGAGGAACAGTAAAATTTAATTGTTAAACAGTTGGAACTACAAAGTTGAAATGCTAAAAGCTGTCATTTCCGTTTAGATTAGAAAATATCTGAACATTTGGAATATTTCTTTTTTTCTAGGCCATTCCTCTTTTGAGGAGGCAAGAGTCGCACACCATCACCCTGACCCAACTCCAGATTGCCTGCCTGCTAGCCAATGCCTTCTTCTGTACCTTCCCGCGCCGGAATGCTCAACAGAAGAAATCGGAATACTCGCGCTTCCCGGACATCAACTTCAACAGGTGAATACATTATCTGGTGGAAGTGGTGGGGATGTCTGAATTGGGAATAAACCGATCCATTTGGCTCTACTCACTGCGCACTGGCGGGGCAGCAACACATGCGCCTCTCCTAAGCCACACTGCATGTTTGAGCTGTACGCATCATGTGCGTATGCACGCACGTCAGACGTTTGTTGACTCGTATCAGACATTAATTTATCATGGCTGCAATTGGTCAAAATTCCTGGCAGGGCTTTTTGGATCGGTGTATTTAGGTATCCGCTTCGGTTTATCTTATGGGCACACACTGTGAATAGAAATTTTTACAGAAGCATTTACAGTCCTGAATCCTCCAATTTAATACAATATTTCACACCCCCTAGGGAGTTAGGGTTGCAACTAGCCATCTTGAGTTCTTTCTTGCACATATTTTATTAACTGACCTTCCCCACTTTTTGTTTCCAAAATTCCAGGTTGTTTGAAGGATCAACCAAGAAGTCCAGTACCAACGTCAGAAAGGCAGAGAAGATGCGATGCATCATCAACTACTTCCGAAGGGTGGCGTTGAAAGGTATGCAGATCCAACTGACCAAGAATAAATCCCAATAAATTGACTTACCAAAAGGATAGGTCGCAAAAGGCTTCTAAGTTATAAACCATTACCGTTGATTGCAGACAAGCTATGCAAATTTCACAGCTCTCGTCTACTGAAGTTTTTTGCGCATCCAAACATTTAATACAAATCCAGCTTTTTGAAATTCTTTTGAAGTTAGCTTATAAATCGTTCTTGGACTGTACTGAGTAATACATTACTTTAGAACTATGTAAAGGCAAAACTCAATATACCAAAAAATTTCTTTGACGTAAAGTTACACCTGAAGTCGTTTGTTTTGAGTATTAGTATAGAGTCTCATCATTAATGTACTCTGCATTGTGTAAATTTCAAGTCCTTTTTTATTTCCTCTTCTGTTCAAAGCCCCATCAGGTACCGTGTCTTTCACTAGGAGAGCGGTCACTGCTCTGCCAAGTTGGGACAAGAGTAACAAGACACTCACCAAATTCCATGGCAACGTGTATGGCACCATTGAAGATCAGGGAGAAGGAATGTTACAGGTGAAGAAAAAAATCAAAACCGTTTTTAAAGAAATTTTGCCTACCAGGGAAAGGGTTCGGTGCCCATAAAATGGAAGGTAATTGTTTTTTTAATTTAATTGTAAAATGAATGAGCATTTTTAGATTTACCTATGTCATTTGTTAGTAAAATTAGAATCTGGTACGCTTGCTTGTACGTGTGTTTGGCACATTTTGTTTTGCGTTTTCTGACAAAGTAAGAAAACTCCCACAGAATGCTTGTAATCATCGGACTCTCTTAACAGTGTATTTTGTCTGCTGTGAAGATTTTAGTATGGTACCACTAACAATCTAACCTGTGATTGCTACCTTTGCAGTTCAGAAGTTAGGTACTGGGAACGTGCTATTAGCCATTAGCTAGATCAATTTGGATAATGTCTATTATACTGTATGAATAGTCATGAGCAAAATAAACTGCTGTCATTGGTGAATGTTCCAGCAAGGCAGAAGTTGCTACATCCTGAATGCGCGATGTGCATAATAGCTCAGGCTTGTCGGAAAAACCAAGTTTGACAAGAAATAATTGCTTGAATTCTTGTCTCTCTGTTTGTCCTGCAGTTGGACTTTGCCAACATGTACATCGGCGGTGGGGTCTTGGGCCACGGTCTGGTGCAGGAGGAGATCAGGTTCATGATCTGCCCAGAGCTGATTGTATCCAGACTCTTCACTGAAGTACTAGATGCTAATGAATGCCTCCTGATGAAAGGTGGGTCATTGTTATGTACTCCATGCACAAGAAACCCTTCAGCAGTTACTAACCCTAACCCTGCTGAATCCAACAGGATCCATTTATATCATATACCCGATGGAGCCTGTTGGATTGAGCAGTAAACCCCTTGTGTACATTCCTAATGCAAAATATTGGATTCAGCAGGCAACTGAACCGCATGATAATGCCAAGTTGGACTATGTTGGATTCAGCAGACAACTGCAAATAAGGCACAGTTGATTGAGCAGGAAACTCTGGTTGGACTCTGTTGGATTTAGCAGGGTAGTCCTGAGGAACTACTAGGGGGTTAGGGCTAAGGGAGTGTTGGGGGAGGGGACATTCGCACCAAGGGTTTGTACAAGTTCAGGAGGCATTCTGATCCCCGTTTGTTATTTGCCAGGTTCGCTTGCAGGATTGCTAATGTTGCTACAGGCGTGCAACTTTTCCTTGGATCCGCTGATTTCCTCTTTTTTGCTTCTCATGAATGTCATTACAAACTGAAAAACACTGTACAAAGTCTTTGTGTGTTTTGGAATTTCCTTGTTTTTTCTAAATTCCCAGTTGCATGCCTGTTGCTAGCATCCTGAGTTTGGGCTTGGTTCCTGGCTACATGGCATAGGCCCTTTACAGGTTTATGGCCTCTGACAAGCGCCCCTTGAACAAAGATATTGACAAAATGGGGAACCCCCTACATAGGGCTGGATAGCTCAGTTGGAAGAGCACTGGAGGTTGCAGGTTCAAACCCCGCTCCAGTCAATTTCTTTGTTCAACTTTAACCAATTAAAAAAATATCACGTTCAGATTTCAGGTCAAACAACAGGAAGGTACATGTATCATCTCTTTTCTTTTGACATTCATGATTTGTTCTATTCTTACATATTTGATATTTTATTGATTTGATATCCTGATTATGCAGGTGCGGAGAGGTTTAGTGACTACACAGGCTACGCAAGTACATTCCGCTGGAACGGTGATTATAAAGACGTGATCCCAAGGTAAATATTTTGATATGATGGACCCTCTGCATGAGCTGGTTTTAAATTTCTACCTCTGTTGCCATGGCACTTCTCTCTTTTGAAAGCAATTATGTCAGTCTTGTATTTTAATTTCTTTTCACAGGGATGCGTGGGGACGTAAAGAAACTGAAATACTGGCCATTGATGCGCTTGTCTTCAGACGCTTAGAAGATCAATTCAAACCGCAATCCCTCAAGAGAGAACTTAACAAGGTAAACTTGTCTCCTTCATTAAAAAAATTTCATCAATCATTTTTAAAAATCTTTCTCGCAGAGTTAGCTTAGCTGCAGGTATATTTGTCAAGACGTTGAATTACATGTACACAGCTGTTTTTTGTTTTGAATTGGATTTCTGATCTCTATGCTCAGGCGTTTTGCGGTTTCTATGGTGACGGTACACCAGCTGTAAATCTTCCGGCTGTTGCCACGGGAAACTGGGGTTGTGGGGCATTCGGCGGCGATGCAAGATTGAAAGGTTGGTCTCGAGTAAACGGTATTTGTCCTCACTTCTTAAATTATTCTCGTTCATCACATGAACTGTAATTGTGATTGTAATGGGGGCACACGCGGATAGAAACTGTGATGTTGACAAATGTTCCATTGAACGTAAATCTGAGAGCAAAAAGACGGAGTTTGAAATCTACGCGTCTTCGAGATACCGTGCGTGGGTACACAGCAGTCATGATTTTGTGGCTTACTGTGGTAAATTCTCACCAGATTCATTGCACCTGGACTTCAGGCACTCGGTGTATGGTCTCCAAGTTGCATGATTGGGAAACCATACCATGTTCGGTAAACATAAACAAACAAATAAACCTTTTTGTTTATGTTGGTTTTAGGTCTGTTGCAGATGATGGTAGCGGCGGAGTGTCAACGAGATCTGGCCTATTTCACCTTTGGAGACCAGCGGCTCTGCTACGAGCTGCACAAGATGAATGAATTCCTAGTATCACAAGGAGTCAGTGTTGGTGAGTACTTGAACAAAGGCAAAACAAAAAAAATCAGTTTAATAACTAAATGATTTCAAAAATGAAAAGTGTTGTAAATCATGTAAACACTATCTTTTTAATGAAAACTTGACCGACCATTTAATTTGAGATTCCTGAATCATTTTTACAGAATGAACTAGATATTTCTATGATCACTCATACATATTTTTGCAACATGCTTTATTTAAAATTATAATGATTGTTTATGATGTGCAAAAGGCTGGATGTTGTTTTGCTCCCATTTCATTTAAATATACAGATCTGTAATTAAACAGATATGGAACAGGAAGTCACATCCTTAGTTGGATGAAATTATTAATGTTATAAGATGGAATTTTTTTTTTTTTTTTGCGTCGGGGTGATATAAATCAAATTAGGTTTTGCCCTTCACCGACGTTTTTTTTTAAACACTGTATACTCAGTGTGTTACCTCCCGAGTGAAAGTTGGAGAAAAAAAAATCACTCGGGTGGGACTCGAACCCACGACCTCCTGCTTTCTAGTACAGATGTCTTACCACTCGACCACCGAGCTAACGGGATCAGTTGGCCAGCTGCTATTTACATCAGATTCGAACCGGCCAACTGATTCCGTTAGCTCGGTGGTCGAGTGGTAAGACATCTGTACTAGAAAGCAGGAGGTCGTGGGTTCGAGTCCCACCCGAGTGATTTTTTCCAACTTTCACTCGGGAGGTAACACACTGAGTATACAGTGTTTAAAAAACGTCGGTGAAGGGCAAAACCTAATTTGATTTATTAATGTTGTTAACTTTGTTTGACAGGTGATTTGTGGCTGGTCCTACAGCGCTACCGTGAAGAAGTCCTCCAACGCAAAGCCAAGAAAAGCTTCACCAACCTCTACACTTACATCTACCAGGTGTACAATGACTTCGAGTCATCGACAGATGAGGAAGAGGAGGAGGGGGCGGGGCTTACGGGGAGGGAGGCAGATGATGATGACGCTAGCCTGAGTCCCGACTACAAGGTAGATACTCCATAGATTGGCTATAGGGCCGATAATAATGTATATTTGCAATAAGCTATATTTAAAGCCTAGTTTTCATAGCAATGTGAGAGATGGCGAGTGTTGGACGTGAGAGCCAAACTGCAGTGCAGATCTTTGGAAGTTTTCATCTGGAGATCTTGCCGACAACCCGGACTCGCATTACTGAACCAGTTTTTCACTTTTACTAACTTGCTGCGTCGAGTCACAAGAGAAAACCCATCAAAATACACATGACCGGCTCCACAAAAAAGGCTATTATGTCACAAAAAGTGAAATTGAGTTTTATACATGGTTGGAAAGCCCACAACGTTAGCTTGGTAAATAATAGAGCTCCATAGCCCCTCCCGTTCTGGAGATATGACATATATAAAACTTCCTTGGAGTTCAAATTACACGACTGAGAAAACAGGCTTTGAAATAGTTAGCTTTGTTGTAGAACAACAGAATGATGCACACAAAATGCTTGTTTTTTTCCAACTTTGTTCATCAAAATCAACATTTATGTGGAAGAAATCTGAAACTGTAGGTATTAAAGATGTCATTCATGACAAAAAAATAAAGTCACATTTTGACAAAAATTTAACCCTCTCAATGTTTAACGGACCATTACACAATAATGTACAGTGCGACTTAATACCTTTTTTGTGTGGAGCCGGACACACATGTACATCTTTAGGTTGGTAGTGTAAAGACACACAAGACCCATTTTGTTATGAAAGAAAATATTCGGCCAATGTGATGGCAGAGAGTACAATTTATTGCTGAAAACTTTTATTTCAAACGTTCTCCCACGCACTTTATACATGCCCAATCAGATATATATAAAGACTGTTATAAAATTAGACACAATTTTTATTAAGATGCAAACATTTTTTTAAATTGATGTGATTGAGGCAAGAACTTGTCAAGCTAATTATGTTAAAGTGTAAATTATTTCTTGCATCTTTGGCAGTGTTATGAGCCTTTACCCTTCACTTGTCATGAAAATGACTATTTGATACCGATATAATTTATGAAATATCTGTAAATTTGATTTATTTAAATGCAATATTTTATATTGTATTAGTGCTTCGGGAAAATTGCCAAAATTGAAGATCTTAATAAAAGATTGAAATTATAATTCACAAAATTTTGTACCATTTATTGCAAAGGACCCAAACATTTTTTGTTTTAGGTTGAAAATATACTAGCACGAAGAGCTTGCAATCTTAAATAATTTCAGTAGAACAAAAGTATTTCAACTAGACTAGTGCCAAAAATAAGAAAATACATTGAATTTCGAATTCAGTTTGACTGCATTTCAGTTGAGTGAAAGTTTTTGTTTTCACAAAATATTTTCGGAAATCGTGGTAAATAAAACAAATCCGATTACCTGCACTAGGTCAAATAAGGGATCAGTAATATGTAAAACCCCACGCCAAGACACTGTTTTAGTTGAAGCAAAAAACCGAGATTAACACAAATTGCATAATATCATTCTTTATAAGTCTACAATCCATAACCTTCCCAACCTGAGTCAACAACCGTTAACTTTCACCACCTTGAAACAACCGTTGAGCATGCTCCACAACGATTGTCGTCATCTCCTTATGGTAATGTCGTCCCTCCTCCATCATGTCCAGCACCAAGGGGGCGTGGCCTCCTCCCTGTATGATCGCCATGGCAACGGAGACTCCATGGTGAGACAAAGCAGCAGCAAACTTCTCCGAGGCAGATAGGGGGACAGTGCCATCCTCAGTGCCATGGACGAGGACAAACGGTGGCAGCCTAGAACGGGTGACCAAATAGATGAATTTCAAGTTATAAAAGCTTAACCCTTAAACCGATGAAAGTACAGTATTCTAGACACTAACAAACTCACTTTGCAATCTGCTGCGTGTCCAGGTCCTTAAGCACCAACGTCGGTGAGTACTTGTCAAAATTGTCCCGGCCTTCCATGACCCTCCACATGCCGGATAAATCTTCCACGCCGCGCCAGGATTCGAACCCGTAGTGATCCCTGATGTCAAAGACACCACTGATGGCGATAACACCACGGATGGAAGACAGAACACTTGATGCTTCCAAAGCAGATTCATTGGCCTTGGAATTGATTGCCTGAAAAGACATTGAAGGAAGAAAATTCAACTTGATTTATCAGTGTGTCTTGGTGGTCTCGACACAGTCTTCTTGTAGAAATACTTTTGACAGATCAAACGAGTACATTACAATTCTGGTCACAAGTAAATCAATAGTCTGGCCTCAAGTAACAGCAGATAAATAATAAAAAAAACAACCTTTTTCATAGTTCATGTGAATAGCTTGTGATTTAACTTGGGACTGGAGGACTGGTGATAGAGTTATGAGGACTTATGCGAAACTTGATTACGACGCTGGGGGGAAGGGGGGGGGGGGAGAAAGGGGAACGACTTCCACTTTACCTCTGTCGCACTTCTCTGAGCCAAATTCAAAGTCACCAAGGCAGAGAGATGACCACCGGCAGAGTGTCCACACATGACAATCTGTTCTGGATCACCCCCAAGCGATGTGATCAACTCTGATGTCTTGATCCAGGCCATGGTGTCCACCAAGTCATTTAACATATCGGTCACAATACCCTGTAGGAAAACAAGAAATCATAAAGAAAGGTTATTTCTTTACTTTGGTCATCAACAACAAAAAGACTGCTGTGTTTGACAATTTCTGTTGTTTTGGTATTCATGAGTTTTTAACATACAGGCTTCTTGTTGCTTCACTGCATAATGAAAAAAATTTCATCAGTTGCTATGTGAGTGACCACAAGTGGAAGACTCATTTTTTTTTTTTATTAAACAAAAGTTTTTTATTAAACAAAAGTTTTGATAAAAAAAGATAAAAACAAAAGTTTCGAGTTAACATTGAAAAAAAAAATAATATTTTTAAATATTAAAAAAACAAAGTGTCTCACAAGTGTGTATTTGTCAAATGAGAAAATATGTTTCAATGTTAACAGATTGATATTTGATTGATGAATTAAGTGATAGATAGGTGGATTGATAAAAAATTATCAATAACTTAAATAAATTGAACTGTCCCTTCATTTGATTGACCAAACATTTTATTGTACTTTTTGTACAAGAAGAGAAGAACAGTCAGTTATCAGAAAACTGTTTTCACTGGGGGCTATGAACAAAATCAGCAGTTTGCAAAACAAAAAAATAATAATAATAAAAAATAAAATGACAAATTTTTTTTTCTCAAAAACTTGTTCACATGTGCAGTACCTTTGGGTATATACTGTAGTTAGGTACGCACACAATGGCCCCAAGTTTGTCGGCCAGAGACTGAGCAAGCAATCCATACAGGTTTTTATCACCAGCCATCCATGCACCTCCGTACACGTACACAAGGATCGGTTTGCGACGTTGTTGGGAAGGGTCCTTGTCATTGACAGAACTATCCGTGTCCGTTGGCCACCAAACGTCGAGAGTGTTTCCATTTCTTCCAAAAGGGACGTCCTGTTTTCAAAGAGGTATAATAAATTAAAGAGTTTTTGTTCCAATAAAAATCTGAGAGGCTTTATAGGAAAGAAAATTAAGTTTACAATTTTCTTTATTTCTTTTATGAAATTCGCAAAACAAATGCCAAATACCATACAAGATGATGGCCAAAAGAATTACAAATTACAAATTTAATTTAATCTTTAGATGTATAAAACATAATTAAAAGTCCTCAGGATCAAAACTTCACCGTTTCAACTGATTCCGCGTCACTGTAAAACTTCCTGATGCGGTAGTACAGGGGGAGGAAGCGCACCATTCCAACTTGCTGCATGAATACATAGTTCAGGTTCAAGACCCTGGTGGGGTGCAGTGCCCGTTGGTATTTGCCCTCCCCTGGTTGGCTAGTATTGGGCCAGCCCACTACGCAGTACAGAGCTATGACGAGGCAGTATGGTACTCCCAGACCGAGCAGGGAGGCTCGGATAACATATCGGCCGAGTTTGTCTAAGCCACCAGGATGCGGTCTCATGTCTGAAGACGTTTGCCAGGATATTCACACAAAAGTATTCTTCAAAATGTGATTACATTTTGAAGAATACTTTTGTGTAAAATTATTCATATTTTTTTAAATACATTTTCAGAAGTTTAACAAACTCTGAGTGTAAATTATTACTTTAGATTCCCTTAATGACTCCAAATCACTCAAGCAATTATTTTTACTCTTGGCTCAACAAACTTAAGTCATCAACATTATAATGACAATGTAAAATAAAAAAACATTGTATTCCACAGACTTCCAGTTATCTTTTTATTTTAGCTCACACTCACTATAGTATAAAGTATAATTAAATTATTACTGTTTAAATAATTTCGATTATTTAAAGAGTAAATATAGAGTACTACATTATTTTATGACTGCCATCTATGATATCTCAAAGCTACTTTAAAATGTGCCTTGGACCATGGAGGTAGAATTCTACCTCCATGCGCTTGGACTGAACTGCACAGTGCATTGAACCGTCCATGGCCATGACTAGCCGCGTCATTCGGTGCAGTGCGAATCTCACTGACTGTCACTAGTGATGTAGAAACCGAAATGTTTGACGCTGATAAACCAGCGCGGCTTGATAAACCAGCCAAACAAGGTTACACTGACTGCAGATGACCAGAAACCAACCCACAGTTATTTGCCTAAACTTACTGAGCAACTGGACAGTGATACTTCGGATTAAATCACCTGATCCGATGAAGGCAACGACGTTTAGCCCGCCTATATAATTTTATTTACCGGCTAATTATGTAGTCTGGCTCCCAAAACACAAACGCGCACTTGGACATAAAGATGTCAGGCAAGCAGGTGCCAGTCTATAAACACTCACAGCTGACGTTGTCGTCTGGTTCAGTAGCCGCCGCGGGTATGCCATGAAATTCGGATTATTTCATCTTTTTTGAATCACCATGTGAAGTTCAACGGGCCAAAATTTGATAGAATACTAGTTGTTATGTCGACTGGGGAGATAGGTAAGTGGTGTTACGTCGTTTTCGTTCAGTTAACCTGAAATGTTTGAAGTAGTGTTTGGTCGAAATGTGCCATGCATGCGCTGCTGCGCCGTCGTTTTGTGTGTTGATTTTCATTGCGTGTTAATCACACAACAGACGGACCGATGTCAATCAATAAAACGGTGGCCCGTTAAGTGTTGTTTGTGAAAAGGTTTTAGCGGTGTCAACCGCAGTAATAATACGGCCACTGGCTTCTGTAAAACTAAGTCCTGAATTTTTAATAGGCTCCTTTTCCATTTATTTTTAAAGTTTTAATCTTGCTTTCATTCAACTTGACTAGCATTTCCTTAAGATTGTTTTGCCCAAAGGCTGTGTGAAGATTTTGTTTTTGAGGTAGGCCCACCTTACATTTAAATATATTTTGAAGAATTGTGGAAATAGTTTTTTGAAACCTAAATGTCTGATTAGTTAGTGTTAGACACTTCATTTTTAACAATTTTAGATAGATTTACATTTTTTTAAATAAAATTATAAATAAATTGAGAGGGTATATTTTTGCACCTCGTTTTCAGACAATTTCTTAATAACTTCAACAATTTGCTGTTTGTATCAATTTCCATTAATTAAAAAAATTCTGATTATTAAATCTAGTAATTAAATAGTTGTAAGTAATTAAGTAATTGGCTGTTGGGAACAACATGTGGTATAGTGTATACACGTATTTTGATTCTGTGCGTTGCACAAGGCTGTGAAAACAAAAGATTTGTATGTCAACAGAAGTAGAACCATGGTAGAACACACTGCACATGTTTCTCATGAAAGGTTTTTCAAAACAAGGTCAGGGCTTCATTCCACGACCCATACCACCGTTGTTCTCTGCATTCATTTTTTTTTTTTTTTAAAGCCAACCATAATGGCAAAGTTAAGACGCGGCCGGATATTGTTTGTTCCATTCTGTTTCCCTTGACCTGCTATGAACCACGGTTGTCTTTAATAAGGGAATAAATGTGTGCTCCAGAGGTTTTTATCACTCTGTTTAATACCACTTAGAGTCTGGGTGCTGATAATTACCCTCGCCTCCGGCTCGGGTAATTATCAGCACCCAGACTCTAAGTGGTATTAAACAGAGTGATAAATACCGACGGAGTACATATTTATTCCCATTCATAAATACCTTTTCGGTAAAAAAAAATCATATAATTCGTTCAAAACATCCCGATTTTGTTCAACAAATTCACTTTATGCTTTTTGAAACATCCCTCCTGCAAAATAATGGAGTGTTCAGCTGGCGAGTAAGATGAAAACAACCCTTTTATGGAGATTGACGCGCGCGTATCATGTTCTACGCGATGTCGCGCAGAACGCACCTGGCGCGTTGCGTTTTGAATTTAGAACTATAAAATTCTAACTCCCTGGTGGTGTTGCGCATGCCTACGTGAGGATTGTGAACGTTCAACCAATGAAACGATAAGAGGCACTGGATTTTTAGGAGTCCACATTTTATTGTGACACTGGAAAAGTGTTTAAGACCAGCTAGCCATGTCTTTATCATCCGTTTAATACCGGCCACGTGACGGGCTCTCGACCAATAGGAATGGCTAAACTGTCTGAGGTATTTATGAATTAGTCTTTAATCATGCATGTGTCTAAATTGCTCCTTTTTTTCCTTGCACTGTGGTGCACTTTAATTTGTTATGAGCCCTTCAATTTAATCCTACTGACTCAACTAAGGTACTTTGGAAATTCCTTTTTACCCCATCATATTCTGATGTTGTTCTTACATGTTAAGTAAATTTGAAACGGAGACACTTGTATTTTATCAATTCATTCAAAATATTCTTTTCGTAGTAGATGTTATCATTTCTTACATGTGTAAGTTCTAAGCTTTCATAAAAATTGGTTTTTCATAGTTGGTGAAAATGAGTTTTAAAAGATAAGCCTTTATAGGTCTGCTAGACTACATGTATTGGCACAGAGAAAAGTCACCTGTGGCTACCGCTATACCATTAATTTAAAGGGAATATACAACATTTGCAAACATCGAAAAATAAAACTACCAGGTTTTTGCGAAATACCTTAATAGGATGTTGGTAAATGACAGTCTAAAGCATCCTGTAAAATTATGACACCTGGTATACTGTCATTTTCAAGAAAAGTGGTATTTTTGTATCAATTTCCAACGCTGATCGGCCGATCAGCGTTGGAAACAACTGGCTTTTTTTCAAATACTGGCCCCAATTGACCATTGCACTTGTTTACATTCGATTACAAACCCATGAACGGGTACGAGCCAGCTAGACTGGTTCCCTGACCTTACAATTCCCCAATGTATGTTAACTGCTCTGTTTCTTCTTATATGGAGTCAGGGAACCAGACTACAGGAAAATGATCGTTTTTCTTGGTTTTTATAGCATTTTCGAACCCAAAACCTCCAAAAAGTCAGTGTAACTATATTTGCTTTATATTTCCAACCCCCCAATTCCATCCATATCTGAAAATTACAGCAAAAGCAAATGATGTATATTCCCTTTAATTTGAGAAGTTATACATCCAAATTACATAAAAGACCAATTTGCTGAGAATTTCACAGGCAGACCCAGCTGTTGTTTGATTAATACCTCTTGATTAATTCCACAGGTTCCCTGAAATGAATTCTACCAACAGTCAGTAACAGCTACCAACCAGATGTTATCAATGTTGATGACGTCAAATAGTAAAAATGAAAGAAAGAAAAAAAGAACGAAAAATAGGGACATATTTCGTTGCCATAGCAAGGGGTTATAATTATTCTCCCTAGTATAAAAATAGAATCATTTTTAACAGATAACACTTCAAATAAAAATGGCTGTATTTAAGTCCAGATGATATTGTTAATGGAGGTTCGAAATTCCATGTTAAAATAAAATGGAAAAACCCAGCATGATTGAATCAACACCAAGAAAACCATGTGCACTTTGCATTGTCTGATTTACCCCCTAGAAAGCACTTTGTTTTGTTGACTGTGCCAGTGTGAGCTATTAAAATCATTACCTTTGATCGTCATAAATTCATTGAGCAAACTATTTTTGGTAATGCTGTGTTTTGGCATTAGGCCAAAAAAAAAAGTCTCCGGTTTCTGGTATGCGCGCGCGTCGCCGTAGCCATGCGCGTCGGCAAAATAAAAATGTTTTTTTTCAATACAAGATGATGTCTCAAAACCGCCAAACTCACTGGTTTGACTGGAATTCTGCTGCTGCACAATTTTAACGTGTTTTTAGATGGGGTTATGATCGAGAATAAGCTTTATGTGGCCTCTCTGGACTCCCATATATTTGCACTAAGTTTAGTCGGGCACCATTTGCAGTCATCAGCCGACATTTGAAGCCCAAAAAAAAAAAAAAACCAGGTAAAAAAAAAAAAAAGCCGCGTCGCCGCACCACTTTTGGGGCAAGCTCCATACCAGAAACCGGAGACTTTTTTTTTTTGGCCTTAAGGTGTTTATCCCTAACTTTCATAATTCCTGCTGCAACATGACGGAAAGTGGAAGTGTGTCATGAGTGAATGTATCAAAACATATTACTCTACTTGTTCAATCGGTGGATTGAGAGGAAATGTATACAAACATACCTGTATTATGTTAACCATTCAAAACTAAATCTGAAACTACATTAGGTGTATGTCAACATTGGATCAGAATAGTAAACGGCTCAGCTACATATAGAACCTCACTCTGTATCTTTTTGCCGTGCAAGTGTACGTTCCTTAAAAAAATGACATGATCTTAAGTCACAGGGTGAGTGAAGCAGTTCTTGGTGTTTCCCCTCAACCTCTGCAATTAAAGATTACGTCAAGAGATGTTGATGTTAAGAATGGTTTCATTAATTTCTTTGTTTGTTAATCCAAGTTTCCTCTCCTGAAATATCATTATTAAGAAGCAATCAATTGATTTTAGACACAAGCAAGTTGTTTGCTTTGAAGAAATTTATTCTTAAAATGAATTAAAATAGGCCATTGCACTCAAAGTGCATTTATTTTTTCTGAGATTTTCAGACCAGAGTCTTCAGTTAAACCTTTTTTTCTGGAAGATCATAATTTAAATTTTCGTTAAAATATTCTCCATCAGTTCAAAAAGAGAGGGGACTAATTTGAAAAGAACGTCATTTTGTAAATGTCAAAGTGAGTACTACGGCATGAAATAAAAGTCAAACGGCTACAAGTTTTAATAGGAGTCTGGAAATAATGCAGTAAACATATTGTGCACTAACATATTACATTTGCTGTGTATTGTATAAGTCTGCCTAGGGGGTTAAATAGAGCATGATATACCTGGTGTTAGGCAATTATGGACACTGTTATGAGAAGGCTGCCTCTACAGGTGTTCTGACCTTAGCTGACCCCTGTCCTTCATTCCCATGGTCTGGGAAAACAGATACCTGTTGAACTTGAGCTCTGTCAGATATGTTGAACATGCTGATAACGGAATAGCCTTCCAGCATACCTTCACAAGGTGTTGCACATTGCCGGGAACAAAACTCCAACTTGAGACAGCGTATAACAAAAATGATGAAAACTTCTGTGTTGGGACAGCTAAGACTGCAAGGTACCGGTATGTTGCATAACTTTTCACATAGATATGTCTGAGCAGTTTGTCTATTTTTCATTCATGTTTTCAACTATACTGACCTGATTACGAGAACCTTTTAATATTTTTGTTATAAACACATTTGGACGAGAGAACACAATAGAACTTTGTTGTGAAGCCATTATTCTGAGAGGCTGATCATGTAATTTGTAAAAAAAAAACTCATGTGAAATTTTGTATGGCAAATTGCAATTTTTTATGGCTAGTAGGACTGTGGAATAATGTACAATTACATATGTATTTTTCAAGATTTTATTCACTTTTTTGATGAGATCATTTAGCAAGTTATTTGGATATTGATAAAAGGAAAGCACATTTGAAGAGCCAGGTGATGAAAGGCCAAATCTTTTATAAGAAAAGGAGATAACAAAAATAAAAGTTGTAAATTAACTCCTGCCCACTTCACTGAAGCGGAATTTCCTAACCAGTGCTACTGCTTCTCTTGAAAATTGTCCTCAATAGATGCAGTAGAATGTAGCTTATGTATACCCA